CAATAAAAGATGCAAAGATCGTGACGCAGCACATTTTGCGCCGAATCGAGATTGCAACATCATTATTTTTTAACAATTTGTTAAAAAATAATGATTTTTAAGAATGAGAAGCAATTTGGATAGTTGAGTAGATAGGTAATTGATTTTCATACCTTTTATTTATGAAATGTACCTAAATAAATATGAGCCGGTAAGTGTGATGTTGCAGTGTGCATGGTAGGTATTAGTAGGTATGCATTTGAAGTCCAAAAAAATATGTCTACTAATTTAAGCAGTCATTTTTTAAATAGGTACTCTAATGTTTTATGTTGTTATCCTAAGGTATTCGGAGCCGCGGAGGACCTAACGAGTTGACGGGGCTCCGGCTCGAAGGGCAGGAGTGGGAACGGGGTGGTTTTTAATCAGTAAGAGTCTGACACTCCCTCCCGCCTCACCCAGGCGGGACCAGTCATTCGAATTCCTTAACTCGTCGAGTGCCGGTTTTATAGACACAATCAAAGAACAATAGGTCGCGGTCACCGGTGACCGCTTGGTGTTTGACAGTTTAAAATTTTAATTGCCTGGCTGTGATCAGGAGGTAAGTGTGGGAGAGCCATGCTTCGGCATTAATGGGCCGGAGTGAAACCACGGCCTCACAGAAAACCGACGTGAAACAACACTTGCACTGTGTTTCGTTGTGTGAGTTAGGTTATCAGAGGCACAATTTACAATATCCCTGAATCCCCAATCCCTAAATCCCCAACAATCCTGAAATTCCTAATCCCCAAAAGGCCAGCAACGCACCTGACGTCTCTGGTGTTCCAGGTGTCCATGGGCGGTGTCGATTGCTTACCATCAGGTGACCCGTCTGCTCGTTTATCGGCTTATCCCATAAAAACAAAGATAAGGGCACCATATTTTTTAAATGACCGGCATTAGCGGAGGATTTACCTTCAACAGTTTTTTATTGGCAGTCAAAGTCCTTTTGGCAGTTAAAGAATGGTGCTCCATCAGCAGCATTCTTTAAGATCTTTATATATCTTTTGTGTAATAGCTTTTTTTTTTTTTTTTTTTAATTTATTTACAGGGTTTTTTCTTAATAGAAAACATCACCCCGATTATTGAATACAAAAAACAAAAAGAACACTTACATTTAACTTAACCTACCCGCAACCTAGTACCCATAATAATAATATTAATAAGCCCGCAGGGCACCTTGAGGCGAGGTGACGGGCATTAGCGATCCCGCGGGCTACCATCATCCCGAGTGCTCCAGGGAGAAGTCACCGTTCCTTCTTCTCCGGCTTGCCTTAATTGGCTGGCTGGAGTGAACGATGACAAGGAACAGGTCTCCCACCTCTGGCTTGCCTTCATTGGCCGTCCAGAGTGGAGTCGCGAGAGCAGTGATCCTGCTCGGAGGGTAAGAAACTATTCGTAAGTCGCGAGTGGGCCAGGAATGCAGGAAGCTTCGGCTGGAGCAGATGATCTGAGTAGAAAGCGGTGGTAGTTTCTTAACCCTTCAGCCACTCACATTCTCGTTGCCCCTCTGTTGCTATATCTAGCAGCCATTCCCGGGGCCCGGTCGGTGAGTTGGCGAGTCTCCGCCTGCCATTTTTACGTGTAATAATTACATTGTTTCGGCAGGTGCCATAGTCATCCATAGTTCCCAATTTTCCAGTCCACAGCAACCCATCCATAGCCCTATCTTTTTTTTCCATTATCCTCAATAGTTTTACACTAACCGGAGACTGTCCTTGGGTGCATTTCCATAGTGCATACAGGGATAGTCGCCGGTTTGTGTGTCCATTACATTTATATTAAAGTTGTCTAAAGGGCCTCTGCGCAGTTGGCTTCGGCCCCTCGCATGCCTCCCAAATGACCGGGACCCTGTGGTCCCGTGAATGGTAAAGACATATTAATAAGAATTCTGGCCTCATCCGACAATGGCGAAGCCAGAATGCTATTATAGTAGCCTACATTACAATTTCCGACTTCAAAGGCGTGACGTCTTTGATCCCCAATACGGCTGCACTCGGCAAGGATATGATACACGTCTTCGACCACTCCACAAACAGCACAATTGGGTGAGTCCACTTTACGCATCATAAAGCCGAAACTGTTAAGCGGCACATGACCGGATCGAAGCCTCAAAGCCATCACGACTTCTTGTCTACTCATGCTGCCCACGTTGAACCAAAGCATACGAGGAAGTGAGGGTTGAATAGTTTTGTACCAGATGCCTTTGGTAAGAGACCTTATGTCGAAATATTCTGACCAACTTTGAAAGCATTTGTCTCGAACAGAGGGTAAAAGTTCGGTGTGCCAGGGTAAACAATTAAAATAAATCCCATCAGACGCAGCCTCTTTTGCCAAACGATCAACAATCTCATTACCCTCCAGTCCAACGTGAGAAGGTATCCATTGAAGAACAATGATTTTATTACTAGCCACAATTCTGCCAATGGATTTCAAAATAGAGTACGCCAGTGGAAGCCCTCTGAATGGTGAAGTGCATTTAGTAAGATGGAGAAGAGCACTTTTTGAATCAGTAAATACAACAAAACGATCACTGTCTAAAGATTCTATATAAGCCAACGCTTCTGCTATAGCTATCAATTCTAAGTGCATAATAGATAATCTGTGTGTAATAGCTTTTATCAAAAACTACAATTATGATGATAATAAATAGACGATACCTACTCAAAAAATTGTCTTGGTACATTTTTGTGGCAGATCATGCAGAAAATCGATTTTACCCTTCGGCGACTTTACGAGCCACTCTTCCGGGTCGTTATCCTATGAAAAAAGATGGCTGGACTGACTATAGCTACTTATCACTATTCAATGTGTTATCGTAAAGTAACATACAATGCGTAATATCATGGTTTATTCCTCGAAAGAGTAGCCAGAGGCGATCTTGCACATTTACACTTCAGACTACTTTATGTTATTAGATTGTATTTACGCCGGGCCCGTGAAATTGGAATGTTTCTTTAATTCTAACGTTGCACCACATTAGGATATTCTCCTATATCGTGGGTGCATTTACAAACGTTCAAAACACGTTCACATATAATAACACCCAGACCCGAAACAACAATTTGTGACTCACACAAAGATTTGCTCCGTACGGGAATCGAACTGGGCTACTGTAGCGGGTGTGTCTCAGATATAATAATGATTTTTTTTTTTTTTTTGAGTGTGTCCACCATAGAAATTGTCGTTTCTTCGGGCCCCCTGAGGATGGGGGCTCTGGGCACGGGCCCCGAGTGCCCTTATGGTAGAACCGGTATTGATTTACGGGCTCCGCTGTACTACAGAATTCCGTTTTACATCATTCCCAGTTAAGAAATGAGTTCGTAGTTTGAGAATATCGATACATAAAGTATTGATTGTATCGTTCATAGTTATCAGTTAATGTGGTCCTAGTCAAAAACTGTTAATAAGAGATAATGATTTGCAGTGATGATTATTTTATTACACGAAGTAGCCAAGCTGATTGATTATTTATTTATTTGCCTAATACCTAATCCAAAAATCTCAGTACTAGCACGGAGTCTGAAATTGTGCCCTGTATATGGCAATAGGCGCACCCCCTATTACATGGGGGGCCAAACGCCTCCTGCCGGAGGTTATACGCCGGGGTCGTGCGGTCCATGGCCCTCTACGGCGCCCCTGTTTGGGCGCCTAACCTGTTGCGGCGTCCCGCTCGGACGCTGCTCATGGCACAGAGGGTCATGGCGATCCGAATGATCCGCGGATACCGCACGATCTCTGGGGAGTCGGCGAACCTCCTTGCCGGATTACCGCCGTGGGATCTGGAGGCGAAGGTGCTCGCGCGCGTGCACAGCATGCGCGCGGAGGCACGTCGCCGGGGCGAAACTCCGCTGCCGCGCCAGATAAGTGCGTGGCGGGATGAGCTCCGGCGCGATCTCATGGCGGAATGGCAGCAACGACTGTCGCAACCGAGGACTGGGCTCGCTGCCATCGCAGCGGTAAGTCCCCTCTTTGAGGAGTGGCTTGAGAGACGCTACGGCGTCCTCACCTACCGCCTGACGCAGGTCCTCACCGGACATGGCAGTTTCGGGAGGTACCTGTGTCTGATGGGGCGGGAGGAAACGCCCGGGTGTCATCACTGCGAGGACCGCCCTGAGGACACGGTGGAACACACGGTGGGAGAATGCCCTTCGTGGGCTGAGCACCGCCGTGTCCTCAGGGAAGTGATCGGCGATGGCGACCTCTCGCGTCCGGGCCTAGTGCAGGCCATGATGCGGAGCGAGGGGGATTGGGATGCCGTCTCCTCCTTTTGCGAAGCAGTCATGCTAGCTAAGGAGGAGGCGGGACGCGTGAGGCAGCGAAGCGCTGCCTCCTCGCAACCCAGCCATCGCGAAGGACACACCGGGCGTCGGGGATCGCGGGACGATCTCCGGCCACCGTAAGCGCGGGCCTGCGGACGGCGAGCATGGGTGGCTCCCCGTCCGACCAGAAACAGACCCGAGCGTACGGCGCGTCGCGTTCCGCGCGCGCCTCAAAGAGCCATCAGACCACCACAGATGGGGTCCAATAGGGCCGATGCCGATTCGGAGTCGCGGAGAACCTAACGGGTAACCGGGGCTCCGGCTCGACGTGCAGGAGAAGGAACGGGGTGGTTTTTAGTCAGTAAGAGTCTGACACTCCCTCCCGCCTCACCCAGGCGGGGGCAGTCATTCGATGATTTTCCCCCCTTAAAAAAAAAAAAAAAACCCCCTATTACATGGGACTTATAACATAAATAGTGAAAAGTGGTTGTTACATTGTACAGTGGCATAAGTGCCGTAATGTGCACCTCTGTCTAGCCCTTCGGGGAAAAAAGGCGTGATGTTATGTAACCCATCTGCATATTATCAAAACTACCACAATGTGCTTCTTCAGAGACAACGTAACTAGACCATGTTGGAGTCATTTATAATTTAAATAAAAGCTTAAAATTGTAACATAACGTTTATTACACTAATATATTATTGTCTAAAGTACAATGTAGGCTAATTGTCCCACTTCTTAGATACATCAACGTATTCGCCGTCGGGTGTGGCGTAGTCTTTAATCGCAGGTGTCGCCACTGTGCCGCTCACTTCGTAAGGAATCAAGTGCAAGTCAGGCTGTAGACAATAGACACAAATGGATTATAAATAATACATTGATTTTATCTATCCTTATCCTTATCCTTACTAATATTATAAATCGGAAAGTGAGTTTGTTTGTTTGTTTGTTTGTTCCGCCTTCACGCCGTAACTACTTAACCGATTGCTTTGAATTTTTGCAGACGTAAAGTTAGAAGTCCGGATTAAACAATAGGGTACTTTTTATCCCGGAAAAAATTGATATTCCTGAGGGAAAACCAAAGTATTGGTATAGATGGCGCTGTATGTAATGGTATATGTCACATAGGCTACTTTTTATCCTTTTGTGACGCGAGCGAAGCCGCGGGTAAAAGCTAGTACGTACATAAAACACATATTATGTCACGCCTGTCTCCCATGGGAGTGGGCACTAGGCAGTGACTATGAAATGTTAATTGCTACGATTCTTACATACCTCTTTCGCTTCATCAACAATCATCAGTCTTTCATGCATGCTCGTTGGTTAAGGGTACTTTTAATATATGTGTCTATGCTAGTACTACTTCAAAATACTAACCATAATGGCTTCATTATACAGATCTTCAGACTCTTCAAGCAGTTTCTCCAGGGCTCTTCGCTGCGCCCCCATAATTCTGTCCACTTGAGCCACATTTGCCATATACTCCTCCTTCTTGTACCTCGCCCAGTCCTTTTGTAGAAGTGCACGGGCTTCTATCACCTCTGCTGACAACTTCGGCTGTGGCCTCTTTCGTTTGCTGTAAAAAAATGCAGATATCTATGGTCATATTATGTGATTAAACCTCTTTTTTAGGCTGATCAGGGACTCAAAGTTGATACATAAAGTTATAATAAACAGTAAATGATTACCTTTAAACCTATGCTCATTTTAATTGCTTACATGTATTTTATTTCATATTTGGGCATAAAAATTTTAATCACATTCAATATAATTTTTCAATATTGTGTCTACTCAACTAGTTTCTATAATATCTTTGTAGATGGGCCACCTTCAGCCTCCAGGCTTCTGCTTGATATTTAACATCTTTCAGTAGACAAGTGCAATGTTATCAAAGTTTAATGAACATAATAATATTATTAATCCTCACCTGAAGTTATCGAGCAGCTCAAGAGGTACTTCCATCTCATCAATAGGCTTCAACTGTCTAGCATTCTTCTCCAGCCTTCTGATCTGTTTCTCTAGTTTCTTACGACGCCTCTCCTCACGAGCCTTCACAATCGCTGGATCTATTTTCTTCTTCTTTTTCATTGGTTCGGCCCTAAAATGTACAATGTTGAATTATTACTCATTGTATTCAAATTCAAACGATAAATTTAAATTGTTAGGAATACATATACTTTACTACATTAGCTGCCGAAATATGAGGCAAACTAGGTAAGAATACAGCACAAAAGTTTGTTTTGATGAGGATATCTAGAATCAGATTAAAATAACTTACCATAGTTGATCTGTAATTTTAAACTGAACTGCTGCAGTCGATGTAATGTTTCTACTGCTAATAGGTATCTTTGTGGCGGGACATATTGCCAACCTGCAATAAAATCATTAAATTAGCATCATTAATCTACCAGAAAAATATCACATAATAATATTTTTATAGGTTATATTGATGAATGCTTTCCAAACAACTTACCTCGAAAATTGTCTTAATAACGATAAATTAAACATGGTTTTCACACCACTTATCTATTTAAATAGTATTTTAAATCCAAATTAAAATAAATAGATCTACAAATAGAATAAACTACTGTACGTTCCGTTTTACTGCGTAATTTGACATTTGTCAATCAAACATCAAGGCGGGATAAGCGAGCTACATTTTTCTATATTATTGTCTCAGAAAATGGAAATAATTATATAAATGTTGGTTATTTCTTAAAGTTTTTATTGAAAATGGTCCCATTTCGAATTTATGACAATTGTAATTCGAAAAGTTGTTAATGTTTTTACGTGTAATGGAATGAAAGTTGACGTTCCGTTGTACGAAGCACACATAGCATAAGTCTGACATTTTTTCATTATTACCTTGTGTCTGAAGAAACCAAGTAAGAAATAATTTTGTGAGTAGGCTTGAGTAAAGGTTTATTTTTTCCCAATTTTGTATTCGTTCTACTGAAAATATATTATTTCGAAAGAATCGTCGACTCAATTCTACCGACGATTACCGAGACCGATTAAATTAATAAATAGAGTCATACTAAGAATTAAAATTGAATATAATAAAATAGAGACTGACTGACACTGATAAATGTCGGTCATTTATCACCGCCACTCCTAATCTTCACGTGAGAATCGTAAGGGTTTATAATGTTTATATTAACCCTAGATTACTACTCTACGTCGCAGAGGCGCCCGCGTTTTTGATATATTGCTTTCTCTTTTTATCCTTTGCGCGTACGGCATTCACGTTCAAGGACATCTCAGTCATCGCCAGCACGTGTCGCAGGACGGTGGTTGCGTTACGGTAAGTGTAATAGTTTTTTTGATATTACTACCCTTGGCGCTCCAAAGACGTATGAGTAGTTTGTATGAAAGTTGTACGCTATTAATCAAATTATTCTGTTAGTGTTTTTTTGTTCATTATTAGTTACTACCAGTGTGTTTTATCTTTTTTTTAGGTACGTTTAAAAATTTCAACATCATGGCTAGTAATAGAAAAGCTATGGATGATATTATAGCTAATTGGCTAGAAGAAAGCGACCATAACAGTGATGATAACTTTTCGGAAGATGACTCTGAAATTGAAGATCATGTAAGCGATGAAGACGTTCAGGACGATGTAGAAGAAGGGTACATAGAAGATAAAACTATAGAGAACTCCAGGGACATAAGAGCTGAAGAATCTGTTTCATCTTTTGTCCCAGAAAATAGTGAGAGTTTGGAGCAATCCAGTTCTGATCGCCGTATCCTAGTCCTGGCGCGTCGAACATTGAAGGGCAAGAATCAGCACTGTTGGTCTACTTCTAAAGGTGAAAGTCGAGGTAGAACCACTGCTATAAACATTGTGTACGCTTCTAGAGGCCCTACTAGGATGTGTAGAAATATCTTTGAGCCTAGTGTGTCTTTTGATTTATTCATCACGGAAGACATTGTTGGTGAGATAGTGAAGTGGACAAATGTGGAAATATCTAGGAAAAGACCTACTGGAAATACCCACGCTACCTACAGAGATACATGCTCCATAGAAATTAGAGCCTATTTAGCATACATACGCCAAGTGCCAAAAATCTATCTGCGGCAAACATCAAGTTCATGTATATAACGGATGCATCTAAAATATTTTTTTTGTTACATTGTTAGTTTTTTTTAGTTGATTACTTCATAATTTACTATTTTTTAAGAGAATTGTATACTTTAAGTTTTTATTTTTTTATTATTAATGAGAAGACTGTTAAATTACCTAAGATCCTAAAATTTGTTTCTAAGATTTATTTGATTAAAGATTTTATAATAAATATATATAAATATTAATTAAAACTGTGTTTTTTAGTTTTTAGTAATCTACAAAATTACATAAACAGTCAAAACATATCAATCATACATAGAGGTTTTTAATAAAATCATTAGTAAATATGATGCGCCTCGCAAGCGTATGAGTAGTTTCTTTGTGTGTCGCAACATGAGTAGTAATGTAGGGTTAATAATTACACTCTCTAAAACCCGACCTTAATCCTAAGAATATATTCATATATTCATTCATCTGAATAAGAAACCTAAACACTAAACTGCGACAGTTTACCTACTGTTTACAAACTTAGCAGGAGCCAAGTGTGAAAATTACCGCAAACCCTCATGGGTAGAAAAGGAGGCCTATAGTCCAACAATAAGTTATAAGTTATTTGCAAGGAAAAATTGCGAAGGTACTAGCCTACACAATATCTTATTGAATACGTACCTACCCAGTAATAGGTAATCATGCAATCAATAATCATTGTATTAACTAAAAATTACTTACGTGAATATACTGAGAAAAGTTCTTAGTTATAGTAGATACTCGCGATTTTTAGTTAATTTAGGATGTCTCAAGATAGTTATTATCTATAAAAACAATAATTTGTATTATTAAATAAATACACGCATAGGTAGGTACTCTGCTAGATATAGTCTATAAGATATAAGTAGGTATACCTATAGGTGTACCTAGGTACTTCTGTCTTGTGTATTCACATTTTGGACATTCAAATGATGTGCCTTCTACACTGGCCAGCAATCGTTTAAATATTTTTCCTTTGGTAGATACCTGAAGTATTGTCCAAAGAAATCATGTGACTATTTACATATATTTGATGATGAGGTTTAACGGTCCATTGTTAGTCAATCGCCATCGCTAACGAAGATAATGGAAGTCATTTTCTTCGCTAATCGCCTCATGATCAAAACAATTCCTCATACCTACACAAAGGTAACGTGCCATTTGCTATATACACTGTTGTATGCTAGGTACCATCTCAATGTGCCGGAATATAAATACCTATTAATTTTGTACAACATTATAAGTACCAACTGACTTCTTGGTTGAGTCGAAGTGTTTCATGCGAACTTACTGTATATCGCAGGTTTAAAATAAATTGTTTCAGCTTTTCAATGCAATAAATAATTAAAAAATAATCATATTCTCATCCATTGATTTGATAATTTACCTACTTTTGAATTTTTTCTAGCAAATTTTAAGGAAATAAGTATGCTATTTGACGCAGAAATATAATGACGTCATAAGTAGCGATCCAATACAAAATTCATAGAAAAGTATCGTTTTTGACATTTCAATAAAAGTATTGAATTTGACTACCGTATTGTCACTTGTTTAGAAGCTGATGAAATGTGATCAGTCGCCGCATACCACAATCACATAGAAACACATACTTTATGGCCTATTAACATGGCTGGCAACAATGACTGTGATTCATATCACAGTCATATTCCTCATGGATTATCTACGTTATTTATGCACATATCTTTCAAGAGCTAGTCGCTAAACATCAACATAATATATGCCACTGTTTTTCAGTCAGGCAATGCACCTTTAACGTCTTCCATGTTCGATTCTTATATTAAAACAGGAATAACGAGAAACAGAGCAGTACCTTACCTACTTATATCCCTATAAATGAGCATTAATATCTGCATCGACGTCATCCAATGTCCATGAGTGTCTGCGAGGCGCTGACCCTTGAATTCAATATTCAGAGCACGATAGCCTTCTGCAAATCTACCTAGTCCTTCGGGGAAATCCTTTGAACATCTCAGTCACTCAGTCACCACAATTTATGATAATAGCGATGCATACACAAGTTCTCAAAATAAGTATGTTTATGATTCACAAACCTTCTTCTAGAAGTGATTACATTTGCCTATCGATCAATAGGGTCTTTAGATCATAATTACATAGTTTCCTCATATGTCTTACAAAACAAATAATACGACATGCCATTTTCTTTGTAGTGTTTGCTAAATATTTACATTGTACGTGTTACAGTTGCCCGCCATTATGGAAATCAAAGTCCGGCAAAATTGTAAAGATTTCAGGAGCCTCGATAACTACTTAGTTACCTACTTGAAATATTTTTTCTTTGTCAACATCCTCATTGAACGAATTTGTATTCAAGACGAAGCACTGAGCACTTGTAATGAACATAATTGGCAATAACAGCTGTATGGACATGGGCCTATACAAAGGGGAAGGAAACTAAAATTTTGCTGGTTTTTCACCGATTCTGAGTGGTTCTGTATAATATTTGAATGAACATTGACACTAGATTCTCAGTCGAAAAAAAAACAGCTCCAATATTAATTTAAATACCTAAACCCAAAAAAACTGAATAAACCAGTTACATTCTAAAACCATGACAAAAACAATATAAGTATCCATCGGTTGCCAAAAGCGATTGCTTAAACGCTGCAAGCATAATATCGATTTGCAAACATCGCGTGACCACATAAACATTCTTAAGGAACCATAAAACATGTAAATCAAGTCATTACAATAAACAAAACTTCGACCAGAGTCAGTGTCATCGTCATGACTCCGTGGAGTTCGGAGTCATTCTCCACTGACGACCGACGGCACCTACATGTGCTCGCTAATATTTCGTAACTTTATTTTATTTTTTATACTCGTCCGGATGGTGCGGTAGAAATCATGGAGCTAGAAGACACGAATATTACAAACTTTAAAACCAACGTGACATTAGACCAAGTGATGGATTTTTTTAACTTGAATCTTTCTAATGTGAACCAAAGTGAAGTGTCACAGATACATTTGTTCGATCTGTATGAAGCGTACAAAACTATTGAGAAGGAACAGTTAATGGTGTACAAGTCAGTGGCTTACATTATCGGGACTCTCATCATTTTGAGCAACTTAACAGTTGTTATATCTAGCGGACTGATACTAAGAAAAGGTATGCAACACTTCACTATTTACGATGTATTTAATTAGCATATTGTGTCTTAAATAAACTTTTGTACGGGTTTGCTAAGATATTCAAGGCTCATCGCAAACAATTATGTCTGTTGGATAAAGATTATGTTTTATAGAAATGAAAATTGTACTGAATTTTTAAAAATGTCGGTGCTCAAAACTTCTGCCTTCCTAGTTTTCCTATCTAGCTTAGGGTTGTTGGCACTTAGGTTTAATTTAGCCTAAAGTGAATGTCAACAACCCTATAATAGAGAGTTACTCTATTCGTTATACATCAGCATTTGTCAACACTAAAGTTAGTCACCAAAAACCCAGTAATTATTTTAATATACACCTTTTTAGTACGAAGTGTCCAAGTGATTGTTGAAAGCACTTCGAATGAATCAGGATTTGTCCAAACAAAATGTTTGTAAACACTTAATTTGATGGTCATGTTTTTGTTTACTGTCACGTTACGCTTGCAGTGCAACCTCCTTACTCATTTTAAACTAAGAACCTAAAACAAGCCTGTTTATATGGAAGAAAAAAAATAAAGTTTATGGAATTCCATTTTTAAAATAAACCTTTCGAATTTTTTTTTTAGTATGCCATTTTTAAAACATGAGTCAGATTAGGATGGTCGTTTGTTTGCGTTTTCGAACAGGTTGATAGTAGGCTATATCTACAAGTATTTAATGACACAGCAGAATCTTCACCGGTGCTAAAGTTTATGTAAGTACATTATTTACTTACAATGAGCTAGGCACCTACTTACATAGTCTTGCAAATATCTAGACGCGCTACTTTATACCTAACGGAGAATAAATTTAGCTAAATATAGATAAATAATTAATTTATGAGAATCGTTTCTAATGAATTATGAAGTTATAATTTATTTTACTGATATTTTTTTTCTGTACCTACTTAGTAGATATATAGTAGGATTACCAAGGCAGAAAAAAAGATTGTATTTTGCATTAATGAATGCTGATCTTTATGTTAGGTTACGGAAGGAGGTGCGTAATTTAGAATTATTATTAATTCGGATTAGAAATTTATTGATCAAGAATTTGGTTTAGTAATTTCTTTTAAATATCACAAAACTCAAAGAAGTTTATTTGCATCTATCGTTTTATGAGATGTAAGTTAATAAGTTACACACCCATTTTCGAATAATATATCAAAGTTCGATGAAATATGAAGCGAACCACAGATTTCTATATTTAACTGTCTATTTCATAATAATTAAAATTAATATTTAGGTACAAAAACCTAGCGCTGGGTGCTTTTTCCCTATGTTCCCGATGAATATATCGAATCTTTCTATTACACAAACTTTGTCGTAACTTCTAACGATAACAAACACGACAAAAGCAATATTATCAGTTTTAGGCAATAAAACTCTGAAACTCCCTCTCATCTCACCCAGGCGGGAAGCGTCAAGAGACGATGTTCCCGCTCAAAAAAAAATGGCCGAATATTATTGTCATACAGTCACAGTTGTACGAACTTGGCCACTATTAATTCTGGTGGCCATATGACCTTCACAAAACAAAAACACTACACCATCAGACACGAGGCATTCAATAGAGACAAAATGGGAATAACCAATCTAAAATCCAAATATGGAAGTACTTTATAGTTATCATCAACATGAACGGTATCTAAATGTGGGATCTTACTTATGTATGACGATTCGCTGTGTTAATTACGGGAGCAAACATTGATAGTGACGGTTCTGCCCATAGTTATGCCACTTATATAGGTAGGTACCTATGTATTTCCTTATGTAATCTGTCTACTAGGAGAACTTTTATAAATCACTACACGCAACATTATCAGTAATTTTTATTATGGTGCTAAAATTTTACAGTCACTGTCACCGTGCATGCTTTCCTCAATTCTATTGCATGTTTCTTACTTTTCTGCAGTAGTTTTTAAATTATAAAGTGTGTATTTGTTTCCAGTGATGTATAAAATACCCAATACAAAGTATCTGAAATACAAAATGCAAGATACTTTTAAATTAAGTATTTCAGTTACCAGATACAAAATACTATTGACATTGGTATCTGAAATACTAGATACAAGTTAGGTATCTTTAATTAAAATAGTCTGGTTAATACGTAACACCCCATGGTTTAAATTACGCTATCACTTATTTTCTAAAGACTTCCCTACCTATAATATGTTATGTATGTCAGTATTTAGCAACAATAACCGCCTGGCCTATAACTGTCAGGATCAGTGGATCCCATTAAATTCCTTCACCATTTTACTTTAGGCTACTTTTCAACTGTAACCTGGCAGCTTGTGCTTGTCTGAACTTTTTCCGAGTTATATGTATGTACATACGTTCTAAGATTATTACTCTTTACTACTCTTATGTACGCATTGAGCAAACGTGGTGATTAATGCTCAAACATTCTCCGTGTGAGAAGAAACCTTTGGTCAGCAGTGGCCACTTATAGGCTGTTGATGAGATTATGTACAAATGCCATTAACCTTGAGTGCAAATCGAGTTTCGCCATCAATGACACACCCAGACTGATGGGAGTTCAGAAAGACTTTGCCCCGAACATCTAATTTTGCGAATTATCAAAACGATCCATATTTATCATGGGTATTTATTATTTATTATTCATAGTGCCATAAAACTGATCTATTTTTAACTTATATGGAAATTATTTAATTTTATGGTCTTACATTTGACGTAATCGTTGTTTTTGTGAAGGTAGAATAGAATACATTTGCTTCCACTCACATCATCCCTACACCATCCAAGCCTCCTGCCAAAGATATAGCTATCCCATAGATATATTCTATGAGCAATCCCTTTTATTCAGAGTAGCTTCATAGTAGGTGTAGCAGTAAAATATCATGAGTAGTTGATAAGATATAGGTGCATGGTAAGCAAGATTTCTTAGTTGGCTATCGTCCCGAAATAGCTATAACACTGTTTGAAAAGAATAATAAGGATATTCTATAAAACCATTAAACTATTAATTATGTAAAATATATGTTTCGGCATGTAAACATTAAATACTAATATAGGTTTAACAGAAAGTGACCCTAGCTAGTTAGAGAGAGAAAGGAGTACAAATAAAACTTTCTAAACCAGTGTCAATTCTTATTAGTCCTCCATTTAAGTGTGGGAGAGCCATGCTTCGGCACGAATGGGCCGGCTTGACCGGTGTGATACCACGGCCTCACAGAAAACCGACGTGAAGCAACGCTTGCGTTGTGTTTCGTCGTGTGAGTGAGGTTACCGGAGGCCCAATTACCCTCCCCTTCCCCAATCTCCCCAATCCCTGAATCCTCAACGATCCTCAAACTCCTAATCCCCAAAAGGCCGGTAACGCACTTTTAATGCCTCTGGTGTTCCAGGTGTCCATGGGCGACGCGACGCCGATTGCTTACCATCAGGTGATCCGTCTGCTCGTTTACCGACTTATGCCATAAAAAAAAGAATTATAGTGAGATTAATAAAATACAACGCTGAAACATTAGTTTATCAATATTACTTAAATACATCTGTGCCTGGGCGAACCCTGATAGTGGCGTAGGGCGTATCATTGCAACCAGCCCTTGAGAGAAGAAGGGAGGATGTAAACAAGTGTGAGAGAGCCATACTTCGGCTCTGCCTATAATAATGGGGGATAAAAAGAGTAAAATAACCTATGTTGTTATTTATTCTTCGAGATTTAAAAAACAGTTATTTCTTGTTCGAGATTTAAAATACAGCAAATATACATATTTCAACATACTAAAATGTAATTCTGATGTACCTATTAGTATGTCATATTTAGGAACATACTACGTAGTAACCCAGTCAATAGATGTTAATCTTAATCGACAGAACTACATTTAAACAAGTTTTTATTGCATTAATCAGTTTTTTACTTATTCAATCTTAAAAGTAACTTGCTTAAAAAATATGTATGACATTTTGATATTATTCGTTTGAGTTAAATCAGTATTTCTTATATATAATTATTATACATAATTATGCTATGTATACATATCAATACAATATAATATAGCAGTAGATATCAATTGACTGCCTCGTTGGCCGAGTGGTCGCAAGTGCGACTACCGGGCAAAGTGTCTCGGGTTCGATTCCCAGATCGGGCAAAGTATTACCGAGTTTTTTTATAAATTCTCAGTAGTAGCACGGAGTCTGGAATTGTGTCCGGTATATGGCAATAGGCTCACCCCCTATTACATGAGACTCATAACATAAATAGTGAAAAGTGGGTTTTACATTGTACAGTGGCATAATATACACCTCTGCCTACCCCTTCGAGGATAAAAGGCGTGATGTCATGATAAGTTATCAATTTTAATCTATGAAAAAATGTGCTAATTCATTATTTCTCCCTATGAGAAGAGAAATACCGGCGATGAACCCAGGCGGTGAGACAGTTTTCAAACTAATATTAATAATTGCTAAATGTCGATAGGTGCATACGTAAGTGCCTAATATACAGACTCCTCGATATAATATATATAATATATACATACCAAGGTATGCGTATCCAATTTTAATATGCAAATAGTGCGTGTCAGTTCGGCTTAGCAACGATACTGCGTATCAAGCCAAGAGTCAATTATCACCTGCCATCAACTGAGGATTAGAAAAACCAGAACATTACCATGGCTAATACTTGCTTAGGTATCTCTGTCATATTATTATGTATCTTCTATGTTTTTTTAGTATCTACATACCTTGGTTACCTCATAAGTTAGATAGAGAAATAAAGACATTTGATTTACACCCCGACTCCATCTTTTTCCCCGGATATAATCACAAACACTATTAGTAGTGTGATTTTCGTGAGCATTAAGTAAGGACGTGGAGAAAACTAAAGAGGTGCCACATATTTAGAAACTTCCGCGTTTGTTTTTAATTTTGGTTCTTAATTACTATACTTACCAAGAAGACGGTTATGTTCACAATATCTATATTGGTATAGATTTCCTGGTAATAATTTTACTACATCTATAAAAAAAATAATCACAGATGTTTGTGAAAAACTTGCAGAGATACTTAAGGTACTTAGACAAACAGATTGCATGAATCACAGTTCTACGAATTTAATATAATTCATAGGTACCTACTAATAATATTGTGAGCCGAACGTGACACGAATAACTCTAATAAATAAAGTAAAATGGTTATTTTTGGATTGTCTCTGTTTAAGTAAGGCGCTATAATTTAACTTTTTTTTATTATTGGATATGCCGTACACTAGCAAAAGGATCACCTGATGGTAAGCAATCGGCGCCGCCCATGGACACCCGATACACAGAGGCGTCATAAGCGCGTTACCAGCTTTTTGGCAATTAGGAATTTCAGGATTGGGAAGACTGGGGCGGGGGTAATTCGGCCTCCGGTAACCTCACTCACATGACGAAACACATCGCAAGCGTTGTTTCACGTCGGTTTTTTGGGAGGCCGTGGTATCACTCCGGTCGAGCCGGCCCATTCGTGCCAAAGCATGGCTCTCCCACACTTAAAAGACGGGATCACGAGAATAAGGCTTAGAAATATAAAAAAAATGAAAATAGTTATGCAAGTTGTCCATAACAGCCAGCGGTGATCGCTTACCATCATGTGATTCTGTAAAAATCTAACGATTAAAATTAAATGTAGCATGGGTAATCAATTAAGTAGGAGAGAGCCACTAAGTAAGTAACAAGACCACGAAACAGTTACTGAGTTTGATATTCAATAAAAAGTGGAGACATATAAACATCTAAGCACGTATAAATAACAACTAATAACTAGACACTTACTGGGAATTCCCACATGCATGATTTGTTACCGTTGCTAAAATTTGTTACGAAACGATGCCATGTACACATTTAAACCTCTCTCCATAATCTTTAGACTAGCCACTAGAGAAGGTTTCGCTTTAATAGCTTCGAATAAACAAAAGTGTGTCAGCAGTTCACATTTTTATTGATTATTTTTAGCGGTCAATGACTGTTGTTTGTACCTACACAGATCCGGTAGACAGTACTCTGGCTGGCTTGTAGTCATGTAAGCCAAGCAGACAATCATACGCATTTTTTTTACTATGAGCCTATTTATCTACTGCAGGTTAGGCTTCTATTAGCTTAATTTACTCATTCAGAAAAATTGTACTTCACCCTTAAACCTTTTTACCGTTTGCTTCACCGTTAACCCTTAATTCGATATCGGGTAGTATACTGCAATCAGAAACTTAAGTAGAAGTAGTAATGTAAAACATGAGACAAAAATTATCACTTCTAAATGGAGTCCTAAATCCTTTGGAGAATCTAAATTCTTTGGAAACTGGGCCCTATTGTGGAAGGAACACTACATTAGGTACACCTAAGATTATTAAACATTTAACTTTAATTATAGCTCCCTACAATAATTGGACAAGTCCTTACGCTTTATTGCCACACCTGCAAGAAACGATAGCCCAAACTGAATCCTTAATAGGAGTTCATTGTCAAATGACAACAAAACAATACATAATAGTACCTATTATAAGATTATCTAGGTGTAATGGGAACATGAATTGTACGCCATTCCTAACACGTATAGTTTATTTAAATGTTATGTTTGTGATACATAATAATATTTAAAGAGATACAATAAAACATTAAGTAGATACTCATCGCGTATTCTACTAGAATAAATCGGGGGTTAAAGGCATCCACTGGGTTACAAAGGATAAACGAATAAACGAATTTAAATTGGCATCTTTGGGTTTCCCACGTTGAATTTTGATACAATATAGAGTCCAAAATAATATTTGTTAACATGCTAACCGCTCTATTGCGCAACACAGCAAGAATACCATACCATAATAGGCGAAAAGTTGCTATAAATACATAATTATTTATTTTTATTGATATTCTTTTGTAACGAAAATACAAAAGCAATTTAAATATTCATTAGTGTTTCAAAACTGTCGCGGAGAACCTAACGGTCGCGGAGAACCTAACGGGTAACCGGGGCTCCGGCTCGACGTGCAGGAGAAGGAACGGGATGGTTTTTAGTCAGTAAGAGTCTGACACTCCCTTCAGCCTCACCCAGGCGGGAGCAGTCATTCGATGATTTTCCCCCCTTAAAAAAAAAAAAAAAAAAAGTGTTTCAAAACTGTAAGGATTAGATTGTAACACGAGACGGGAAAACGTGCTCGACATCATTTGACTTTGAAGGATTTTGTTAGGTAAAAATATGTTCAATAATCTGTGAATGTCAATGTTACGCTTTCTGTTTCAGGTCAACAACCAAAGAGCACGTATCTCCTTCTTGGGAATGTTTCTCTCGCTGACACCATCGTCGGGTTCTCCCTCATTTTCGGAGTCACAGTGGACAACTCTGTGAGTTCCAACCCCTTGTGTATCTTTCAAATAGGTAAGCTGATATTATTTTAGGATAACCCATTCAATTGATTTCACTTTAGTATATTTTCGTCACTTGTTTATAAGTACTGCGTTTCATCACCGTAACCGTCAATTAGTTTATATTCCACCAATACCACTGAAACAGTAGTATTTTATCACAGTCTACCTACCGATATTATCATCGCAATATGATAATTACAAGGACTAAGTACTTACTTATTCATCGTAAAAAAGTCTAAGTCGAAGTGAGTGGAGCTTACTTACATGGTAACATCGACTACTATATTATTACTTAATTACTGAATGGAACTAATAAAATGTTATCTACCAGCAACACAGCAAAAAATAAAACGACAATTTATCAAAACAATTGCATATCAACAAAGATATCATAAACCACAGAAATAATCACCTTTAAAGCAGCAATTTGTCTTTTACCGAATTCATAAACCTCGTAAATGGCAGGTTGCATAATAACTGTCGTACATGACTTACATAGAATTCAAAATATGTTAAACGATGAGAAAAATGACACTATAATATTAATTGGAGACAGGAGAAACTTTAAGATAAAAGATTATATTAATTGTAGGATTATCCATCTTAAAAATTCGTATTTGATCTTGAGGGCTTAAGTATGGACCAAGATAAAGTCCTTGGGGCACTCCTGAACTCATGCTACGTATGTACAAGCCACCATTCTTTAGTTCTGAATAAAGTTTAGTTTTTAAATATTATAAATATATATGTATTACCATATTATAAAATATATGACGTAGATATTTTAATTTTGTTTTTTAACTATATTTCTGTCAAAAACTTAACCAAAGTCATCTATCTCTAAGGACATCAAAAATGTAAACTGGCGTAAATTACTTAAATATTTATTACTATTCATTTCAATTTAATTATACATATTTCAATAGTATCAATTTATGTCATCTAAAATGTAATAGACTAATGGTCTTTTCATATCTATTTTGTCATTGGAGAAGCATTTCATTAATAACTAATTTTATATTAACGCTTGTTAAATTGGCATCCAAATCTTGACTACTGTATTTAAGTATTTTTTCCCGTGAAGCTTGTACAATTCGTCTTCCAATCGTGACCCTAGGCGCAATCGTCTAAATTTTGAGATGCTTATCATAGTAGGTGATAGTCGTTTATCTGCAGTTTTTGTCATAGATCATCTAGCATACAATATTTTTATACCATTTGGAAAATACGGCTGAACAAATCGACCATATTACTATAGTACTACTTTTGATGTCATTAATCATATTATTTACTCAAAACTCATAGTATTCATTACCTCAATAAGTGCCTACTCATAATGTTTTTAAATGGATAAATATTTTTTATTAATAAATCACAGGCTAAACTTTTGTGTATTATCAGAATAGAATACCGATTAGCGATCATGAATCAGCAATTACATAAGAAGTACTCTCAACCAGAACAAAAACCATGTCTATTAGTCGTGTCATATTGAATTTCTTAGCTACTAGTAGAAAAACTAAAGAGTAGGAGAGACACAATAATGTACTTAAGTACAGTAATGTACTTATTTGCGGTGGTGGAAGTGAAATAATTGTGGTCTACCTCGCCAATGATAATGCCATAAGAAATTAAGCTGTTATAAAATAAAATTAATTCTTCAATACTTAAGCATAACAAAGGAATATATAATATAGTTTAGACAGGCTATTGAGAATTGAGTCTACATTTTAATAAAAAGATGCTAAACAATTTCGCTTTCATTCACTTATTCATTCACCTATTAACTTTTCATCATCTGTTAGAGATATTACATCTTTATTAACCACTTGGATAAACCAATAATAATGTTTTGAATGTTCTTATCAACAGGTATGTTAGTATGTCCAGCCATGGTCTCGATTTTCAGCGTGGGTCTCATCGCTGTGGACCGATACATCTATATCCTCCACGGTCTATATTACCAAAGGTGGTTCAACACCACTCGAGTTAGAATCGGGATCCTATGCATTTGGATGATCGGTAAGAAATCGTGTAACTAATATAATTTCTTGTATTGTGTTGTAAACAATTACAAATTCGTTTTAACAATGTGATTTAAATAAATCAGTCCTCTGCCGCAAGCTAGTATGATTTGACTGTAAATACTTTCCTTGTTGACGATTTTTTTATTACTCTAATGGAAATTCACAAAAGTATTATCTATTGCTATCTGCATTTACTAAATTACTTTTGTGATACGCATGCTGCAGTGGACGATATGTTGTGTTTAACTAAATTGTTTGTTATGCGATGTAACTAAATGTGTGTAAATTGTGTTTAACATTTATTCCAGGTATAACACTTGGATTCATGCCAGCTACTGGATGGACTAACACAGAGTTGATCGTCACTCGATGTTACTACGTCTCTCTCTTCCCCGGCACTCTTATACTTATCAATTCATTCCTTAGTATTGTACCAATTATAGTAGTCCTTGTCCTCTATACCATTATTCTAATAAAAGCCTTAAAAACAGTCAATGTTCTAAACAAAAGTGCTAAAAACAGCAAACCTTACAGGGAAAACAGGAATTTTAGAATCTCTCGTGGTAAAGCTAACAATGTGTCGAGCACTTCATCAATTGATGTGGTCGAAAATAAATCAACACCTAAACTAACGAAGAGTGCATCTTACAATAATAATGTGTATGGAAGTGGAGATGGAATTACAAAACCGACCTTAACGACTAAATCTAAAAGTAACCATGAACTCGGTCTTACTCAAACGATGTCAGCAAATAACTTTGAAAATATTGGCAATCGAAGTAAATCTCAGAGCGAGTCAATGTTTAGCATTTGTACAATTCAATCTCAAGGATCCAATCCTGACGTCTCAATGCCAAATCTCAAACCTTCACGGTTTCAAAATCAAGTGAGAAAGATTTGCAACATAAATGCTCTCTCGCGAAGGCCGAAGGAGCCAAATAAATGGAGGGCGATTACAATAGTCATGCTAACTTCTGGAAGTTTCGTAATCACCTGGATGCCATTTTTCATTAGTGTGACGGTGTTCGTGTTTTGTGAAGATAAATTGACAAATCCTAGATGTATGTATATTAGGACTTTACTGGGTGGTCCTTTAGCAACTCTTGCCTTTTTGAATAGTTTATTGAACCCCTTAATATATGCGTGGTGGCACAAAGGCTTTCAAGAATCCGTTAAGAACTATTACAGAGTGTTTGTATTAAATTGTATTTGTAGGATTAGTAGATAATACTACTTAGTAGACGTTGTTAGAATTCTCAATTATATTTTATCCAAAGTGATCCATGACATTTTCACAAAGCTCTCTAATTGTGTTGTTGATATTATGTGGAATGCAAAGGTTTCGTGTACTCACCTTATTGAAACTTTACTTGTTTTGATTCTTATTTGTTAATTGATTGTCAGTAATGAATTTGTAATTAATTATCATGAACTGATGATGGGTGATGATAACCCTTGTTTCATTTTGGTGGTTTTCCAAATCATGTTATAAGAGGTTCAATTCAAATGTTACCAGTGCTCCACCGCCTTAGTCATTAATGAGACACCAGGTACACTTGAAAATTGTCAAAATAATTGTATGTAATTGTTTAATACCTAGTATTTTAGATTATTGTATGTTTGTGATAACTTAATCTAGCTTTATGTAATCTTTGTTATTAATATTTGTACATAACTATGTTTATTAAATCCGTAATATAATACCTATATTTAACGTCATCTAAGTGACAAATCTACGGTACATCATTGCGTATGATTACGCTGTATATTCTAAAATGTGTTTTAGCACCTTGCGTTAAGCTCATTTTCTCATAATTCACAATTGTATTTATGTATCCTTTAGATAATAAACAAGTCATTTATAAAGTAGATATTGAAGGAAAAATTACATAATCAATCCTCATTGGTTCTAAATTATCTGAACACGATTTGTATGTCAATAAATCGTCTTGTTGCTTTACATCACAGTACCTACTATCGTATTTTAAAAGAAGTCGACTCAGAATAAAAGGGCACCAAACATTTCCAAGCCTCTAAATATAGATCAAATACATAAATATTTCCTTTACAATTTACACAGGTATATTCATATCCACATTGCCAGCAATGGGTTGGACAGGGCGGACGTTCAGGGACTTCAGATGCTGGTACATCGCTGTCTTTCCCTCAGCCCTCCTCCTCGTCCTGTCCATCGTAGTACTCTCCGTCATCATCATGGTCTGCATCCTATACATCCTCATCCTTCGAAGCGCCGTCAAAGCCGTTGACAAAATCAGAGAGTTCAAAGAAAACAGCTATACGAATAAAGGCTTCATTGATGATTTGGCTAATTCAGCTGCTGTCGTATCTACTACAGACTCTTGTGGTAGTTCTATTGTGGAGATGCGTAAATTCGATAGTGAAACACAGACTTATCAAAGTGATGCAAGTAGAGATAGAAGGATGGGGTGCTGTAGGATGAGTAGCAGTCATCCAAGTAAATTGAAGGCAGTAAAAACTGTCCTCATTGTAACTTTGTGTTTCCTTGGCACATGGGCACCGTACTACGTAGCTGTAATAATGTATGTAAGATGCGATATTATGAAGAATGGTTACGAATGCATTCCTTTAGAAATATTAACCTTAGGGCCTCTATATTTGTTAGGCGTTTGCAACAGCCTCTGTGACCCTCTGATTTATGCATGGCGACATTCTGGTTTTAAGAGCACATTAAAGAGGATTTACTGGAAGTGTTTAGCGAAACACAAGATATAAAGTGATACAATGACATCACTCGTCACTCATAGTGATTAATTACCTAACTATAAGTGCAAATCAAACAGTATTGAAATGTTAAAGTTTTTATGTAATAAAAATAAATAAATTAAATTGTTTTGTATTTCAATTGTTTTATTTTATACTCCTTTTAACTGTCAATCATTAAATTATAAATTAATAGGAATGAACATGATATGGAAACGACATCTACTAGGGTAGAATTCAAGAAGAAGTAGAGCAGGAAGAACAACAAATGTTCAGCTTTTTGTTTTAACAAAATGAACCTTATTTCATTAGATTAGGGAAGTAGATGAACGGTTTTATGCATATGAGTATTAGGCCTAACTACGTGGGTATGTAAAAATGTGTTTACTGATGAACATGAAGCACGCTTTACCTTATTTGGTTTAAAAACATCCGTATTTACAGTTTTCATCAAAGTAAGTCATGGACGCGATTGCCAACACGACCATAATTAAAGTGTTTGATTTATAATACCCAAAAATTGTCGTAAATAACTATTATACTATCAAAAATATCCCCTAAAAAATAGCCAAGTCTGTATGGATCCACTTGTTTTTCTATAAAAACTAGAAATGTATGTTATTTAACACACAAACGACACAGTAGCATGATACACAAAATCACGAGTAAATTACGTTGGCCGACCATTCTAGAAAACATTCACAATGTATGATTTGTTATAACATTTTATTACCTAGATTTATCTACTGTTAAGTAGCCATAAAGATTACTACTGTTAACTATATCAGGCGGCAAATGATACTTGTAATTTAGGCCACAAACATACAATCATGAATTCATGATAAATAATTATTCCAAAACAAGTTTTACCTTTAAAAACACTAGGTCTAAGTCTAAAGTACATAAAACCTTGAAACACTTGAAAATACATACTGCATGAGATGGAAAATTAGATGTTTCAGAAATGAGGATATAGTACTTAAAATTTTAAAACGAATGTCTTACTATGGCTTTTTTAAGGGGGGAAAATCATCGAATGACTTCTGGGTGAGGCGGGAAGGAGTGTCAGACTCTTACTGACTAATAACCCCCCCGTTCCTACTCCTTCGAGCCGGAGCCCCGGTAACCCGTTAGGTTCTCCGCTACTCCGTATGTCAGTATATCATATATCTTCCGTATATCAGCCCTATTGGACCCCATCCGTAGTGGTCTGATGGCTCTTTGAGGCGGAATGCGACGCCCCATACGCTCGGGTCTGGTTCTCGTCGGGCGGCGAGCCACCCATGCTCGCCATCTGCAGGCCCGCGCTTACGGTGACCGGAGATCGTCCCGCGATCCCCGACGCCCGGAGTGTCCTTCGTGATGGCTGGGTTGTGAGGAGGCAGCGATTCGCTGCTTCATGCGCCCTGCCTCCTCCTTAGCTAGCATGAGTGCTTCGTAAAAGGAGGAGACGGCATCTCAGTCCCGTCTTCCTACGGCTACGGAATTATTATCCTACCAGGTTCTTAATCAGACACTATTCACCATTAATGTAATTAAGGTTCGGTGACGGTAGGTACCTAAATAAACTGTCGCAGGTTCGATCCCTGCTCATTACAGCTCAACCAAGAACAAGAGTTTACTGTTATCAAGTTATAGAAATCAGATGAGAATCTGGATCAGACCCAAGTGTCGACCCTGAAACTAAGGGCTATATAAAAAAGCTACATACCCACTTCTGAAGATATACAACCAATTGTTTTAATGAAGAAAAGGCCAAATGAAAGAAGAGAAGACTGGAGACTTCTGAAGATATGCAACATATTTTTTAATAAACCCTCCGTTAAATCATCAACACCTTTTTGAAAGACTAACTTATGAGTGCACATACACTTGGTAACATTTTAAAGGTCTTTGTACCTTCCTATAAATTTTTTGAGAAGCATATACGTAGGTATATCTGTCTATATGTATGTAAATACCTCAATCGCCACTGGTTGTAATGAGCAGATCTTTTATTAGTGTTGTTTATTGATAAAAAGGATTATAATGTTATCTTCAGTTCAAATCGCTGGGAGTATTCAACAATATTTATTGCTTGATCTCTCCCCGATTATTTTGGACATAGTTTAATTATTATCAGGAGATTATCCCTAATCGAAGGCTATAAGATAACCGCCGTGCTGACACACGGCCAGTGGGTAAAATGACTCGGTTGGTGATCTGTGTTCTCCTCTGTGTGGCCTCCTTCGTGCACGGTGGTCACGAAAAATATGAAGGGTATGTATTTATTTTCCATTTTTACTTCGCTTTGTAGGTCCGTCCTCGCGTCAAACGCTTGAAAACGATATGGATTTTTATCAACAGCCTATAAATGCCCACTGCTGAGCAAAGCCTCTTCTCACACGGAGAAGCTTAGAGCATTAATCACCACGCTTGCTCATACGGGTTGGCAATTACAAACTTATATTTAGAAATTATAAGCCCACGTTTCCTCACGATGTTTTCATTCACCGTTTGTCAGTGGTGTCTAAATAATCTTAGAAATCATATAACTCGGAAAAAGTCACATTGGTACTTGCCGTTGGTAGGTTTCGAACCCGCACTCTCATGCATGAGAAGCAGGTGTCTTAAACCTCCGGCCCACCACGACTATGGATTTATTGGGTACCAAAATTTTCCAATTACCTGAAGGTTCCATACTAAAGGACATAATTGTCAGAGAAGCCTGTAGCAAAGACTCAAAGGGAAACGAGTTTCAAGTTAGGAACTGTGGCCTCGTCCAGCTCCTGATCCTGAGTTCCATACTGAAGCCTACAATACTAATCAAGAAGAATGCCCTAGAAAGACAATTTCCTAATACCCTCTTCTAGTAATTTACTTATGGCATACGGGTTTATGTTTAAAAGAATCAGATTGTACTCAAGTTAAAGTGACTACGTGACTACAGACACAGCTACTGAAAAAGCTTCATACACTTTTATGTGCCAATTTACTTAAGTTGTTCTGGTTAAGGCTAAATAAACTTGCCGTCTTAACAGGATCTATACAAATACAATCTTTGGTAATGGTCCCTACAATACCTGAACTAAAAATATACCTTCATGGAATAAACTTATTACCTAGTAATCTATACTAATATATTAGTAACAGTTATAAAGCTGAAGAGTTTGTTTTTTTGTTTGTTTGTTTGAACGCGCTAATCTCCGAAACTACTGGTCCGATTTGAAAAATTCTTTCTGTGTTGGATAGCCCATTTATCGAGGAAGGCTGCAGGCTATAAATATCACGCTACGATTAATAGGCGCCGAGTAGAGCGAGTGAAACCGCGCGGAAGTAGCTAGTTATTTTAAAAACTAAACAATATGTCTTTATTTTTAGCCACCAGCTATACCGTGTGGCTGGATTTAACGAACAAATCAGAGAACTAGAAGCAAGCCTAGATGTCCTATCTGCTACGCCAGCAGCCAGGTCCGACTCTGGCAAGCTCGAGGCTCTCGTCCGATTGGCTCCTGAAGAGAAGGAACAATGGCTGCACTACTTCCACAGGAATAACATGGTGTACACAAAGATCGCCGACAATCTCGCCGAGTAAGTAGCTCCTAACGTTATTTTGTAAGTGAGGTAGTATTTAACCTGTCGTGTGCCTAAACGTGGATCTACGCGAGACACAGTGTATTTCCTATTGTGTCTCATATGTAGGCATTCAAGCGTTTAAAGTTATTGTGGATGTTTGTTCCTGTTTTACGCGAAAATTACTGAATGAATTTGTATGAAATTAAGTGTAGAAATATATTATAATGTGAAATAAGATGTACCTATGCCGATACCATATACGTCGTATATCGTGTATTTTAATTAACCTTTTGAGCGCCAGGGTCACAAATACGTGACAAGCGAAAACTGTCCCTGAGCGCCAACGACACAAATATGTGACAAAAACAGCGGTACATTAAAACACGAAATAAGCTATTTAAACATTACTTTAATGCCTATTTATTTATATACCTGTAAAATAGAAGGTCCAAAATTTATTTATTTCCATAAAACTAATTAAATTGCATTATAAATATTGAGAAATTTTACGTTAAAAAGAAAGAAATAAACTCTGAAAAAAGAATGTCCTCACACGCCAGAGTCATAACTGCGTGACCGCTAGTGATGTAGCGCATGTTGGATAATATCATTATTTCAAATCAAAGATCGATTCGAAACTTTCCTCTGGAATATATTATTTTAGGTATAATTTGGTACTAGGATAAAGCAGCATTAATTTTATAAAACCAGTCTTAAAAATCATTCAATAAGCTACATAGTCAAAAATAAAATTTGGTTGAGTCTAATTTCGATATTCACTAATCCCAACTCAAGCGCATCCCTAACGCAACCCGAATTATCAGTACCCTGTACGCCATGGTCACGACTAGACGACAATATCGTGACGTCACAAGCGCGGCGACCAGAAATTAGTGAAGTGAATGAATAATATTTATGATTAATTTACTTGTGATATCGAGTTCAAGATTTATTTTAAGTGACTATTATAATGAGTGGGAATTTAATGACTACGGAAGAACTTCTTCGCATATTAGAAGGAGTCTCAGATGACGAAGAATTTTCGGAAACAGAATCTTTGGACGAATTTGATTTAGAGGTAATAATATATAATGGTTAATTGTTTTAATTTGTTACTTTTTTATGCCTGATAACACATGGTTTACTATTCGCTGGGTGCGCGATGACAGCGCCAACTAGCGGTCGGCGGACTCGGCGGACCTTGGTACGTCAAATAGTTGACTGTCATTGTCTTTACGAGGAGTAAGCAGTGAATAAAGCATGAAGGTGTAGGTAAAGATGGAGTACACAGTACACACTTGAAATACCTACTTGAATTTTTATTTCTCTTCTACTGTCTGAGGCCAGTTTGTTTCAATTTCTGTAGTACACTAGAAAAAGAGATCAGACCTCAGTTTGCCTCAGAGAATAGGAGCGAGAGTATTTGACTCGAAACTTTTATTCTAAGTGTGGGCTCCATATTTACCTATAACTTCGTGGAATAAAGTCTGCCAAAAGTTCCTTTTTTAGCCACGGTGCGCGCTGAGATCGATTTCACTGTCCCCACCACCCACTTTGCACCCAGCGAATTAGATGATCAGAATGCAGGTTGCATTGTAGATTTTGTATAATTTTGTTCTATTATTCAAAAGATATATTAGTATAAGACTGATTGGTAATTGTGATAATTATATATAATCGTTAATTGTTTTAATTTGTTACTTTTTTATGCCTGATAACACATGGTTTACTATTCGCTGGGTGCGCGATGACAGCGCCAACTAGCGGTCGGCGGACTCGGCGGACCTTGGTACGTCAAATAGTTGACTGTCATTGTCTTTACGAGGAGTAAGCAGTGAATAAAGCATGAAGGTGTAGGTAAAGATGGAGTACACAGTACACACTTGAAATACCTACTTGAATTTTTATTTCTCTTCTACTGTCTGAGGCCAGTTTGTTTCAATTTCTGTAGTACACTAGAAAAAGAGATCAGACCTCAGTTTGCCTCAGAGAATAGGAGCGAGAGTATTTGACTCGAAACTTTTATTCTAAGTGTGGGCTCCATATTTACCTATAACTTCGTGGAATAAAGTCTGCCAAAAGTTCCTTTTTTAGCCACGGTGCGCGCTGAGATCGATTTCACTGTCCCCACCACCCACTTTGCACCCAGCGAATTAGATGATCAGAATGCAGGTTGCATTGTAGATTTTGTATAATTTTGTTCTATTATTCAAAAGATATATTAGTATAAGACTGATTGGTAATTGTGATAATTATATATAATCGTTAATTGTTTTAATTTGTTACTTTTTATGCCAGGTTTATAGAACTTAATATTTAAAAACATGTATACATAGTACATACTGTATAACATTTTATTAAAATTTTCTATTTTTTCATAGTTTTTATTTACCTTCTTAACCTATTTCAATCATATATTTTTAAGTACCTGTTACATTCGGAATTATAAATCTGATTTAAAAAACGTGTTTCATTTATTATAAAATAATATTGTACTAGAACATCGATAAACGAGATATTACGTTGCCACATCCTTATTTCGGAAGCGAACTAGTTATTAAAATGGCGAGCCGTCCACGCCATGGTCACAATATGAAGACAGCAGATCAAGAATAGTGTTGTACCTACAGTTATTATATTTAAATATATTGTAGTCTCATATCTGTTATTACGGTATTATACAAGTCTGTAAATAGTGTATAACTATTACTTTAATAGGAAGAAATGTAATGTTGAATTAAATTTCAATGTTATAAGGACATTATATTTCGAAATTAAAGACGAAAATGAAAATAAAATTGATTATCGATGAAGTTTTGGAATCCCTATTTTTTCGTAGGTATTTGCGGTGAATTTGTGGCCTGGCGTTGAGGGCAAGTTCATGCGTTTTTGCTCTGGCGTTCAAAAGGTTAAGCAGGTAAAGCCTTCGAATATTTTCGTCCTTATTCCGAGTGGCGTGAAAGTGATTTTTCTAGATGCGTTTAAGCTACAATAGGACAGGATAGGTTTATTATTAGTATTCTTAATTTTAGTAATTTATTTCATTAATATTGGTCACAAATAGAAATAGATTACATAATAATGTTGTCCAAAACGGTAATCAAATGTAGATAGTCGAGTCTACATCTACACCAATAAAAAAGTAAAGACCAGGACTATAGTAACTTTTTATTACTAAACCCTCGTATATTTTTATGACGGACTAAAATCTAGATTAGTTTGTCTCGAAATACCTAGCCAAACATGCCCATTAAAGTTTCTATAGAAGAAATAATAAACTTTAGGAGCTTCCATATTTACGTAAGGGTGTAGCAGGGTATGAAAAAGAAACACCGATTTATTCCACAAATACTTATACTGATAATAGGTATAAAGTCAAAGATTATTGTCCAGATAAATAATAACAGCTTAGATAAAGCGAATATTAACGTTTAATGGCAAGGGCCAGCCCTTACGTTACTTACGGATTACCGAATACTTACTACTACATAGGTAATGTCTTTAAATCAATATATCGTCAGAAGTTTACACCATCCTGTACTTGTTTCTAGTTCTACTAATTAATGAGTCCCTGTTATTATTTCTTCAGAATCCTCCGTAAGGAAGAATCTGAGATCCAGTTCTCGAAAGAAGCTGCCAAACGAAGTGGAAAGTCCATCTCATTTGACACCTACTACAGGCATGATGAAGTGAGTACTGAATACTTACAAAACTAAATTATTTTATTAGATAAATTTATCAATTTATAATCGTATGAATCATTATAAGTATAACGTCGACACCTTATCTAATATTGAGCTTTAAGCCTCACTATTTCGATAAGACTGCCTCGTTGGCCGAGTGGTCGTTAGTGCAACTGCCAGGCAAGGGGTGTCGGGTTCGATTCCCGGGTCGGCCAATGTTATTTAATTATTTATTAATAATAAAGGTACATGGTATGTCTTATAATCTAACGCCATGCCCAACAAAACTATATATAAATAGTTTGACTGTTGGATCTTCTATATTTAAATTACAATTTATTATGATAATGGTTATGATTAATTTTAAATACATATAGTTATGGTAGTGTGCTAAACAGATATTTTTTTAATTTAGTCTTAAATTTATTTTAATTTTTTCTTCCCTGACTTCGTTTGGCAAATGGTTGAGTAAGTACGGGATAAGTATTACTGGGTTTTTTAGAATTCTCAGTAATAGCACAAAGTCTGGAGTTGTACCCGATATATGGCAATAGGCTCACCCCCTATCGCATTGACCTCATAACATAAATAGTGAAAAGTGGGTGTTACATTGTACAGTGGCATTGAGTACCGTAATGTGTACCTTTTCCTACCCCTTCGGGGATAAAAAGGCGGGATGTTAAGTTATGTTATTTCGATAAGTACATAAACGACTAGCACATAAAACGAAAAAATTATAACGTTATATACATACGTTTTCCGGATTTTCAGTTTTGTAAATTACTTCACGACATGACATATTGAGTTGCAAAAATAATAATATGCAATTTAAACCTACTGAGTACTGTTTACCATTTTATTATCATGCACATTGTTTATCTGTAGTTACCGTGTCATTTACAATAAAAACATATTTTTTTAGATCAACGCATACTTGGATGAACTGGCGGAAGAGTACCCTGACCTCGTGACCGTCATCAACGCAGGCCTTAGCTTCGAAGGTCGTCAGATCAAATACGTGAGGATCTCGTCGACCCGCTTCGAAAACCTTCGGAAGCCCGTCATCGTGATCGATGCCATGGCTCATGCCAGAGAATGGGTCACCACTCCGGTTGCCATTTACATCATCCACCAACTCGTGGTGGAAGCCTCCGAAAGCCCCTTGACTCAATCCATCGACTGGATCATTATCCCTCTCGTCAACCCTGATGGTTACGAATATTCGATCGATGTGGTAAGTCTATCTAAAACAGGGTTTATTAGACAAGTCAACAATCTCAATGGAGAACATTTTCATCGATTTGTCTCACTCAACGTTGAATCAACAACGTAACAATTTCTGAAATATTTATCTTGATGTGTGGTGCGTGACTGACAATATGTATGACGGCATGTTACCCACATCAGCGGCTTCCGTGCATATAATTGGGCGCCCTATTAACTAAATTTCCCTTTTAGGCTCCATTTGTATTCATACACAGCGCCGTAGCTCAAGTTCTTATGAGAAAGAGGTTATTCCTTATTTGGAATGTTTTTTTTATTAATTTGATCATTGACCTGTTTGTTACTTCTGATTAGGGGTCAATGTTGCCACTATCTTGATTTCTGTGGTTAATTTTTTTATTAACTTTTCGTTAACGTTTTTCAGGACCGCTTGTGGCGTAAAACTCGTTCCACGGCGCACGATGGAGCCGACGAGTGCCCAGGAGTTGATATCAACCGCAACTTCGACCACCACTGGGGTACTGTTTCAAGCAGCGCTAACCCTTGCTCCATCATCTTCGAAGGTCCTTCCGCTTTCTCCGAGTCTGAGACTAGAGTCGTCAGAAGCGCTGTCATGTCCAACCTTGAGAGAACATCCCTCTACATTTCTCTGCACAGCTACGGAAACATGTTCCTGTATGCTTGGGGCAACAACGGTAAGTAGGGCAAGACCACCTAAAAAGGAATTTTTATTCGAAGGTCTTCTAAAAATATTCAGTATTTATCTACAATTCTTATCTTACTTTACAGCTACGTTACCGCCAAATGGTCTGATCCTTCATTTGGTTGGCATCAATATGGCTAACGCTATCGATGAAAAGGCTTTGGACAAGGCTGACAGGTACATAGTGGGCAACGCTGCAAACGTTCTCTACTTCACAACTGGTACCTCCAGAGACTGGACCAGAGCTGTGGGAATCCCTCTCACCTACACCTTGGAGTTGCCTGGATATGAATACGACTTCATAGTCCCCCCTAAATATATTAAACAGATAGTGACAGAAACCTGGGCGGGTATTGCAGTAGGTGCTCAATACGTATTGTCTACTTGGTAATGATTTACTAACAACGATTTGATTGTACATAAAAAAGTAATTTAAATAAATATTTTGTTTTTTATTTGTGTGTATTTTGTATATACCCGTCATGGCGTCATCCACACAACCAGCTTTATCGGATAAGCGGTAACCACCTGCTAAATTGCAGTTATTCATAAGAGTGGAGCAGTTTTAGCAGTGGGTATCAGCGGTTGCATGAGATTTTTGTCTCATTTATCTATTTTCATGACGTAAGATGGTAAACCAGCAAACGGGACACCTGATGGTAAGCAATCAGCGTCGCCCATAGACACCCAAAATACCAGAGGTGTTACAAGTGTGTTACCGGCCTTTTAGGGATTAGGAATTTAAAGATTGTTGGAGATTTGGGTATTGGGAAGATTGGAGAATTGGGTATTGGGTAATTAAGCCTCCGGTAACCTTACTCACACGATGAAACAAAGTGTAGTTTCAAGTTTCAAGGTCGGTTTTCTGTAAGGCCGTGGTATCATTCCGGTCGAGCCGGCCCAGACGTGCCGGAACATGGCTGTCACACACTTCATCTGTCACGCCTGTGCAGTGTGCACTATAATGAACATCGGAGAGTTCTAGAAGGGCTAAAGTATTTATCCACTTTATTACCATATCGGGTCCTCTATGATCCCTTCCTAGAACTTAACAATAGATTTATTAGGTCTTGTTTTCATAACAGTCTCATAAAACTACGACCATAAGGTATACTTTACTATAGTCCATTCTTTGCTTACCTTACATGGTAACCAGTCGTTCCTTTCACCAATATTACTACAATGCGCTCTAAACTGTTCAATTTAACCATATTTTTGACGACCGTTCTATTCCAAGATTCAAAAGAATTTCGGTTTATGAGGACTATACAATCAGTTGGGCATCCGTATTATGAGATACTGATGACATTGGGCACTTGTAAAGGTAACCATTTTGCCTATTTATAACCAAGTACTTTATTTTGAAAATTATTCGTATTTTAACTATAGACCACAGTGCTCTGATTGACAAGCTTAAAGGTATTTAGTTCCTTAAGTGACAAGGCAATGCCTGAATTATAACGAAATCTTATTTATGTATATATATGCTTTGTTGTATACCACATAAACACATAGGATAACTAAAAAAATCAATATAGTGAACAATGGACGGTTGTATCGCACAAGATGATCTCTTACAGACAACTTTTGGATGGGGCTGTAATAGGACTCAGATATGGGTCGAGTAGTGTACAATTTTTAATGACTGAAAAAAAAGAAAGTAAGTCGTAAGACTGTGTACCTACTACTTAAGTACATCATGATCGCAGTCGCGGGGGGCTTAACGGTTGCCGGAGCTGCGGTTCGAAGTGCAGGGGTAGGAACGGGGTGATTTTAGTCAGTAAGAGTTCGACAGTCCCTGTCGCCTCACCCGTGCGGGAAATGACATTGGATAAATTTTGCCCCTGAAACAAAAAAGGTACATCATGGTATAATGAGATGAGGTGATAAGTAAAATGTATATCAGTCAGCGAGTCCAGTAAATTGGCAAGCACAGCAACCACGATTCTTTAATAATACCAAACTAATAAAATCCAAACTGAACAATTTCAATGTTTTAATTTGTTTGTATTACGACTTACGAGTCATCATCAATAGGTAATTGGGGTTTTGGTATTTTTTTTCAGAACACGTGCTTTTTACTGATCAGAAAATCTGGGCAAAAATAGCAATGAATCGAATTCTAGACATTCACTACAAGTGTGATAATGGTAAGTAGTTCATAGAATTAAATTGCAATGTTTTACCTTATTATAGACTGCACGATTTGGCAACGGACTGCTACACACCGGATCGCAGCGGGTTCGATTCTCGTACGGAACAACACATTTATTTGCTTAGGTATTATGACTGTGGTTATTGTGGACATGATTTTTCAACTAAAGACTGTTATATAAAATTATACTACATCATCGGTGAAAATAATATGTATTACTAAGTTCAAAAATGATTTTTAACATTTTCAGATCTTTACAAAATATCAAGAGTGGAAATCACACTTATAATTAACAATACAAGCAGTTTTGCGTTTTCAGAGGAAGGAGTCGGTAGCTCTGACTTTTCTGGAACGTTGTATTTGCCAACGCATCTTAATTTTGTAATTTATTCTATTACTATATACTCCTGTAATGTGGGGTTAGGATACATTACGACGCCGCCAGCTGTTAGCAAAACTGATCCACAACATACTTACATGCCTTTCCTCCAAGATAATATAAAAGTTGAATGAATTACATGATTCGTAGTATTTACGTAAATTAAGTAAGAATTTCTACAACAGTTAGTAATTTATCAGTAATATCATTAAAAATAAATGTATTTAATAGGCAAAAGTACATTTATTGCTCATTAAAATCACCGAAAGTTACATTATCCACATTAAACTCTAATACAGATCGGTACAGGAAAGTTCTAGATTAAAAAAAATGGCGACGCGACTTAGAGCCGCGGAGGATTCTTCAACACGTCCGTACGCGTCAGTGGTCGGGGCTCTCTCTCCTCCTCCACTCGCACCCCTGCGCTGGCGCGCGGGGTAGCGGGTGGCGGGAAGGGGCGGTCGCGAGCGCGCGCCTATTGGCTTCTAGCGTTACGTTATTACCACAGATATTAATACCATAGACTAGGTTATCTTTATTTTTAAAACCCCCGTTACATCCTCCCCCTCTAGCCTAACTAAGTGTCCCCGCAGTTGGGCTAGTCTAAATATCTACGCGGTCTGCCGCGCTTGCGTTTCTCGCGAACCGGATGTTCTATTTGACCCGCGAAGGGCGTGAGGTGCGAAACGTGATATTTCCCTAAGTCCGACCCGGTTTGTACGCTCTCCAAACCGTAAGTGGTTGGGCTAAAAACTTTCCCTATCTTATACGGGCCATCGCGACGAGGTATAAACTTCGCGGACTGTCCGCGGGCTGCGTCGTTAGGTCCTTGCGTTTTTAACAGAACAAGGTCACCTACCTCGTAATTTGACGATGGCCGTCTCTTCTGGTCAGCGTTCTGCTTCTGACTGGCTTGCGCTTTCTCATGTATATCCCTGGCCTCGTCTAGGGTCGCGGCCAACTTCCGTAGATAGGGCGTAATACTGGGCACGAAGTTGTCATGTTCTATGACGGCTCTCATGTCTACCTTGGGATCAGTAGGGCCCCTCAACTCTCTCCCGAAAGTGAGGTACGCCGGGGAATGTCCCGTGCTACTAGTGATAGCTGAATTCATAGCAAACCTTACTGAGGCGAGATGTAAGTCCCAGGTTGCATGGTCTTGGCCCACAAGTATGGCTAGTTGCGGTTTCAAATCGCGATTCTTCCGCTCTATCGGGTTGGCCTCCGGGTGATAGTAGGGTGTGAGCGACTGGCTGATACCTAGGATGTGACATACCTGTTGCATGACGTCGCTCACGAACTGCACGCCATTATCGCTGATAAGGCGGCGCGGCACTCCATACCTGAGGAAGACCTCCCCGACAAGCGTCCGAGCACATTCGACGCTGGTGGCGCTCTCCAATGGGAATAATTCTACCCAGCGCGAACAGACGTCTTCCACAATCAACACCCACCTGTTTTTCCTAGGAGTCTCTACGAGTGGCCCAAACAGGTCTACTGAGACCACCTCGAAACGTCTTGATACGGCAGGGGTTTGCAGTAAACCTGCAGGTTTGCGATTATTAGCCTTATATCTTTGACAAGGCACGCATTCTTTTATATAGTTGGCGATGAACGTTCGCATGCCGGGCCAATAATACCTAGCACGAACGCGGCTTAAAGTTCTGTCCACACCAAAGTGGCCAGCTGTCGGCGCATCGTGTAGATCAGCCATAACCTGCTTGCGTTCATGTTCAGGGACAACTAGGCAACAGTCTTCTCCGTCGTCAGACTCCAAGCTGTACCTGTACAGGATACCGTCAGATATGGTGTATCCGCGATCAGACCACGGTCTCCCCCTGGAGGGTTCGTCGGATTCCATATCCTCAATAATTTTGCAAACCTCTGGGTCCATCAGCTGATTGCTGCGGATATCACCACTGCTTCTCTTCGGCATATCCACGACGGTCATCCGCAGGTCACACTCATCCTGGTTGCCTTCACAAACTGGTCGCGACAAGGTATCTGCGACCACGTTTGAGCGGCCGGGTGTGTACTCAATGCTGAGATCAAATTCTTGCAGAGTTAAAGCCCATCTGGCCAGTCTACCGCTAGGCGACCTTTGACTCATCAGCCACCGTAAGGGCTGGTCCGTCCTAACGATGACCTTCGCGGTCTCCACATACCCGCGGAACTTGCCAAGTGCCCACACGACAGCGAGTGCCTCTCGCTCGGTCGTGGAATAGTTCCTCTCGGCGCTAGTGAGGAGCCGACTCGCGTATTCGATCGGCCGCTCGTCATGACCCTCCCCCTGCATGAGAACAGCTCCGAGACAATAGGCGCTGCTATCAGTGCAAAGGGTAAAAGGTTTTGATTCGTCCGCCTGGCGGAGAATAGGAGCAGAAACGAGAAGGGACTTGATGCGCTCAAACGCCTCCTGCTGTTCAGTGCCCCATTGCCAAGCACTTGACTTCTTCAGGAGGTTAGTTAGGGGTCTCGCGCGATTTCTGCGTAATTATTAACAAAACGTCGGTACCAACTCGACGTTTGTAGGAAGCACTTCAATTGCTTAACATTCCGAGGGGCGGCCATGTTGTCAACGGCTGCAGTCTTGTCAGGATCCACCTGGATTCCACCTGGGACGATGACGTGTCCTAGGAATTTTACACTTTCCCTTGCAAAGACGCTCTTGTCCCTGTTAACTCGTAACTTAAACATGGCAAGTCGATCGAAGACCGCCTCCAGATCGGCCAGGTGCCTCTCGAAAGGGCCCGGTGACAGCAAAATAAGATCATCCAGGTACGCCAGGAGCTCTACTCCCTTCAGATTGGAGCGGAACCGATCCATCATCCTCTGAAAGGTAGCTCCGGAATTCCGCAACCCCATCGGCATTCGCTTAAATCTAAAGGTACCGAGTGGCGTTGTAAAAGCCGTCTTATCTTGGTCTTCTGGGGAAACGCTCACCTGATAGTACCCTGAGCGAAGATCAAGAGTAGTCATATACTCACTGGTTTTGGCGGCATGCAGTATGTCTTCGATACGCGGCAGGGGGTACCGGTCGGGCTCGGTTACCTCGTTGAGTTTCCGGTAATCCACACAAAGTCTCCAACTGCCGTCCTTCTTACCTACGAGTACGACATTGGAGGCCCAAGGTGACTCGCATTCTTCAATGATGTCGTCTCGCAGCAGCTTATCAAGCTCCTTCTGCAAAGCCTCCTTCTTATTTTGCGACATCCTGTACGGTGGACTAGCGATCGGTTCCTGTTGTGGACTTACCTTTATACGATGCAACGCGAACTCAGTTGCCGGGCCGTCGCGCGCAAACTGCGACGCGCGGTCTCCGATGAACCTGTTAAGGGTCTGTCGCTGCTCGGGGTTTAACTTACAACCTTCGTCCGGTCGCAGCGCTATGTCATCGGAGGACCCAGTATGTAGTAGACCGGTGTCGGCACCATCGGCAGGATTCAAAGTATAGGAGTATACCAGCTCATAGCGTTCCAGACTGTCTGAGAACGACCATGTACGTTGGGCGACGTCTATTACTACACCGGCCCGGGCTAAAAAATCTACGCCTAAAAGTGTTCGGATATCACTGCCGGGCAACACCAGGAACTGGCATGTCACCCGCCGTTCTGCAATGATGACCTCTGTCTCGGCTGACAGCAGGTCCCGCCATCCTTGTGTGCCGTCGGCCAGGCGCACGTAACGTTTTGTTTCGGTAAATGTAACTCCCGAGTTTACTAAAATTCGGTATAATAGGGGACTCGCAATGCTGTGCGTGGCGCCGGTATCTACTATCGCCACACCACTACGGCCCATAACACTTATATTCACCATCGGATGGTCGTTGCACATACTTGCGTTAGTAATAATTACGCATGAATCAGTATCGACCCTACTATTAATATGACTACTATTCCTAACATCGACGTTATTTATACAAAAATCTATATCAACATTGTTGAAAGATGTTTTGCCGTCGGGTTTCGTCGTTGTCTTTAAGCAAACATCGCATTTCGACCTCACGACGCCCTGCTTGCCACACCCGTAACAACGTACTTCCTTGGGTGCTGTATTATTACTTCCACTGGAAATAGGTTTCTCGCGATTACGACACTCGTCACTAACATGCCCAAAAAGCTTGCAATAACTACAACGCGGTCTATTTCTGTTGTTGCAACGCGACGCGGTCGCACTCGTGGCAGCGCAATTCGATTGCGTGAGAACACGGTCGGTAGTAGCGATAGTGGTCGAATTACTTTCGCGTATTTTATTGGTATTATTCACCTTAGACGCTTTGTAGGTATCCTCCGCGATCCTAGCCTTATATAATAGGTCGTCTAACCTACGAACACTATCACGCGGGACTCGTTTCACTACGCGTCGATGCAATAATCCGTAACAAATGTCAACTTGCAAAGTTTCATCTAAAGAATACGGTAACTTTGCGATTAACGCGCGCACTTTACACAAAAATGTCTCTGCACGTTCTTCTTGTTGTTCCCTGGCGAAGATCTCGCGCAGGATGAGGTGCGCGGGCTGCGCCACGCCGTACATCGCACGGAGGCGCGCGATCGCGTCCGTCCACGTAGGTACCGACGCTTTTACGCCGCGCCACCACACGGCGGCTTCGCCCTCCAGTAGCATGGGTAACCCACGCAGGGCGTGCTCGTCGCTCACCGCTGCACACTCCTTGTAGACCTCGACGGCGTCCAGGAATGCTTCCAGGACCTCAGCGTCCGGGGAGGTCCCGTTGAATCTCACCGTGCACTTTGTGAAGTTAGCGTCACTGCACGGCGGAGCCGCGACGGCGGTATCTCCGCCGGTCGCGTTCGATGATGGAGAGGGCCCGACTGGAGTGGATGCCCTGAAGTCGCCGCCGGATCCCATCAGCGTGCTAACGAGACTCCTATTAGCTTCCACTTGCGCACGCGTAATCGTCTCGATTAGCGTGGATAAAAAGTCTGGGGTAATTTGGGGAGCTGGATGTGTCGACCTCGAGCCGGCACTCGCGGCGGCGTCCGCGTGGCCGCGCTCGGCGACGCTCTCCTGTTCAGTGAGCGTGACGTTTCCCTCGTCTTCTCCGTGCTGTTGCCGGAGGGCTTCACCTCTCCTCGTTGTCGGCATCTTCACGTTATTGATGACAACGGTAAGGTGGCGAGTGGATTCGGGTCAGTAGGTACTTTACCCGCGGTCACGTAGGCACTGGATCATTCGTAACGGTCGAATACGGTTCGGCCCCACGTTGGGCGCCAGTTTAATAGGCAAAAGTACATTTATTGCTCATTAAAATCACCGAAAGTTACATTATCCACATTAAACTCTAATACAGATCGGTACAGGAAAGTTCTAGATTAAAAAAAATGGCGACGCGACTTAGAGCCGCGGAGGATTCTTCAACACGTCCGTACGCGTCAGTGGTCGGGGCTCTCTCTCCTCCTCCACTCGCACCCCTGCGCTGGCGCGCGGGGTAGCGGGTGGCGGGAAGGGGCGGTCGCGAGCGCGCGCCTATTGGCTTCTAGCGTTACGTTATTACCACAGATATTAATACCATAGACTAGGTTATCTTTATTTTTAAAACCCCCGTTACATGTATTTATAACGTTTAAATTATTTTCTCCCACTTTCTATTGTCTAATTATCGAGTTCTTGACAGAATTTAATTTTTGAAATAGATACATCGGTACAAAATTAATAACATTATTTTAATTTAAAATGTTAATAAAACGCAAAAATGTGGATATCCAAAACTTTATTTATTAGTTTATCATTTTTTAAATCATGTAACCCAAAATAATAGCACTATCTCACTTGCACTTACACAATATTGCTAAAGCTGTCCTGCTGTCATTAAGACATTGTCTTCTAAGACAAATTGACAATACCAATGATGCCATCTCGGAAGTTTACACCCAAAATCTAGGGTAAAATATTTGTACAAGGTGCTGGTTACAATAAAGTAAAGAATTTGAAATATTTTTAATCAATTAAAAAAATTCGAATAGGACAGTTCCCAATTGAACTAAATTAATTATTTCTTTTTGTATCTGTAAAAATATCGTCAAATGAATAATTAAAAGCATGATTATCTTACAATATATAATGGAATCGACACGTTGAAGTAATTTGTTAGTGACTTAGGAAACTAGCTAATTCTTTAATCATTTTACCACGTCTATATTGCTAACTGTGCTACTTCTTATTGTGTTTTAGAGAAAAAACACAAAAAAATCGGGAAACAGTAGTCCTTTCAAATTCAGATGCAGTTTATAATATAATGGTTAACTTTAATTCCAACGATTTATGCTATGCTCATGTTATTAATTTACAAAACAAATTCTTATTGTTATTAAGTTACTAACTGTCAACAAAAATTATTAAAGGCTAATCTTCCGCTAGCGTCGGTCACAATTTTGTCCTACACGGCATCCAATGTATTAAAATTTATTTTAAAATTTTTGGAATTGTTAAAATATTTTTTTTATGATTAACATAATACTACTTTGCGACTATTAATATATACAACTTAAAATATAAGAAAAATAATTTAAAACCAAAATATTTACACCTTAAAAAAATAATAATAATAAAAATAAATCATAAAGCATCAAAGAAAACATTTTCCTCATCGCTACCGTGAGGTAGGGTGCCCAAAAGACTGGCAGCATTGCCACGTTGAATGGCAATGCTGAACCTTTGCACTAGGTAGTAGCCAGCCCTTCGATCACCTGAAGTGTCAACCATCCTCCTTACAATATCTTTGTAAAAAAGATGTGCGCTTGGGCCCCACGGTCCTAAAGTTTCAACCCCAAACGGTTCGAAAGCATAATTGCCAATCAGGCTATTATACTTTTGCCGTTTGAAGTTCTCGGCAGCAGCAGCAGCAGCACCGGCTCGACACGCTGAGCTTGGAAGATGGGATGGCGCCAGCGTATCAATATCATATCCCATACTAAAGCCCTACCCATCTTCCAAGGGAAAATAAAATAAAATTTATTATACTTTTTATATAAGATACTTATTGCATAAGTGTAAATTAGTAAATAAGTAACATTTTTATTGTTTAACTGTATAATGTTTTCGCTTGTGCTGTACAATTATACATGTGCTTATAAATAAATTAATTAACTGAGCAAAACTTTTATTATGAGAAAGGTTTTAGGGACAAAATATGTTTGAGTGTTAGCAACACTGAAGACTGCCATATTTGACAGATATCTGAATGTAACGGAACGCTATGTTTATTTACGTTCGCGAGTCAATCGCACGCAAATCACAATAGTCATTACGCACAAAAATAAAAATTCTCAGTGATGCTCTTTAAAAAGTTCTGAAGATGTGGTATCTGTGGTCTGAAAATATTAAAAAAAGAGCCTGCAGGTATCTGCTACAACGATATTTGGGCAATTTCCTTGAAGAGAAACTGACTTTGGATCAGCTGAGTGTCGATTTATACAATGGTACTGGGACAGTCAGCGATGTTAGCCTTGACTGCGATGTGAGTATATTTTGTTGTATTGCTCCATTTCCTCTAAAATTCGGCGATAAATAGATTTGTTTTAAGTTTGCGTTACAATATAAACGTGTGTTCAAACTTGCCAATAGAATATGCGCAATACGGACTAGCACGTGTTATTCTTGAATTTCAAACAAAGGACAACATAGATCGTGATCATATTTCGTCACTGACTTCATAAATATGCCTGTTCTTGCTTATCACTGCGTTGTTTTAACACGTGGGTTAGAATTTTCGTGAAGATGTTTTTCTTTATCCTCAATGGTCGCCTTATCTCGTTGCCTTGATAATAAGCGAATTGTCAAACAGGTCTCCACTAATTAAATGCACTTAATATAATAACAAAGTACATTAGTGCAATAGGTTCTCAAATAGACAAATTATTTAACTACCTACTACCCTCACAGTTAAAGAGTTAGAGAACAAAGAAAATAAATATTTTTCGTAAATATAATGATGTTCATTTAATACTATCACAGCTCTATACTATTTGAATACACTTAATAACAATAAAATTTACATTAGTGCAAAAACAATTTAAATTAGACGAATTTTTTGAAGTACCTAACACCTACCTTCATACATAAAAAGTTGTATAACAAAGAAAAGAGATTATGTTATTTAATATAATTAATAAAATATAATAATATGTAGATAAAAATTGTTTTCGAAAGAAAATGAACAATTCAGAAACCATGTGAAAATATACTGCATGACAGTATAACAAAAATGTGAATTAAATTAGAATAGCTGTGTCAACAAGCAGAATAATGAATGAATTAAAATCTATTTACAGAAAATGTTTCAAGTAATAATGTTTTGGTTGAAAACAACTCCTTCTAGAACTGTAGGGGGTTAAATAAGATTATAGTAGAACTATAAAGTCATTCTCCCTATGTAATATTATCCTAACCATGCCATACAGTAAACCATTTACTGTACGGCATACAACTGGTTCAATCCCACACAGAACAGAACTTTCTGTGATCCACAAATTATTGTCTCAGATCAGGATGTGATGCATAATTTATGCCAAATTTGGTACTGGTTTTAAAAATAACCTTAATACAGAAAAAATCTCAGTAGGTACTTTCTTTTATTAAAAATTTACCCTCTTATAAAAAAAGGTTACTAAGAATGTAACCTTTTTCTTTTCCACACAGACCCTAAGAGGAAAATAGTTATACACACTAAATCATACACAGGTACTTTTGAAAGTTTAAAAAATATAGTATATTCTGTCATAGGTGCTTTTATACATGGAACATTGATCTACTTGAACACAAATCATTTTCTATGTTGTCTCATATACCAGCAGAGGTGATTAATGGCTTTATATTGTAGGTACTCAACGAGCTGGGAGATGCACAGAATTGGCCCTTGGAGATAGTAGATGGCCATGTAAAGGAGATTATGGTCTCCGTTCCATGGTCAACACTGTTCTCAGATGACTCCGTTGTCAAAATCAGCGGATTGACGCTCACTGTACAACCGAAAGTGCGAGCTGAACCAGGTAATTTGTTATGATTATGTTACTGGGTACATGTAAAATTATTTATTATTCTATAGTAGGGATTACTTATAATTAGGGCGACTTATAATAGGGATGATGACAGGGTATGAAAAAATATTAGACACGTATTTTTTTATTTGTCGTATAACAAAATAATACTAAGATAAAACGAAATAAAATTCAGGAGTGGGAGCTAAAACGTCATTTCGACGTATAAAATGTACAATGTACACAAAGCACCGCTAATTAGTTAGCGGCGCTACACATCGACACAACTATCATTTACACAATATACATGTGTGGGTAATTTCATATCAATAGATATGTATAGAAACATTCGTCTATCACACACATCTTGGTATTTAAAAATCATTTTTTGTGTCGGTATACGCAATAATTTAGTAAATAAGTTTAAATAAAAACGAGGGTAAAGATAAAATTACTCATAACAAACTTTGAATAAATCGAAATCAAAAATAATGAACGATCGAGCTATACAATACCCATATAAATATAGTGCTTTCTCATTGTAATTTTATGTTACTGAATGATATAAAATATTTCGATGATCTCATCTACAGCGCGCTTGGCGCAATGGTTATCGCCTCCAATTGTCAAGTAAAGTGCCGCCGGATCGATTCCAGCATTCACATGTTGTTTTAGAATTAATTTATCAAATATTTGAAATTTGAAATTAGAAACAATTAAATCTTTTCTTTTTTTTTCCTTTCCTATTGTTCTAAATCTTATGTTAATTTTAATAGTAAATACTTTAGATTTATTTATACCTATAATATCTTTTATTTATATTTTAGTTCTAGTTATTTATTATTTAGAATAATCTCATTTGCTTCATGCATTTCAACCAACTTAAATAAGATAAAAACAGTAAAAAAGTAATTAACTGTGATTTCTTAATGGTTCGATACCTGAGTATATTTGCAATGTTTGTGGCGACCATAGAAATCTCGAGTCATTTTATTTTACACGCTTATGAAGTAACTACCGACTATTTAAAACATGTTTTTCAAATCACCCGACTTACAAAATAATTGCGTTCTTAGTTGTCAATTTATGAGGATTTCATAGTTTATTGCTACACTACTTATATTCGTGTGCAAAGTTATTTTTATTTTTACAAGATGTTCCAACACCTATCAACATTTAAAAAGGCTGAAACCATTGTTTTGCATGAGCAAAACATAACTAACAATAACTGAAATAGCAAGGCGTTTAATGATATCGGTGAGTAAATAAGATACTACGTTGATATTCTAAATAATATTTATTTCATTTTGTAACTCGACACACCTATCAATTTTTGCACTAGAATAAAATAATTATTGCAACTTATTATGAAGTTCAATATTATAAAGATATATTAATAATTTATTATTAATTGTATTGTAACTTGACTTGTTTTTGTTAGGAGTGTTTCTTTAAAACATATCTGGTTAGGGATTTTTATTCCTTACGCCACTACTTAATTATAAATTATTATTCTAACATTGTGTTTACTTATATTTATTATTATTTTTAAGTAACTTTAATTCCTGTAAAGTATTTCCTGGTATTTTAAATACTTATTTGTTTGGTATCAACAGAGGAGATCCATGCAGTTATGGGTGCACAGATATGCGGAGACCGGTGACGTTAAACATCGTCGACGTGGGCCTAAACCAAAGGCAAATTCATCGGCTCGGCACTACGACATCGTAGCCAGGCACATGGCTGATCCGTTCCTGCCAACCCGCACTACAGCGACAGCACTGAATGTTTTAATACAAACTGTACGGAGACACCTGCATTCTGGTTTAAGGTGCAGGAAGCCAGAGAAGAAAATATTGTTATCTGTGGTTCACCAGCAAAAGCGCTAAGAATTTGTAAGGACTTTATTAATTTTGATTGGGCGAACAGTGTAATCATATTGAGCGACGAAAAGACTTTCAAGTCGGATAAGGATGGGCGTAAAATATTGTGAAGAAAAGATGGAGAAAGGTATACGAATTGCAACCTTCTGCCTTGTAGGATCAGTGATTGTATGGATTTCGGAATCAATTATTGAGCCTGTCAAACTCTGCCTTTATTAAAATTAACATAAAATAATGTTTAATTTTTTTAAGAATAATAAAATGCTGTCTAGAACATACGGTGAAGTGATGTTATTGTTTTGTGGTTAGAAATTGTCATAATTTCTTTCTATTTAACATGTTTATTCACTTCACTTTAATTTTTCATTAACAAATTTATTTAACTGCTTTCGAACTTGATTGACATATTATATTTACGCCCATCTTCAATTAATTTAAAGTTTCCCTGATTCTAAAGGTCATGAAAGTTAAAATCGTTCCATAGCATTCGTCACATTCTTTTTACTATCATACAGCCCACTGAATATTGAACCTTATAACAACCGTCGTAAAATAGATAATTAATGGAAGTTCAAACGACAAAAAGTCGCCCATTTCAAGAAATATTATGTTAACAGTGTAATTTTTTACATGTTTTACTTGTTTATTACTTATGTATTATTAAATTACAAAACAAGAATGTTGTATTTGTTTATTACTCAATAAAAAATGTTGCTGCCATCGTATTACCGCTACCGCATGATATTTCCCGATTCGACTATGAGGTTTATTGTCATATCTATTAATTATGATTTAAAGAACTTTAAACTTAACATGTGGTATATAATTAATTATTAGATATAAATATTGAATATAAAACAACATATTTGTATAATAAATAAATTAATTGTAATAAAAAATAGTATTGTTTTATTTACCAACTCATTTGCTTCTTTTATAGCCTGATATTTATATTTTATGACAAAAAACAAAAAAAAAAAATAAGAAAAATAACAAGGTAAAATAAAATTAACTTTTAGCTGGAATAGAACCCACATCATTGATCCTTGAAAGACGATAAAAGCGTGCTCATTAACCAATCGACCACGAGCACTACGATAATGACAGTGAAAATGTCGGGTCATATCAATGATTGTAAATAGTTTTAACCTTACCTATGCATTAAATTATAAAAATACGTATACCGACACAAGAATGAAAATACCAATGTGAACGTGGTGGACGAATATTTTTATATACAGTTATATGAAATTACGCACACATGTACACTGTGTAAATGACAGTTGTGTCGATGTGTAGCGCTGCAACTAATTAGCGGTGCTTTGTGTACATAGAAGTGACGTCACGCGATATTTCAAATCAATATATCGTCGAAAGTATTCATTTCAGTAAGAAAATAAAAAATACGTGTCCAATGTTTTAAAATAATCTACCCGACGGAATAAAAATTAGTCGTCTACCCTATAATTGATGAAAAGTGGGTGCCACAATAAATAATTATGTGATCTTTAATTATTATGTTTTCGACTTACTCATGTAACTGTTCGACTGTTGTTTACTTTGTTTTACTGACAAACAGTTACGTGTGTAAGCCATAAACATAATAATTAATGTACTATCACCCGAATACTGAAAGACTACTGAATTTTAAGCTGTACTTAAATACCGTGACATCTCTGTAATTTTTAAAGAGCGAGAGAACTATACGCGCATTTTAAAATTTTATTGAGTATTTAAACATATGTCTCAAAGTTGTAAATGTGATCTTTGCCTACCACTACTTTTAATTATTTACGGCGCATCGCATTCCGCGAGCGCCTCAAAGAGCTATCAGACCTCCACGGATGGGGCTCAATAGGGCTGTTGCCGATACTGAGTCGCGGAGAACCTAACGGGTTACCGGCTCGAATTGCAGGAGTAGGAACGGGGTGGTTTTTAGACAGTAAGAGTCTGCTCTCCCTCTCGCTTCACCCAGGCGGGAGAAGTTATTCGATGATTTAGTAATAGATTTCTACCCTACGAATTAATTTTTACTAGATAAAATATACCGTGTAAAAAACACGGTAGTTATGATATTATTACCGTGGTTTTTACCATATACATTATAGACATATACATGTACATATATTGAATAAACTAGCGACCCGCCCCGGCTTCGCACGGGTGCAATTTGAAACCTCTAAATTTATTAGTGTTTCTTTACTATATTATGTATGTATGTATGTATTATACATATAAATCTTCCTGAAGAATCACTCTATCTATTAAAAAAAACACATCAAAATCCCTTGCGTAGTTTTAAAGATCTAAGCATACATAGGGACAGACAGACAGCGGATAGCGACTTTGTTTTATACTATGTAGTGATTAGTATTAGGAAGTTTGCGAGTTTATTTGTATTTCTGTTACTCAATAATGTCGAAACGGCTGTAGGGATTGAGATGGAATTTTGAACAGGAGTACAATATAGTCTGGAATAACGTATAGGCGAAACTGCTCGTAGAAGCTAACATCAATATATGTTTAGCCAAATAAACTGATCATTTATAATACAACCTTCAGTCAATACCAAAGGCAGTATTGTTGGCGAAATATAATCTTGAATTAATTATAAACAGCTCAAAGTCATTAGAACAATACTTTAAATTCCATTCTTATGTAAAGGATGTTATATTTAAAATTTGCACATACCCACAGTAAGTCTTAATTAGTTTTGTAATAAAAATTGCAATTTTTGCGCATTGTAAAATGTATGTTTGTATGTAATTGATTATATAACACTATTTCCCAAAAATCGTCATAATGTTTTGTTTTGTTTGTTTATTTATTTGGTACATAATACAAATTATACAGATATAATATAGTTATTATTAGTATTTTTCTAGACAGATTATATAATATTGTTGTGTGTATTGTATTTATATCACAATTTGTTTCGAGAACAGGGTAGGCACACACTCAAATTAAATTAAGCACCCAGTTTTCGATTGGGGTGAACCTATTATCATATATGGGGTACGCTACAATAGTTACGGGGGGCAGGGTGATTAGGCGAACAGCTGCGGCGCAATGTATCACGGGTTCGACTCTCGCACGGAACAAGTCTTTGTTTGATCGATAAATTGTTATTACACGATAGGACTTTAGGAGGCCTTTGTCCGGCTGTGGATGTCTTCCGGCTGTAGATGATGATGATAGGACTAATTAGGAATTATACTATATTATACACCAAATAGAAATAAAAATAACATTCGAAAAAAAACTAAGATCAAGAAGTCCGTACTATAAAAACACACAAGGGTAGTTGTATAAAAAAATACGTATTCATATTCATAATTATGTTGCAAGAGGAAACGTAACATATTACGAAAGCATTAAAGCTTTAATTAGCTTGTCAATAGGAAAGATATTACATTACGTGTATATATAAATGAAAAAAGTTAATTTTTCTTTGTTATTATAATATTCATGTATTTGTATAATGATGGTCATTCTTTATGAAAAAAATACATATTTTTTTAAACAGTGTCATCGATGCTGGAGTCGATGTGGTCCTCCATGTCTTCTTCTATGCAACTGGCCGCTGAGTGTCTGAAGGAAGACGTCGGTCCCCAGGATTCCCAACCCGTCGAAGGCATCGAGATGTTTGCTCAAGCCATAGACTCAAGTACGTCATTATTTGCATAACATTTGCTGTATATTTTTATTTTTTTAATACCTTATTTATACAGATGTTCATATTAGTCAAAGAATGATTTAGCATTTCTTTTGAGAATTTTATAAAATGCGTCTGCGTTGTTAGTTTTTTTTTTATGGAATAAACTGGTAAATGAGCAGACGGATCACGATCACCTGATTGTAAGCAATCTGCGCCGCCCATGGACACATGAAACACCAAACGGCGTAACAAATGCTTTACTGGGATTACGATTTTAAGGGTTGTTGGATTGAAGAAGAGGGTAATTAGGCCTCCGCGAAGACCACACACAGGAGGAAACACAACGCAAGTGTTGTTTCATTATGGTTTCCTGGGCGGCTGTGGTATCACTGGCTGTGGTAGCAGTGCTGGAGCATGACTCTCCCACACTTGTTATCTAAATTACCCAACCACAAGTTCATACTTAGCAATTAAGATAAAGATTTTGTATAATATTCTAGTCGCTAATGATTATTTGCACATTAGTACAAGTAAACAATAATAATAAACATCAGTACAATCTAATATACATATACTTTCCCTTCATATAGCCCTTTTTGATTCACACCTACCCATTGTAATGTAAATAAGGTATGAAAATGCACTAGAAATTAGAATATTCAAGTTAAAACCATTGTTTTCGTTTCAGTACTAAGCCGTGTCAAAGTAAAATTTGAAAACACGATACTTCGTATTGAACACGTACCGAAAAACGGTGACCGAGGCATCGCACTTGAGGTCCATATAAAGAAGTGAGTATTTATTCATTAATTTTATTAATTAAAGAGGTCAGGGACGGGCCGCAGGCCGACATATTGTAGGGTCTTCGTAGCATTACTACAAACGGGTCATATGAATATATAACATAACATCACGCTTTTATCCCCGATGGGGTAGGCAGAGGTGCACACAGAAGTAACACCCACTTTTGACTATTTATGTTATGAGTCCCATGTAATAAGGGGGTGAGCCTATTGTCATATACCGGGCACAATTTCATACTCCGTGCTACTACTGAGTTTTTTTTAAAAACCCAGTAATACTTTGCCCGACCCGGGAATCGAACCCGAGACCCCTTGCCCGGCAGTCGCACTTGCGACTACTCGGCCAACGAGGTAATCTAAAATATATGAATATATTTTTCATAAATTCATGCAAAAACTCCACACCTTTGTCCAATATAAATAATTATATAGTAATTAATGCATTTATGCTTTCTATAATTCTATAGCTTTCATTACTTAACGAATGGTCATACAGAGTATCATAATACTTGGATAACAATACTGTCTATTGCCCTTACAATGCAATTCAAGGCCTTTACATATAAGGGCCCTTGGGCTTCAAATCCCATCGACACACCATATCTAGCAACAGACACATACACACATAATTGATGAACCAACGACAATACTGACGTCACAAACCAGTCACCTAATTGATAGTACCAACGACAATAATGACGTCACAATTCACAAACCAGTTAAATTCAAAAAGGTCCAAAGTAAACGACATTGTATGCAGTAGTACTTCCTTGTAAATACGTTTGACCTTTCCGCGCGTCTGATTAGAATAATCTTAACTCGACGAATCGACGGCCTTCGATTTATCGCACATGTCATTGTTTCGTCTATTCCACTGAAAATGTCGAATGTATATTATGTATAGTATTATGTAGTTTACTTCCGATTTCATTGTTCTGTTTACGTGATGTTACAAAATGGTTGTTTGTTAATAGAGGGGTTTCTGTTTAAAAATGTTTAAAGTTTAACATAGTTACTTTAACGTATATAAGTCCTCAATATCATCATGTTCCTTTACCAAAAAGGCATATTATTGGAATAGAAAATTTAATAGAACATTTAATATTCACCTATTATGTAATTGATACTTTACAATAATAAAAATATGTCTATTGGTATACTACGTACATTTAATTACTCCACTATTTATGTGATCCACAAATTGTTGTTCAGGGTCTAGGTGTCATGTGTATGTGAACTTGTATTGTAAAGGCCCCCACAACACAGGAGGAAACCAGAGTGGGAGGCAATGTTTAAAAAAAAAATTATCTAATGGGATAGTAGGAAGTCTACTTCTTATTGGCTTTAAAGTTGCATATTATGAGATGCTCTAATGGTTTTGAGTCATAACTCAACTATTAGACAAACATAATTAAAGATCAATTTTACCAAACAAATAATAATTAACTTAAAACGACTGACTTAAAAGATATTACATCATAAACAACAAAGTATTTATCAATGCACAATCCTATGAATCAACATTGCAATCTTAAATAAATTCCAATCCTAATTGTAACGGTATTCAAGGCTACTAACATAATATGGAATAAGTACGTATAATAAATCTTGGTCTTTATGTTGCAAGAGAAAATACAACATGTTATGAAAGCATTAAGGTTTTAATTAGCTTCTTATTTGTTATGATCTTACTGTCTTATGTGCGTATATCAATTTGAAATTGAAATCTCCGTATGTATTGCGAGGTAAAATGTAACATATTCGAAAAGCGTTAAAGTTTTAATTAGCTTGATCATTTCAATGACTTTTATGATTATTTTGAGGTGAAGATGGATCTTAAAGTGACATTATTGCACAATCTCTGTTCAAAGAAAGTGAGGGACACATAATCATTAAAATTCAATTTTACTACAAATAAAATGATGACCAAGAATTCTCATTAATATCTCTCAATCAGTAAATACGTCATCAACTTCAAACTTGTGCACTTAGTATTCACTGTGAAAACACAATATAGGTGTAAATGATATTAACAAATGTATAAAATTTTAGTATCGACTACTTTGACGAAGCCGGGTCGGAACCGACCCCGGGACAAACAGATCCTGACAAGCCGAAAACATACATAGTAGCAGCATACACGAACAAAAAAATTAAATTCGATGGAGTCACTCTATACACGGACGAATTCCCATCGAAAATGCGGACTATGGCACGGAGTCTCATCATGGAGAAGTCCATCTCCTCACAAGCTGATAAAGCCGAGAGTCAAGAGACTCCAGATGTGAACTTCCAAAGCACAATTTCTGATGTCTTTTACGAAACTAGGAGTGTTATATCCACCATAGAAACAGAAACATTCAAAGAGGCCAACCCCGATGAAGACCAGACCAAAAGTCGACCGGAGTCGAGAGAATCGACGCCTGAGAAGGTCAACCACCCTGATCCCATATTATTTGCTAAATTGATAGGAGAACAGGAACTAGCCTTGAAGTTAAAGCATAATTCGGAAGTGGAGGGGCCTAAAGTTGAAGTCAATGTGTCATTCGGGTCCCTCATTGTGTTTATTACTCCGAGGCAGCTACATACACTGATAGAGCTCGCTGATGCTCTCAATCAGCCACATTTAGAGGACCGTAGGTGAGTTGTAACTATTTTTTTTATATTTAATTTATAGAACATAACATCGGGGTCACCAATTGTTAAGTCCCTTAGTGGTGGATCACGTCGGGGTCACGAATTGTTGAGTCCCTTAGTAGTGGAGTGTGGTGTTTAGGTCCTGAGATACGGTGTAGCCTTGTGTAGGATCTAGTATAATTGAAAGTAACTTCACATGGATATTTATTTAGTCACCATTACATATGAGTCACACTGAATATCAGACTAAGTTAGGTACACGGTTACAACCCGATTTACATGTTTGCGCCACTACTGCGCGTAAGGGACTAGTGCTCGAACCTGTCGCGGTCCCGCTTGGCGACTCCTCATTTTTGTCGCGTAAACATAATGTGAATGTGTGGCGTGAGCCCCGCATTGCCTTTTCATCCCCGAAGGGGAAGTACAATGTAACACCCACTTTTCTCTATTTATGTTAGAAGTCCCATGTAATAGGGGGTGAGCCTATTGCCTTATACCGGGCACATTTCAGACTCCGTGCTAGTAATGAGTATTTTTAAAAACCCAGTAATACTTTGCCCGACCCCGAAAACCGAACCCGAGAACCCTTGCCCAGCAGTCGCACTTGAGACCACGCGGCCAACGAGGAGGTTTATGAAACATTCTACACATATTTCTGATTAAGTTATGAATACCAACTTGATGGATCAACTTCAAAGTTTTAACTAGATTCAATTTGATGAAAGCTCCATAGTGGTCTGTGTTAAGTCTACCTCTCATATCATACTCAACTTTTCAACAATGATTAGTTTCTGTTGAGTTATCTCGAATGTTAAACTCCTTTTTACTCCACAGCAATATACCATTACGCCCTAGCGGAACGACCCAGTGCAAGCCGATGCAGCCAGCCGACTTCCAACTGGTAGAAGCTCAATTACTTGATTTGTTTGAGAAGTATAAGGCTAAGAAGCCTGCTGGCAGCATGTCTGGCTGGTCTGGTCCAGGTTACGGTAAGTACTGCAACGATTACGAAACAAATTTTCTTAACATAACATCACGCCTTTTAGCCCAGAAAGGTAGGCAGAGGTGCACGTTACGGCATTTAATGCCACTAGAATGCAACACCCACTTTTCGCTATTTATGTTATGAGTCCCATGTAAAAGGGGGCGAGCCTACTGCCATATACCGGACACAATACCAGACTTCTTTCTTTTATTTCTTCGTCTTAAAGATAGATTTGGTGTTTGATACTAGCACAAATGCGGTAATATAGTTCTGATCTGAAGCCGTCGCAACACCATCACAAATGATGAATTGTGAACCAAAATCCACGGAAACGCCGGGGAGGAACGCTTCCCAAAAATGCTAGCATAAATAACAGTTGGTTGAACATTCTGAATCCCAGAAAACACGCTTGACAAGCTGTTCTTTTTAGACACAAAAATTGTGAATTAACTATGACTTATCTAACGATTATTTTATTACATATTTAAATTAAGAGATCTTTGATTACAAATCCATTTTTAAAAAAGTCTAAATCCCCATTTGTTTACAGATGAGGAGGATGATAATGAAATATTCTACCCAATGACATCGCAAGGCCCAATGGCTGAGAGTTTCTCGTCATCCGTCAGCTCCATGAGCGCTAGTATGACTTCCAGCGCCACTGTGCCCACAGGTGCGCCCAGGATCAAGAGAAACAAGAAAGGTAAGGCCCTGATCTCTAAATGCTTATACGTACCTAACTTCTTCGTTGATAGCGTTCATAAATGTGAATGCAAGAGCCTAGAATGCCATATTATAATATTGATGTCAAACTCCAATCATCTGTTTAACTTTAGACCACTTTTTTGAGGGGGGGGAGGGGAGGAGGCGCAGGGTGTGTCAGACTCTTACTGACTAAAAACCACCCTGTTCCTACTCCTGCTCTTTGAGCCGGAATCCCGGCAACCCGTTAGGCCTCCAACGGCTCAACTGTAGACCAATAGTTTGAAAATCCAACAAAATAAGATAAAGTTATAACAATTCCAAACAAATTTGACTGTGCTGGGGCAGAGACAAGAAAATGTATTTATTATAGGCCAATGCCAATGCATCGCGCACAGGGAGCAAAAACGTGGAGAAAAAAAAACATAAAAACAAAACTTGCCAGCCTCACGCCCGCGCCCAATGGGTCGCCTTTGTTAGATGTAGCGCAGGTAAACGCGACCCTTCGAAGCTTCGGGTGTATGCTATCCAATGGAAGCGTAAACTATTATTATTATTAACTAGCAGACGGGCAGACCGCTCCGATTTGACACAGATGCTTATATTTCCGATGTTACCTTTTTTTTGTGACTTTTTTTCATACAAACCTTGTGCTAATGACGAAAAAAACACAAACAGACGATTTGTTGCAGTCGTTCGATTTATGCGAGTACCTAGCTACATAGTTTTAAAGCAATTCCATTTTTCATCTTTATAATAGGTTATAAGTAGTTTAAACTGTCAAACACCACGAGGACACCGGTGACCGCAACCTATTGTTCTTTAATTGTCGCGGAGAACCTAACGGGTAACCGGGGCTCCGGCTCAACGTGCAGGAGAAGGAACGGGGTGGTTTTTAGTCAGTATGAGTCTGACACTCCCTTCCGCCTCACCCAGGCGGGAGCAGTCATTCGATGATTTTCCCCCTTAAAAAAAAAAAATTGTTCTTTAATTGTGTCTATAATGACGGTACTCAAAGAGTTAATTTATTTATAGACAGCTATTGATCATAATAATTATACGACATGAGAAACAAAACGATGCATAGTATTCAATTTAAAGTATAGGGCACCGGGCCCTGTGGTTTTAGGGCACTACGCCCTGTGATTTTAGCCTAGTCCCATGGCACAAATATAATGAGGTTTATGTATGTATGTATGTACGACATACATCATAATATCACGCCTTTTAACCCGAAGGGGTAGGCAGAGGCCAGAGGCTAATAAATATTCTTCAAACAACGAAATTGGCTATCAATTAATTAATGTGAATCAAGAAAAGAATATTATAATAGAAATATACTACATAACATAACATCATGTCTTTTATCCCCGAAGGGGTAGGCAGAGGTGCACATTACGGTACTTACTGCCACTGTACTTACAATGTAACACCCACTTTTCACTATGTATGTTTCCTAACATACAACTCCTGGGACTCCTGATCCATGTAATAAGGGGTGAGCCTATTGCCATATACCGGGCACAATTCCAGACTCCGTCCGACTCTACTGAGAATTTTAAAAACCCAGTAATACTTTGCCCGCCCCGGAAATCGAACCCGAGACCCCTTGCCCCGCAGTCACACTTGCAACCACTCGGCCAACGAGGCAGTCTGTATCACCCAAATATGTATGTATGTATGTATGAATATATTGTTATAGAAATACATATATTTATTTCCAGGTCCGCATATCGAGGGTGACCCCACAGCAGAAGTGTCACATATCAGCTTGAAAATCGAATCTGTGGCCTGTGTTTTACTGCATAAGGTACATATTGCATTTTAACAGAAATAAACATCGATATTTATAATATTAAGAACTACATATTATGTTACTGCTACTGTTTTCGAGTAGTCCCAAGCGCAACTAAGTAGGCCAGATGACCAGTACTCTATTGACTCCTTATTGTAATAGACTCTTATCATAACTGCGAAAAAGTATAAAGTGACACCTACTTATAGAATACTGAAACCTTACTCTATTTTGAATGTCGTGGTGACCTGGAGGGTTCGAAACCTACCAACGGCAAGTACCAATGTGACTTTTTCAGAGTTATATGTACTTTCTAAGATTATTCAGACACCACTGACAAACGGTGAAGGAAAACATCGTGAGGAAACCTGGGATTATAATTTCTAATTATAAGTTTGTAATCACCAACCCGCATTGAGCAAGCGTAATGATTAGTGCTCAAACCTTCTCCGTGTGAGAAGAGGCTTTGCTCAGCAGTGGGCATTTATAGGCTGTTGATGACTCAATTTTAAGTTGTGCTTAAATGTCTTGCTATCTCTATCATTTTACAAAGAATTGAAAGCAATTGAAATATTCTTAAGAGCATCAAAATTGAGTGGCGTTTGAACATTTATCCATAACTCAAACTAAAACTACTGATTGATAGTGCAATTGAACAGTTTCTTTCTCATATAAACCTTCAGCTGTAGCCAAATGCCATTAAGCGCTTGTCTACATATAGAATAGAAAACCAAATTATATGGAATTGACGTAAATTTTGACACTTGTCAGTGTCATCCCAATACATTTTGATTTCTACTCTCTCTGTAGACAAGCGCTAAAATGGGAAAAAGGCCAAGAAGTCCACAATGCATTTGTGGACTTCTTCATGTTGGCATGCTTCTGGTGTTGTAAGTGTATTTAAGCTACGATGTCTGCTTACCATCAGACTGGCCATAGATATCTGGTATAAGAAAAAACTTCAAAGACAGAAACAAAATATATAATAAACTACAATCTAATATTTCTATTCCAGGATATTCTAGTCCCGACTTTGTTAGGCTCTGACGTCATATCGCCAAGTACGGCCATCAAGTTGCAAGAAGTTGCCAGCACCTTCTTCGCAAGCTTGGAGCTTTTTACCATTGTCGATGACTTCAGTGCGGCTAATGAGATACTTGATAGAACCACTTTGAAGAGCCATTTGAGGTAAGAATAAAATAGAATACTGCAAACCTTCTTGTAGCATCAGCTCAAAGCAAATTATTTCAATCCTTAAAAAGTCCTTATTAGTTCGCAATAAAGTTAAAAATCTATTATTAAAATTAAATAATTTGACTATTGTTTTTCCTTAGTCGCTCAAGTCTTCTCTTTGCTTGATGGTCGCGTTTAAATTTTTAGTGCTAATAAACATTTTTGGTTGGTATCTGACTAAAGAAAAGACTATTACATTTATAGTGAAAACATACTCCTCCCAAGTTCGCTCTGCGAGCGCTCGGCGTGCGGACGTGTGGATACCTACTTACCTACTGTTGCTAAATAATATATAAAAAAACAAAATGGTGCAGTGTAAGAAATGTAAACTGTTTTTATCTATGAATAAGGATGATGTGGTTAAGTGTAAAGGTTCATGTGAAAGTGTGTACCACAAGAAATGTGTAAAAAATTTAAAGCAATTCATGCAAAATGAAGCATGCGATGAGTGTCATAAGGCTGGAATTAGAGTAAACTCGCAATCTCCGGTGATTGAAATCGATCCACAGAAAGTTACAGTGGAAACACTACTGCTAGATGTGAACAAGAAGCTTGAGGTAATGTTTAAGCTGGAGAAAAAAATTGATGATCTCGTAGAAACTGTAGATTTTTATGCAGAACAGTATCAGCAGATGCTGGAGTTTAAGAAGACTACTGAAAATAAACTAAAAGCACAAGAACAAAGAAATGTCTACCTTGAGAAATGTAATGCCGCTTTAGCAGAAAGGGTTGCAAGCTTGGAGAAGAAAGAAAAAGAGAATAATATAGAAATAGCGTGTGTAGTTAAGAACAATGATGACGAAAACGTATTAGAAGTAGTTAAAAATGTTGCGGATAAACTTAGTCTGAACCCTGAAGATATAGAAACTGCTGAGAGAATGAGCTCACCGAATAAACCAAAGATGGGGGTAGACCGACCGCAGCCTATAGTAATAAAACTGCGTACTAAACAAGCTAGAGACCAATGGCTTCAAAAACGTAAAATACGACTAACAAATGGAGATTTATACCGCAACAACAACAACACACGAATTTATATTAACGAAGACTTGACTAAAGCGACGAGATTACTTTTTTGGGAAACCCGAAATCAGTTAAAACATTTATATAAATATGTTTGGGTACAAAACTCTAACATTTTGATAAAGAAAAGCGAGAATGAAAAAGTTATTCGTATACGAAATGAAAATGATATTAAACAGCTGTGTGATAACAACATCGAGAAGCCATAAAAACACAAATACAAGACAACGAGTACACACTATATGATTTCCTAAAACCGCAACATTCGATAATTCAGACAGTGGAATAGATTCTAGTAACATTCAATATACAAGATACCATGATCTCAGTACCTGGTCCCAACAATTTTCGAATAACGATATAAATATTATACATCTCAACATTCGATCTATGCGAAAACAATTTGATGAACTATTGGTATTGCTTAGTGACTGTATACCTAATAAAACATTGAGCGTCATCATTCTCACCGAAGTTAACATAAAAAAAGCGGAAGTAGCGATGTACAAAATCCCTGGATATGTAGTGTGTTCCAAGACTAGAGAAGATAGAAGAGGTGGTCGAATACTGATATATGTTAGAGATGATATGCAATTTAACACGGAAAAATCTCGACCATTAATTTCAACATCAGAATTAATACATGGAAAATTAACACATTGGAATAAAACCATAAATATTTTAGCAATATATCGACCGCCGAGTACAAATAAAACTATTTTCATCACAGAACTGGACACCCTCCTAAAAAGTATCCCATCTACAGAAGAAGTAATATTAATAGGAGATACCAATATCGATATGATATCGGACGGCACAAACACGAACAGTGCGGCCTACAAAATCGTGTTGTGTGACAACGGCCTGCAGAGTGCAATACCTACGTCGGAACCAACGCGTGAGGCGATCGTAAGCGGCCGGGTCGATTCTTCGAATATTGACCATGTGTGCGTGCGAGCGAGTCGGGGCCGGCCATTCGGAGCGCGCTCACACATGCTAACGTGTACCTTATCGGACCACTACATGGTTGGTATTAGTTTGACACCTCTCAGTAATGTACTAAAAAGTGGAAGTGTTTGTGATGTGCAAAAAGTTTTTGATGAGAAAATGTTAAGTGATAGATTAAAATCAATAGGCTGGTCAGAGTTGATACAAATAGATTGTCCTGTAAAACTATTTAAACTGTCAAACACCAAGCGGTCACCGGTGACCGCGACCTATTGTTCTTTAATTGTGTCTATAAAACCGGTACTCGACGAGTTAATAAATTGTATGAGATTTTCCACGATATATATGATGAGTGTAAATTACACAAAAAAAGAAATAAAAAGAGAATTACGCAACCATGGGTTGATAACGAAATAAGAAAAAAATTGGAACGCAGGGACCAGTTATTCAGAGATTGGAAATATTCGGCTAATAATATGAATAGTAGATTAATTTACACAAAATACAGAAATAAAGTAAATAAACTAATAAATATTGCCAAGAATAAATATAGACAAAAAGAAATAGAAAGGTGTAATAAGGATTTCAGAAAAATTTGGTCAAATATAAACAAGTGGATAGGTAACCCTAAAATGAACCTAGATGATGTAATTTTAAAATATTTAGGTCAAAATAATGACGTTCGTGATATTTGTAATAGGTTCTCGGAAACATTTACAGATGAAATACATAAAATAAAGCATAAATGTGATAATAACTTTTTGATTAGAAGTACATATGTTAATAATAGTGATACGTCATTTTACTTTCAAAAGGTAGGATCTGAGACGGTAGAAAAATGCATAAGAAATTTGGATTGTAATAAGGCTCCCGGATTAGATAAAATTAGAGTTCAGGATATTAAACTAGTAAAAAATGAAATAAGTCCAGTGTTAGCAAAATTCATAAACATGTGTGTGAGTGGAGGAATTTACCCAGACTTGTTAAAAAAATCAATAATAAGACCAATATACAAACAAGGCAGTCACACGGATTACAGTAATTATAGGCCAGTTGCGATTTTATCTGCGATAAACAAAATAGTAGAAAAAGTAATTGTGAACCAAGTGAGTAGTTACTTAGAGCAACATAATATAATATCAGACGCACAGCATGGGTTTAGGCGAGGGCGCAGCACTACCACCGCGCTTGTGCAATTCACCGACTACGTGAATAACAGCCTCAACCAGGGTAAGTTTGTAGTTGCTTTATTTATTGACTATAAGAAGGCCTTTGATACTCTGGATCATGAAGTACTATTGCGCGCCATGGATGAATGTGGCATCAGAGGTCCGATTAACATATGGTTTCAAAGCTACTTAAAAAATCGAACCTTATGTACAATGGTCAACAAAACATGTGGAGATGAGGTAAGTGTTACTCTTGGGGTGCCAACTGGTTCAGTATATGGACCAGTTGGCTACATAATGCATGTAAATAGTGTCACCAATGTGATAAAATATTGTTAGACCTTTATGTACGCGGATGACATGTGCCTACTGTACTCATCCAACGATATGTCGGAGGCTCAAACCCACATGCAGACAGACTTTGAGAACATAATAAAATGGGCACATGACAATGGCATCATTTTAAATTTCGCAAAGACAAAGGTTATGTGTATAAGCTCGCCGTATAACACCTACATAAGGAATAATAGTCTAAACTTACACATAACAGGGCATACATATGATTGTTTACACAATAACAAAGACAGCTGTCGGTGCATGAACATAGACATAGTAGACAAATACCGGTACTTGGGTCTAACAGTGGACAATAATTTTAACTGGAAATTACACGTTATAGATGTATGTAGTAAGCTTCAATCAATCCTGGGTAAATTCTTTCATCTAAATAGATTTGTAAGTAGAAAAATATTGTATGTATTGTACTTTGCACTCGCAGACTCGTTAATTGGATATGGACTAAGTAGTTACGGACTCACCTTCAAAACTCAACTTGATCACATAAAACAACTACAGACTAGACTAATGAAATATCTCGTAAGCAAACAAGTTAGATTGAAATGTAAACCAAATTATGAGAGACTGTACAACATTTGTAAAATACTACCAGTGCATACCAAAGTGGAATACCTTATAGCTATGGAGCAGTACAATACAAGTACATATAAGGAACCTGTAACACATAGTTATCATACTAGGAAGGCTGCACAGGGTAAATTTGTAATACCAAAGGTTAGAAATTACTATGGGAAAAGGACTAGACAATATTTGACCCCATTAATTTATAATAAAGTATCTTTCATAAGAAATAATAGTGGTAACCTAAGTACATTATCTTTAAAAAAAAGACTAAAGAAGGAATTTTTAAATATGATAGATACATAAGTATTAAAAAAGATTAAAGTTAATTGTTCTAGACATAAAAAAAAACTAAAGATAATATGTATTCATTAATAGTATAGTATTTATATAGATTAATAGTAGTTATAAGCAACTTTATTGTATAATATATGAGCGCCACTATCGCCAACAAACTGTTATACAGTTTGGCGATTTTTGATGTATAAGTAAATTTATGTATAATTTTTGTGAATAAATACGTTAAAAAAAAAAAAATGATGATGCCGATTCTGAGCCGCGGAGAACTTAACGGGTTACCGGGGCTCAGGCTCGAAGGGCAGGAGTAGGAACGGGGTGGTTTTTAGTCAGTAAGAGACTGACACTCCCTCCCGTCTCACCCAGGCGGGAGAAGTCATTCGATGATTTACACCATTAAAAAAAATACCTGTGACTCTTGTGTTGCAGATGTACAAGGTCGGCACTGGTCGCTTACCATTAGGTGATCCGTCTACTCGTTTACCTAGTATCCCATAAAAAAACAATATAGAGGCATAAAAGAAATATTAAATTTTAAATAAAATTATTCCACACATTAAGTGCTTTGAAACTGTTGATATTAACAATATAACGAAACTAATTTGATTTTATTCCCTAGGCTACTAACGTCAGAGATATCAGTAGACGGCAGCGAGAGAGTGACGGCGGTGGGCAGTCAGATGCTGTGTGAGGCTTCCATCAGAGATGTGCTCGTCAGAGAGTGTCTATACTATTCCACGGAAGAAGGGGAGGACATGGTTCAGGCATATAACCTGATAAAATTCCTTAATAAAGGTAAGATATAAGTTTTCAAGTGAAAAATAAAACTGATTATCTTTTACGACTTACTTAGTTAACTGTTTGTCGAGGTGACTCGACTAGTTTCGAGCTACGCTAGGAGCTCATAGTTATGAACAGCATTGCGCGACAAACGATGCGCATTCAAATACATACAATATAATTACCTAATTTGATATATCTCATAAATTATACAACAAAATTCAAAAGCGTTTAGAACTACTAGACATAGAAAGCAGTTAAAACTAGTTTGACTGCACAGTTGTTACGGTGGCTGCCGTGCAACGGGTAGCAGGTTCGATTCCCGCACGGATCAACTCTTTGTGTGATCCACAAATTGTTGTTTCGGGTCTGGGTGTCATGTGTATGTGAAATTGTATGTTTGTAGACGCTTGCAACCACGACACGGGAGAAAATCCTAGTATAGGGCAACTTCTTTTTTTCTTTTTTAAAGTTGTGTGTTAATGCGTTAACCCCCATTACCATTACACGGTTCACTTAAATTGACATTACTAATAAAAATGAGTATCACGTTTTTATAATAACTATCGTGATACATACTAAATTAACTAAAATCGCGGGTTACTCACGTGAATATACTGAGAAAAGCTCTACTAGTTTCGAACCACAGAGGGGTTCTTCCTCATGAGCAGCGTCGGAAGAACCCCTATGTTTGTGTCAGTATATTCACGTTGTATAAAATCCGTACACCACTGCCTAACTCTTCAAAGAACATCTGGTAAATCTAAAAATTCTAGTACTCATATTACATGAGTCATGTAATACAATATTATCTTTTGTTCCCAGAAAATGAGGACAACTCGAGTCGTTCAAGCCAGCAAGGCGCGTCTGAACCTCACGCGAACATTCGCATCACGTTCAGACAGACGTCTAGGTACGCGCGCGGCGAACAGAGACTTGTCAATCCTTCTACTGACATCGTGTAAGTAATAATAATCCTTACTAATATTATAAATCGGAAAGTGAGTTTGTTTGTTTGTTCCACTTTCACGCCGTAACTACTAAACCGATTGCTTTGAATTTTTGCAGATGTGAAGTTAGAATTCTGGATTAAATAATAGGGTACTTTTTATCCCGGAAAAATTTGATATTCTCGAGGGAAAACTAAATTATTGTTATAGATGGCGCTGTGTGTATTGGTATATGTCACATAGGCTACTTTTTATCCTTTTGTGACGCGAGCGAAGCCGCGGGTAAAAGCTAGTAATTTTATAAGAATAATAATTTAATATTATATTGGTTCTTTTTGCAGAAAGACACATTTGACTCAATTTTTATAAGCTCCATACAATGTGTCAAAATTCTATTAGTAGGGGAAGTATCGTAATTTTTTTAGGAATTTCTTGCCGAGTAATTTTTTTTTGTAGCTGTAGAATAAATTCTAACAGACAGTTAAATGAGTGTCACTCGCCGTACCCGCGGTGGTATCGGCTCTTTTTTATATGTGATGGGCCGACGTTTGACCACTATCTCGCCTAGTGGTAAGCGATGTTGCGGTCTACGATGGAGTACGTCGTCCCATAAGCAACCTATTCCCTCGGGCCCTGAAGACTCCCAGGTTAAGTCCCTTCAGGAAATACAGACTCAGACAAAGAATTCCACTCTTTAGCAGTACGCACAAGGAAGCTTGAAGCGAAGCGCTTCGTGCGTGTGGATTACACAGTGTAACGTGTAGGTTACAGTTACAGCACTTGAAAGCTGCCTAAGAATATTTTACTAAACAAAATATATATAAGTATATATATTTTCACCTTAATCGCGTAACTGTTTGACGAGGAACTCGAATAGTTTCAAGCCATGCTAGAGGCTCATATTCATGAGCAGCATACCGCGACCCACGACGCGGTAACTCTTCCGCTGCTACTGGTTACTGGCTGCTGAATTATGCGGCGAATCGAAATTTTTTAATAAAAAAAATAATACTATCATTATAGAACGTAAAATTAAATAAGTAAAAATAAAAATAACGTTTATGTATTTTATACATTACCCTATTTGTAGGATAAAATGCACACCGTTCTACGTGGACGTGGAGCTGACGATAATTGAACGTATGTGGTCGACCTTCTTCGGTGGCTCCAATACTGGCACTACCACACCAGCCCCGACTGGTTCCTCTCAGAACCAGACCAGTGTCACTTTGCAATGCCCTGATCTACATGCTGTGTTAAGGTAAGAACAAATTGTTCCGAATGTTTAAATACAACATTTAATTAGTTACTATAAGAGTATAATTTTTCTCCTGTGTTGTTGGTGCGTTTTTTACGTACATTCGTTTCGTTTTGTACGTTATAATTTTACGTACAATTATACCGTTGACTGTATAATTAACTTTTGTAGGTAGTTAAAAATCGGCGACTAACAGATTAAATCCTTTTAATCTAATTCCTTGTCCAAATATTTTGTGCGTAAGATCAAATCAATAAGACAATAAATGTAACAATACGAAGATAAAATCTGTTCAGATTCTCACTTCAAATCGCACAATAGTAACATTACTCATCACCTAAAAATATGTTATTTTGCAGATTCCCAATAGCGGACCTCCGTCAGGGCGTAAATCGAGAGTTCCGTAGCGTCCGGCCAGACTATTTACTGTTCAAGTTCCAGAACGCCACCATTACTTCGCAGCAAACACCCAGTTCCAGACCACAGCCTACCACGGTCACCGTACGAGCCACTATACTGGACCTATATTATTACGTAAGTATATTCGTATAAGGTCGAAAATAACTGTCCTTTGGTCATTATGGGATTGATTTTTTCAAATGGGTTCAACAACAGAACACAATTGGGATTTGGTGTTTGGCTTGAAAAAGAGGGTATATAATACGACTAAAGAAAGTGTGCCAGATGATTACACAGTAGAATATGGGAATTGTAAGAGTCAATTGAGCCCGTACGCGTCCCGCGCGCGCGCTCAAAGAGCCATCAGATCACCACAGATGGGCCCCACTAGGGCTGATTCCGATGCGGAGCCGCGGAGTACTTAACGGGTTGCCGGGGCTCCGGCTCGAAATACAGGAGTAAGAATGTGGTGGTTTTTTTTAGTCAGTAAGAGTCTGACACTCCCTCTCGCCTCACCCGGGCAAGAGAAGTCATTGGATGATTCCCCTCCCCTAAAAGAAAAAAAAGAGTCGACTAGCAATATCGCTCTTTTATAAATCTGAAGCCTACACCGTGATCTCCGTCGCGGAGAACCTAACGGGTTACCAGCTCGAAGTGCAGGAGTAGGAACGGGGTGGTTTTTAGTCAGTAAGAGTCTGACACTCCGCCTCACCCAGGCTGGAACTGTCATTCGATGATTTTCCACCCTTAAAAAAAGCGCGATCTCCAACCCGCCTACCAAACGAAGGATTAATGTAATACTGTTCTTGTATAAACATTTACACCCCATTTTGTTTCTTAGGAAAACGACATATTCCCGGCTACACACATAGCACGCACCACGATAGACGACAACGTCTGTGAAGGGAACATCCTCAGCGGACACGTCACAACCGCCGCCATACCTACGTGAGTAACTACTAGTAATGTTGTAACTTAGGAAAATAATCATATTTTTATTATTATGTTTTTCAGCTTATTCGCATAATACGATACTTGACAACTAGTCCAATTTAATACTTTTTCGAACTGTCAAAAAAAACAGATTTCTATGAATTTTGTACAACATTGTGAATTGTGTCGACGTATTTAACAGTGGCAATAATTTATTTTTGATTAAAGAATATACCCAATTGTTTGATAAAGAACCGAAAAACATCATAATTAATTTAGTAGGCCTTACAATAGTTATAAGTAATTGTTTTGTTTTTTGAGCAACTGAAAAAGTAATGTTCGTATGGATAACAGAAAAAATAACATCAAGAAATAGAAGCCTGGATTGAGAACCTTGGCTTTGATCATGCCTTAACCATCTCCTTAAATAAATTGGATCTATTGCAGAAATTACAAAGCGCTCCTTATCGCGATCCTTACACACTTCTTTATTTAGCTCCCATCTTATACTGTAACACTGCAATGTATAATTAATTTGTATCAACATATATTTCTTTTACAGCATATCAATAACGTTCAAACCTAAAATCCCGGCGAAGGGTCCATTCGACGGTTTCAACGACGAGCCGTCTAACTTCGAACCCGCGAACTCAAATCCAATGACTACATCATTTTATCTAATGAACAATTTGACTTCCAAACACCCCAGCCCATTCAGCGGGAAGAAAATGGTACACCAGAGTTTCACTAAACATGAAGACGAGGAAAAGGGTATTTTATATTCTTACTATCTTTTACCCGCAATTTGTAAGGTTGAAATCGCCAATCCGTCTTTATTACGTTGATGCGAAAAATCCCCAAAATGTGTCCAAACAAAAGTAATCTCTAAAAATCGGAAATAAGGTCTATAATGGAGTCAGTGGAGAACGGTCACCAGTGACCATTTGGGGATTGAGCAGTTAATGTGTGGTGATTAATACTTATCACCTTCGGAGAAGGTACACTGCTCGATGTATCTCGACTGCACTTGGTATGGTTGCTAATATGTCATGGACTGATAATAAAACTATACCAATTGATTTATTTGTCTCTTTCTACGGTATTGCATTAATTGTATTATTTTAGCACAAGAAGAAGAGATGATAGTCCCGGGCAATGAGGAAGAGATGGCAGAATTCACAAGCAACTCCATAGACTTGTCGGCCATACATCTGGACTTTATACTACCTATCCTCAGCTTGCAGCTTGAGTAAGTATCTATTTTGTTACTTATTGCAAATTATTGTACTTTATATTGTGTAACACCCATACTGAGAGGCTCTCTGTCGTTTTAAGAAGAATTTATAACGACATAACTATACTTAAACGCGACATAAAGTTGAGTGGTGTTTGATTATTGGTACAAGTCAGACAAGAACAAGTCCCTGTAATGGGGAGTAGTTCTGTACCAAAGTATAGTATTATTGGGTTTTGGGACAAGTCAGACAAGGACAAGTCCCTGTAATGGGGAGTAGTTCTGTACCAAAGTATAGTATTATTGGGTTTTGGGACAAGTCAGACAAGGACAAGTCCCTGTAATGGGGAGTAGTTCTGTACCAAAGTATAGTATTATTGGGTTTTGGGACAAGTCAGACAAGGACAAGCTCCTGTAATGGGGAGTAACTCTGTACCAAAGTATACTATTAATGGGTTTTGGGACAAGTCCCTGTAATGGGGAGTAATTCTATACCAAAGTATAGTATTATTGGGTTTTGGGACAAGTCAGACAAGAACAAGTCCCTGTAATGGGGAGTAGTTCTGTACCAAAGTATAGTATTATTGGGTTTTGGGACAAGTCAGACAAGGACAAGCTCCTGTAATGGGGAGTAACTCTGTACCAAAGTATACTATTAATGGGTTTTGGGACAAGTCCCTGTAATGGGGAGTAATTCTATACCAAAGTATAGTATTATTGGGTTTTGGGACAAGTCAGACAAGAACAAGTCCCTGTAATGGGGAGTAGTTCTGTACCAAAGTATAGTATTATTGGGTTTTTCTGTAGCACTGCTGTAACTCTGGAGTCTGGAATTGTGCCTGGTATAAGACAATATGCTCAGTGCTTACTCCTAGGTACCTAGGAATGGATATGTATGTGCGTGCACCTTAGCCTATCACTTAGAAGACTAAAAACCGTGGTCTGCCATTTTTAAAGTAACGAAACATTGTGTATTCAAAGCTTAGGGCTTAGCTTTAATTTTTATCAAAGGAAAGGTTTCAATATTTGACAATTGTTCCATACTAAAAACTGTCAACTATAAATTTTATTCTACAATTAAAAATTAACTGTTTATTGAAAAGTCGGCCCTTGTATGTATAAAACAATTACCAATATTTCTGTAAACGTAGAGGATAAATAATCACGCTTATAATGTTTTTTTTTGCTTTTATTGTATTTTTTTTACTCCTGTTTTTTAATGTAATTTATGTTCTTATTGTTTTTTTTTATTTCTGTTTTTCAATGTTATTTTATGTGTGTATATTTGGTGGTCCATGCCTGGTGGCGAATAAATTATTTTTCTTTCTTTCTTTTTATCCCCGAAGGGATAGGCAGAGATGCACATTACAGCACTTAATGCCACTGTACAATGTAACATCCCCTTTTCACTATTTATGTTACGAGACCCATGTAATAGGAGGTGAGCATATGAGGTAGAGGACAGGAAATTAACCTAAATATTATTATAATTTATCAGATCGAAGCAGCTATACGAGATCATCTACAACCGTATAAACTCGGATCTCTTACTATGGGAGCCGCAGCCAGCAGAGCAGTATGACATCAACCCCCTCCAATACCCCGACCTCACCCCCGGCTTTGGCGCGTTCAAAACCGCTGGGCATGGTGAGTGATAGTTTAAACTAGTTTACCCTCTACTATGTCGGAGCTTTGATCTACGCGAAACACCATTGTGTCTATAGAAAAAGCATTATTTTTCTATTGTGTCTTAAATACCGATATAAAAGAGGTTAATAATAATTATTATTATAGTGTTTTTTAATGTAATTTAGTTTTAATGTATAATTTATAGCATTGTTTGTAGATTAGTATTTTATTTTAATCTGTTTATTTATATTAGAATGTATTTGTAAAAAAAATATCAAAAAGTGCATGCTACTGGTATCGGAGGGAATTCAAGATACTGGTGATCAGGGCGAGAGAGAGGATCTTCGGAAAGTACGCGCCGTGTCCAGAAATACTGCTTTCTGCATCAGGCCCTTGACTCAACCAGAACATTACGAACCTACTCAGGTGTTGGTCGACGCTTAGAAGTCATTGGCACACACGACAGCTCGAAACGTCGACTGGCTTGCTGAGTTTACACTGTGCAGACTATCCTATACTCCGTCTGTTTAGGTAGTTAACTATTTGTAAACAAACCATAAAAAGAGTTCTTTATAGTTGACATTTCCATGATTCAAAATACTTCATAAGAAAATAAAATTGTTTCCCTTTTTACGACAGTTTTCTCTATTAAATGTTATGTTTCTGTTCCTTTTCACTTATTTCTTAATAAATATTAAATATATCTGCTTGAGGATATTAATTTAATAACATTTATTAAATAATATAATATTTCATTACATTAGACACCATAAAGAGCCTAAAATCCCAGGTATCCAAAACGTTTCTTTAAGAACGAAGCAAAATAATATTGTCAAATTAAAGAGTACAACGAAGATGTAGCGCGACAATGAAAGTAGCGTGTATTACGTTTAGTCGGTTAATCAGGCGCCATTGACAGCTCTCTCGTCGTTTGCGCTCGCGTTCCTATTTTGTTGAATTTAACTTGTTTCTTTGTTTTGTTTTTGTTATTAAGTTATTTAAGTTTAGGTTATTCATCGTTTGTAATTAATGTGTTCAAATATATTGAAGAAACTTGGCCCAAAGACAGATATCCGTACAAGAAAGAAATCCGTACATCAGATTCAGAATAGTTTCTATTTAAACATGATAATGAAATAGACCCATAGGCTAGGCTCTTGTACGATTTAGGCATTTGTACTTGTATGTGTGTGTATGACAAATGAACGATTTTAAAGTGAATTTAGTTAAAATTAAAACACGAGAAATATTTGAAGTAATAGTAGGTTAAGTATCTCTGTGTCACGTGGTTTTCTTTGTTTACCTTTAGTTAATTACCTAAACAGATGGACTATAGATCTTATTTAATTTATATTTTTATAAAAATCGGTAATACAACGAGAGGTCACTTGTCCAATAAACTCGCTGATTTGCACTCATTGGGCAGTCAATTCTAAACAGTTAAAGTGATTGGACAAACATGACCTCACGCCCTATCGGTGGCATGTCATGAGTAGAAATAATGATAGGCCCTTATTGTTTTGGGTACGGCTAAATATATACGTATTCTATCCCAACATACAATGTGTGTTAATGGCCATTGTCACCAACCATCTCCCTAATTAAAAGTATCTTATCGTGACGTAGCGCTAAAACTAACCACTTAATTGTTACGTGCCTCTTATTTATAGGTAGGTGAAAACCAAATTGTGGATGTCACCTGTCTTTACTTAGAGGTTTAGGAAAGGTTGATGTAAAGGGCAATGACACTGTTTGTACAATAGGCACCAAAAATGTATCTAAAAATGGACTATTTTGACATTGTCATTTGTTGCATCTATGATTTATGATCGTTCAACATCTACACCGTCCTATAAAAATGCTGTAAAATGTCAATATTTGGTACAAAATCTATGTAATGTATTTTTAGCCACCCTGTAGTTTATTATGTTACAATAGTTATTTTTTTTAATTATAAAGTTGTTAAGCTGTGAATGTTTTAGTATTTAATGTTATTTTATTTTAGTTATATCTTTATTAATTATTTTATTTTATAGTAGTTTTAGTTATATTTTATTTATTTATTTATTTATTTATCGGTTTATGCACAACACACAGACAGTACACAGGAGAACACATATATAAATATTTTGGAGGTACATAGGTACTACATATTCCCGAAGGAATCTCTTCCTGCAGTCCTTCGACAGGAAAAACGGAAAAAAAATTTTATTTACTTTTAAGTAGTTTTATTTATTTTTAAATAGTTTTAATTAATTTTATTTATTTTAAGTACTTTTTAATTACAAATATAAGTAGTTTATATATCTATATATTTATGTATGTATATATCTTTCGTATCTCTTTTTAATTTAGATTCTGACACAGAAAGCACGTCGTCAGAGGAAGAGACCAACTTGTACTACTCGACGTATGACAATAAGCTGCGCAAGGGCATCGGGAACAGTCGGCCGCACGAGGAGACAGAGACACACAACTTCTGTCTCACTCTCAAAGTTGGGAAAGGAGTACTTACTATGTATACTCCTGTCAGGGTAAGTTGAATATACTAACATACTGTTGCAGTACTAAAATGTATCTATAAATCACGTGGGAGTGATATCACGGCCGGCTCATAGAACACGGCGTGAAACAACGTTTGCGTTGTTCGCAGCAATTGCAGTTTGAAACTATTGACGTAAGAGTTAAATTAATTGATCAAATGCATACAAATAACCAATTCATTGCAAAACCGCAAGCTTTGCTCTCATAGGCTTTAACCATCTATCATGCTGCTCAAAGCCACTATCATATCATATTGGTGAATACCAAATAAATACTGCTTTTGCGTTTCATCAAATTTCATCCATGCTCTCATCCTTCGCACCTCACCTATTCATATTTCATTCACCAAAATCTCAACAAAACCTTGTTAATTTTTCTACCCAGGACAGCAACAAGCGTGTAGTGCCAGGACAGATGGGCGAGCTAGTACTAGATGCGTATAACTTGTCTATGTGCCAAGTGAGCGGCCTCAATGGAAAACCCAAGACCGCGCAGCTATGTCTACGAGCTGATCGCACTACTTTGTACCATGATTGTAAGTAAATGTTAAGAAAATGTTATTTGAAAACACATTTGTCATACATAAAACAGTGATTAGGAATGGAAGTTCCAAAAATTATAACTCTTATGAACCATGGGCGCCGCTGATTGCTTAACATCAGGTGATTTATCTGCTCAATTGGGATGATGACAGGGTATGAAAATTAAAAATATAATTAGTCCGTAAGTTAGTTAGTGAAAAAATATTAGACACGTATTTTTTTTATTTTGTCGTATATATAATACTTAGACAAAACGAATCAAAGTTTAGGAGTGGGGACTAAAACGTCATTTCTACGTACAAAATGTACATAGAAGTGACGTCACGCGACATTTCAAATCAATATATCGTCGAAAGTATTCGTTTCTGTAAGAAAATAAAAAAATACGTGTCTGAATGATTTAAAATAATCTACCTACATATCTACGGACATTAAAATAAAAATTTGGCTTCTACCCTATTGCGCTGCCGAGGAAAAATATTATGGTCCCTTTTTCCCTCTGTTTTGTAAACTACACAGTACTCATCACTCTATGTGATTAAATTCAGCATTTTAACAAATTGGTTGCCGTGTCTGACAATAATGACCGACGTTAGCTGAGGATTATCCTTTAATAGTTTTTATTGGCAATTAAATAACGTAATCATTCCTATTTTTCATCCCTTAAATTTGTTCATACAAAAATAGTCTCTAAACATTGGAAATAAGGTCTATAATGTAGTTAGTAGTGAGTGGTCACCGGTGACCGCTTGGGGATATACGGTTTAATTCATTTCTTTATTCTTTACAAAACATTACTCCCACACATTGTCCTCTGGGCTGGTAGATTTATAAACACAAATTACACATGACCCGAAACAACAAGGTAGTTCAGATGAACTACCAGCTCCTACTAACCGTTTAAATAAATATGAATAAATTCTTAAACCAAATCTTTCTTTTATCCCCTTTAGCAATGATAACAATACCATCAGAGAAGCCTCCACTCCGTCAGTACGGCACCATGCTACCGTCTCACCTGAAGAGTACCATCTACCCTTCAGGCAGGGGAGTGATTATCAAAGAAAAACTCCTGAAGAAGGACATGTTCACTATGGCACTCAAAGTCGCGCCCGATGCAGAGTCATCTAATGTTAAGGTATATAGAAGATATTTTGTAATATTAATAACATAACATAACATCACGTCTTTTATCCCCGAAGGGGTAGGTAGAGGTGCACATTATGCCACTGTACAATGTAACACCCACTTTTCGCTATTTATGTTATGAGTCCCATGTAATAGGGGTGAGCTTATTGCCATATGGCACAACTCCGACCCGGGAATTGAACCCGAGATCCCTTGCCCGGCTGTCGCTCTTGTGACCACTCGACCGACCGGGCAGTCTTTCTTAGGTTCTTAGGTTTATTTTTCCAAGAGTTAAAAGTTATTTAACAATTTATTTCTCTGTCAACAGTCAATCGTGATAGCCCTGGGCATAGAGCAGGCCACGCTTCGCTATAGAGGTGACAAGGGTATATCCTGGCTGACTCAACTGATGGACATCATCGACGTCATCGACTACCCCGTGCCAGGGTACACGCCCTCCACTGTCATGTCCGAGTTACACGTACATGTCGTGGACTGTGCTGTTGATTATAGGTATGTTGTATATCAAAGTATTTATGTTAGTCTGTAAGGGGTAAGTCTTTATGTATCTATGGCCCATAGCTGCCCGAAAACAAAGTTTTTTTTTAATTTATTTATTTAAATAGGTATACCAACAGCTTCTGTATAAGAGATAATAAAGGTAACAATAGGTATTAGGCTTATACAGTCGCCAATTATTGGTTAACCAACTTTACAATTAAGTGATAATAAAAAGTATACAAAGGAACGAGGACAATAAAATTTTAGTAAATTAAAAAAAGAAACTACTACTTACGAAATTAACATTCTTATCTTAGGGACTATAAAAATTAAAGACTTTTAATAGTAAAGTTTAAATAAAACAAAAAAAATGTATATAGAATAACGTACCGTGCAATGTCTCCTCTCATTCTCTTCCCACGGGTTCTTAAGAGACTTTCAAACTATACAGAAACAATTTTAGATGCAAGTGGTTTTTTTTATGTAATAAGCCGGTAAACGAGTAGACGGATCACCTTATGGTTAGCGATCGGCGCCGCCCATAGACACTCGAAACACCAGAGGTGTTACAAGTGCGTTACCGGCTTTCTGGGGATTAGGAATTTGAGGATTATTGCAGATTCTGGGATTGGGGAAATTGACCAGGAGGATATTGAGCTTTATTCTGTTGAATATTTTGTAATATTCTTAATTTCTTTGACTCTTTGTAACAAGATGTGAAGTGCGAACATATAAAACAACAACGGTAGTCATTATTAACAAAAGTTTGCCATCATATTTTACCAAATGAATGAAGTAACGCATCTCAAAAACCTGGGCTTATAATGTCTAATTATAATTTTAAAATGGCCAACCCACATTAAGTGTGGGAGAGCCATGCTTCGGCACGAATGGGCCGGTTCGACCGGAGTGATACCACGGCCTCACAGAAAAGCGAAGCAACGCTTGCGTTGTGTTACGTCGTGTGAGTGAGGATACCGGATGCCCAATTACCCTCCCCTTCCCCAATCTCCACAATTCCTGAATCCCCAACGATCCTCAAACTCCTAATCCCCAAAAGGCCGGTAACGCACTTGTTACGCTTCTGGTGTTCCAGGTGTCCATGACGGATACCTTCAGGTGATCCGTCTGCTCGTTTACCGGCTTATGCCATAAAAAAAAGCAACCGTGGTGATAATTCTTCAAACCTCTGTGTTAGAAAAGGCTTGGCTCAGCAGTAAGCATTTATAGGCTGTTGATGATGATGGTGAGGTAACACTGGTTACTCATGTAACTGCTGGACGAGGTTACTCAACTAGTTTCAAACCAAGACAGGGCCCGTAATCTTGATCGATGTCACGAACATCGGGCAGCTCTTTTTTATCATAATATTTTCTATCAATAACAATCTATGTATCAATAATATTTTCTTTTATTTCCAGACCACTCTACCTGCCATTCCGCACAGTACTTACACTGGGTAATTTCAGTGTTACAAGCAACCTAATAGCGGCCACAAATACTTCGTGCCTTCGTTTCATAGCACAGGAGTGCACCCTATTCCTAATGCATATACTTGGGACTAAGCCTAATTCCGCAGTACCACTCGACGATGACAAGTTACCTGATATTGTAAAGGATTATGTGTGTGTCGTGGATTTGGGCGTCTTTGAACTATCCCTCAGAATGGCTGATAAGAATAATTGCGTGAGTATCTTTTTATATTGAAAATTTTTATTATATAAAAGTTTTTATAATAACTATCGTGAGACATACTAAATTAACTAAAATCGCGGGTTACTCACGTGAATATACTGAGAAAAGCTCTACTAGTTTCGAACCACAGACACAGAGGGGTTCTTCCTCATAATTAGAGTTATTCGTAGTTACTTTGAAATCGGAGGGGGGGCGCTTTTTACGATAACGCGAACTAAATTTGCTTGTCGCATTAGACAAAGTCTGTAATGGCAATTGCAATATGTGTGCAATAAATAAATTAAATTTACCTAAATCGTTACATCTGAATGACAAACGGAATCTTACTTTTTTATCTTACTCTAATACGCAAATATTATGTTCATTATTATTATAACTATAATATCTAATTTCTGACAACAATAACTAATTTCAACCATTAAACGAACTAACAATACCATCACATAAAAGATCAACTATTTTTAGTCGATTCCCTCACTATTGAGAATCGTAACTCCCTCTGCTTTTTGCTCACTGCTAGATGTCTTGATGCATTGCAACATTCATGGGTATCGTCAACTCCTTGAATATTTGTTCAGACCACCGTATGGGACTCCGGCCTCTCATTGTCTTCCCTTCTACTGTACCGGTCACTATAAAATCCCTTAAACATATTGCAGCCACCGAATCAACCGCACGTGGACCTGAGTGCTTCAAACAACATGGTGACGCTCCACACCTGCTGGGACTCTGCGTCGGCACTGTTCCGTCTGCTCACGTACGCGTCAATGGACGGAGACTCCACACCACCCATCGATCGATCCTCTCGACACACCAGCATCTGCTCCGACCAACCTTTAGAACAATTAGTTGGTAAGTTTTTAATACCACGGCCTCACAGAAAACCGACGTGAAGCAACGTATGCGTTATGTTTCGTCGTATGAGTGAGGTTACTGGAGGCCCAATTACCCTCCCCTTCCCCAATCTCCCCAATTCCTGAATCCCCAACGATTCTCAAACTCCTAATCTCCAAAAGGCCGGTAACGCACTTGTAACTCCTGTGGTATTCCAGGTGTCCATGGGCGACGCCGATTGCTTACCATCAGGTAATCCGTCTGCTCGTTTACCGGCTTATGCCACAAAAAAAAATGTTTTGCAAAGAGCGTATTTCTAAAAATGTTGATATCGCGGTTGTTAGACGAGGTCTCTAGTATTACAAGCGGCGCTGATAACTAACGCCGTCTGCTCGATGGCCACCTATTTCATCAAAAAAATACGCAATTTCCTAGTTTTAATTCGCCAAGGCAAAGTGTAATTTGACTATCTGTATTCAAAATTCTCATAAGGCTGAGAAACTGGACCCAATGTACGGTCAAATGCCACCGTAAGACTACTATCGGTTGCGCTGCAGCGCTTATACACACATGCACACGCATATTTTTATCCGTGTGCGTACGCGTGCGTGTGTTTATGCGTACGCACGCGTTTTTATGCACATTAATGTGAAATTACTTACGCATTGCCGTGTGAACATCACTCACGGTGGCAGTGGACTTTTGACTGTACAATTAAGATTATTTATTGTTGTTCATATGGAATTTACAACATAAAAGACGAAAAATGAATAACAATCAATGATACTATTTTGAGTAATATTTTGAATCTTACTAACTTGCATAAATATTATCTTTAATACTTTATTTTATTACTCTTAGGTCTAGACGACAGGCCGGTAGAAGAAATAAGAGAACTATCCCCGAGTGAAATTCAACAGGTCAACGACCTCATGGCTGAGGCTATGAAAGAAAGCCCTAATACCACTTGTAAGTCAAGTATATCAAGTATATTTTTACTTAAAAACTAAATATTGATTTTTGACTGCACGGTTGGTGCGGTGGCTGGGCAACCGGCTGCCGTGCAACGTGTCGCGGGTTCGATTCCCGCACGGAACAACACTTTGTGTGACCCACAAATTGTTGTTCCGGGTCTGGGTGTCATGTGTATGTGAATTTGTATGTTTGTAAACGCACCCACGACACAGGAGAAAATCCTAGTGAGGGGCAACGTTAAAAAAAAAAGTATGTCCTACTAGCTTTTGCCCACGACTTAGTCCGCGTAGAATATGATTCCTGTTTTATTCCATGGGAGCATATAATCGGGATGCAATACAGGATTTTTTTAGTATATAGGCCCTGTATGTGAAGCGGGGCTTTTAAACCTCCGGGCCACCACGACATATAAGCTTAAATAACTCTAATTAAAAAAGTCATTACAAACTATTCTCGCTTCACAGTGGAAGAAGAAGATCTACAAAATTCAATGGAGGAAAAAAATAAAACTACGGAAGTATTTTACTTCCCCGACGAGTCTAACATGAAGCGAAGGCCTACTGCAGGACCATCGGAGGAGGAACCTCTCGTCGTGGCTGACGATGATTTACCTCCGAGGTTTTTCAACGATTCCGAAAAACCGTTCAATATTCATGTTGCTAAGGAGCTAGGAGACCCTACCTCGACTCCTAAGCGCACTCCTCGCAGATCTAAGAGGAGATCGGTAAGTTTATTTCACTTAGCATCTATTATTAACTAGCTTCTGCCCGCGACTTCATACGCGTAATCCCATTTGTTCCCGTCCCCGTGCGTGATTTTCAGTAAAAAGTAAAAAAAAAATGTTGGTTAAAAAGTATCCTATGTCGGTCTCCTGGCTCTAAGCTACCTTCCTACCAATTTTCAGCCAAATCTGTTCTGCCGTTCTTGAGTTATAAGTGGTGTAACTAACACGACTTTCTTTTATATATATAGATATGCTGGGTGCAAGTCTAACTATCATTTTTCTTCTCCTCTTATAATATCTTCTGATTCACTTCGTTGCGGGAACCAAGACAGTTGTTCATGTCCCTGGGACGCGCCGGGCTTCAGTGTTCCGGTGTTTTTATGGTTGTATCTACTGTAGATCCTGGCTTACAAGAGTTGCAGCAGTTTTGGGAGGTTGCCACAACCTCCCAAAACTGCTGGGCTCGACCCATAAAAAAAATACTGGGTGTAAGGAGAACGTTTCCAAAAACCGAAGACGAGAGATGGTAAAAAACGAGATTTATTTAAAAATAATAAAGAATAAATGTTTATTTTATTTAATAATAGTTGTAATCAACGGCCCAGACTGATGTTGCAAGAAAACACTAAAACAAACGATTAAAACTATAAAAACACAAATTGTTTGTGCTGTCGGAGGCGTTCCGTTTACATCTTGAATGAAGTTGAAGAGTTTATTAGTGAATAAATCGTTATTTCTTGCCATAAAAATTAGTACACATTTGTATATTATTATAAGTTTATTTTTGTAACACAGACAAAATCAAGTAGCGACGGTGGAAACACAGACGATGAGTTTTGTTTCGTGGATTCACAATCGGTGCATGCGGATGAAGAGATGGATGATCCGGGGGTCAAAAATATCAGACCCCCGACTCCTCCTCCCCCTCAACCGGATGAACATTACACTAAACCCAAGTTCAGGACTGATGTCCTCGACCCACCGAAGAGTTACCCACAACCAATGTTGCGGTAATTATGATTATAGTTTATTTTCTTTATTAATTTAGGATCAGTCAGTTAAAAAGGTAGTCTTAAGCTTAAGTCAGTCGGTCAGTTAAAAAGGAAGTTATAATAACATATTAGTATATTATTTATTTTACATTATGTAAAAATATGTTGTTATAACTTCCTTTTTAACTGGCCGACTGGTCATAACCAGTATACAGAAAGTTCAAATTAAATAATTTTTGATTTCTTTCATTACTTCGAGTTTATACATAGTGTTGTGCCATTGTATTCCTTTTGGGATAGGCTTGTTAATTATTATTATTTTAACATATACTTCATTAACATATATTATATGGGACTCATAACATAAAAAGTGAAAAGTGGGTGTTACATTGTACAGTGGCATTAAGTGTCGTATTGTACACCTCTGCCTATCCCTTCGGGGATAAAGGCCGTGATGTTATGTTTAATTTTCACTAATAACGTTATTAATCACGTTAGTAATAGGCGGTTAGCCTAATTAAGCGATAAACCGAGACACCCTTACTCGACCATCGTGCTTCTGATCCCGACCACTTATCAAATACATTACATGAAAATGTGTTACAGATACACTGCCTCTTTGGCCGAGTGGTCGTAAGTGCGACTGCCGGGCAAGGGGTCTTGGGTTCGATTCCCGTGTCGGGCAAAGTATTACTGGGTTTTAAATATTCTCAGTAGTAGCACGGAGTCTGGAATTGTACCATATATGACAATAGGCTCACCCCCTATTACATGACTCATAACATAAATAGTGAAAAGTGGGTGTTACATTGTACAGTGGTATAATGTGCACCTATGCCTACCCTTTCGGGGATAAAAGGTGTGATGTTATGTGTTACAGATACAAATTACTAGAGATGAGTATTACGTGGAACTTGTATGGAGGCAATGACTTCCGAACAGCAGACCAACCGCTACCAAAGAAGAAGGTCACTATTGATGACCCTCGCTCACAAGGATCTCCTACTACTTCCAGGTTAGTATACCATCCTGCTAATACACTTGAAAGCAATGAAATGGAGCCAATAGCATTCTTGTTTGTCTTATCGAACTCTCTAAAATAACGTTAAAACAAATTATTCCATTTACAACTAACTAAATTGCCTCTTTTATACTACATACGTTACCAATTACCAAAGTTGGCCGAGTGGTCGCAAGTGTGACTGCCGGGCAAGAGGTCTCGGGTTCGATTCCCGGGTCGGGCAAAGTATTACTGGGTTTTTAAAAATCTCAGTAGTAGCACGGAGATTGGAAATGTGCCCGGTATATGGCAATAGGCTCACCCCCTATTACATGGGACTCATAACATAAATAGTGAAAAGTGGGTGTTACATTGTACAGTGGCATAATGTGCACCTCTGCCTACCCCTTCGGGGATAAAAGGCATGATGTTATGTATGTTACCAATTAAACTGTCAAAACCGCGAGGACACCGGTGACCGCAACCTATTGTTCTTTCATTGTGTCTATAATGACGGTACTCAAAGGGTTAATAAAATACTTTTGTCAGAAAATATTTATTAAGAAATGAAATAGACACAACGGTAGTGTTTCCATAACTTTGCTACCAAGTGTATTATAAACTAGCTACTTCCGCGCGGTTTCACACGCTCTGCTCAGCTCCTATTGGTCGTAGCGTGATGTTTTATAGCCTATAGCCATCCTCGATAAATGCGCTATCCAACACAAAAATAATTATTCAAATCAGATTTGTAGTTACGGAGATTACCGCGTTCAAACTAACAAACAAACAAAAATTCATTCAAATTAGTTCAGTTGTTTAGGATAAATAACCTAAACATCGACTGCAGCGCCATCTGCCGGGCTGATTTGTGAATCTAAACCATTCCCAGATCCCCTTGAACACAGACAAAAAATTTCATCAAAATCAGTCCAGTCGTTGAGAGAAGTTCAGTGACATACACACTCACAGAAGAATTATATATATATATATATATACATATAAAGATTCTGCTGTACGTGTGTATGTCATTGAACTCCTCCTAAACGGCTTGACCGATTTAAATGCGTTTGAGTGGCGCCCTTGATGGTTTAGATTCACAAATCCCGCAGATGACGCTGCAGTCGTAATCTAGGTTATTTATCTATACCTATTATTATATTATATGCAGCACAACGTCTACCGGATCAGCTAGTTATATTGTAAATACCCGTGTGTTTGTCCAGACGTTCCCAAGAATACGAGCCGTACGAGTCAGGTCGTGCAGCCACGGCGGCGTATCGTTCAAGCGGCGTGCGCTGGGCGGCCGGCAGCGACCGGGTGCGCGCCGCCCGCCTCACTACCCAAAGGGACCTCAGAGAACGAGGCGGACTGCACAGAGACCACACTGTTAAAGTCAAAATTTGTCTAAACAAGGTATGTATTGTAGAAGAAAATCATTTAAAAACCAAAATTCTGTAAGTTTACTATAGTGTTTCGAAAAGAAAATTTGTTGTCGAACGAATAGTCTGTTTAAAATGAATTGCTTCACTTCGGTTCGACTTCTTCGTGTATGTTCAAAAATGTTAAGAGTAGTTATAAGATAAAATTACATGTATATCGAAAATTCGTTTTGGTAAAAATGTATTAGATGTCCAGAATCATATGACAGATTGACGTAAGTTCTGTCAACAATCGCATTATCTTTATCTTTATATATATAATTCTTCTGTGAGTGTGTATGTCACTGAACTTCTCTCAAACGACTGGACCGATTTTGATGAAATTTTTTGTGTGTGTTCAAGGGGATTTGGGAATGGTTTAGATTCTCAAATCAGCCCGGCAGATGGCGCTGCAGTCGAAATTTAGGTTATTTATCCTAAACAGTTAAACTAATTTGAATGAATTTTTGTTTATACATTCAAGTGGATATGCAGTACAAAGTCTGTTGGGTCCGCTAGTATATATATGAAGATTTTCAACTATCGCTTATAAAAATATCATTCATCTCACAATATGAACGTTTTCTGCAGGTGAAGTTCGTATACGACATTTACCCCCCGCGCGGAATATATGCGTCGCGTCAAACATTAGCTATCAGTAAGATAGAAATACTGGACCAGTTAGTATGCAGTGATATCAATAAACTGCTCAGCCAGTACAGGCACAAGGATGAACCTGAGAGGAAACATGCTCATATGGTACGTATATGGAAAGAATAAGCTATTTTATTATAATTACGTTAAGGTTCATTGTTGTTTCTCTTACGAATTGCTTAGAATATTATACTAATGTTAAGTTGCTGTAATTGTCTTCTCTTTCTTTCTTCTAAGTCTTTAACAATAATAAAAGTCCAAGTACTCCATACTCAAACTACTATCAAATGAGTATAAATAACTTTTAACCCGTCGAGCGTCCGCGTTCCTATGATCCAACGGGTGCTCATAAGGACGCTCGAGGGGTTAAAGCGTGTTATAAGTTTGAAAATAACAAATGTAATTTACTAAGACTGTTGTTAACCTTTACTTTAACATTTAAGGCGCTATTACCAACCCTAAAACGTCTGGAATAAAGTACAAAATTGTAAAACAAATATTTTTCTCTAACAGTTTTATATAAAATGCGTGCATCGCCGGCCGGACCCTGAGTTATCAGCTCAGGAGTGTTGCGTGGTGGTGTCCGTTTTACCTCTATGGTTCAACCTCGACCAAGATACTTTAAATTTCCTCGCCGCCTTCGTCAACAAACTCGGTTCTGATGAATATCCAGGTAAGTAGGATTGAAGTGATATCGGGCCTGAAAATTAAAAATCTATTTAGTCCGTCAGTTAGTTAACGAAAAAATATTAGACACGTATTCTTTTAGAAAATAGTACAGACTGCCTCGTTGGCTGAGTGGTCGCAAGTGCGATACCCTGCCCGGCGCAAGGGGTCTCGGGTTCGATTTCCGGGACAGGCAATGTATTACTGCGTTTTTTTATATAAAATCCTCAGTAGTCGCACGGCATCTGGAATTGTGCCCGCAATGGTAATAGGCTCATCCCCTATTACATAGGACTTTAACATAAATAGTGAAAAGTAGGTGATACATTGTACGGTGGCGTTATGTGCCGTAATGTGCACCTCTGCCTACCTCTTCGGGAATAAAAGGTGTGATGTTATGTTAAGAAAACAGTACTTAGACAAAACGAATCAAAGTTAGTAGTGGAAGCTAGCTACGTCATTTCTAAGTATAAAACACTTATATTTTTTTCCACAGATGACGACTCTAAAAGCGTGGGAGGACTATCCACAGACTCGAGTGGTTCCCGTCAGACGACGCCGACCCATCGCCCTCCTGTCATGACCCTCGGCAGGGATCTTCGCGACCCCCCTCCCACGCCTTCCTACTCTGGAGACACTGACTCTCTTCATGAGCCTAGTAAGTAACAAAAAGAATTATTAATTATTAAGATTTCTATTAATTAGTTTTCTGGATAATTGTTTAATAAATTGTGAAAAACTGGTTTGCAATTTTTTATATACGTTAAATAAAGTAAAAACCTGTGTAAAACACATTTTTCTTAGAGTAATTATATTTACTCGACCAATTTCAGCCAGGATAGGGGCTTTTAAGCTTGAACCGTATTGCCCAATAATCGCGGCTATGACATATTAACCAGTTGGCAATTTTTATAATGTTTTAGACAATGATCACCTATTACATCGACTTTATTCTTTAATGTACACAATTTGATTATGGCACATAAGGCGAACTTAATGCCATATTGCATTCTGTATCAGACAACCTTGACTGGTAGAGAATGCCTATATGGCTTTAATATACCTATATGGCTATAATATGGCTTTAATATACCTATCGGGCTCAAACACTTGTATCAAAGGCAAAAAATTCATTTTAAGCACTTTTTGAGCCTCAAACCTTGATTTCTAGCATTCCGCAACGATGAACCGCTAATGGAGAAGTACGAGGCGGAGCGCCTGGTCTCCGAGAACCTCATCCAGCTGGAGGAAGACTTCAACAAGCTCGGCGTACAGGAGAAACCTCAAGCCAAAACCTCGGCTGGCACTGAGCATTTTGACGATTCACCGATATACTTCCGGTAAGTAATACTTTAATATTTCGACATAGTGCATTAGAGCCTACCATTTTTGCTAACTAGATGGCCTTATGAACCTCTCGTTCTTCGTCCAATTAGGAATTAGCTAAATTATTATGTTTTCGGCTTACTCACGTAATTATTTGACGAGGAACTCAAGTCGAAGGTCGCGAAATGCTGCTCATAAATATGAGCCTCTAGCATGGCGTGAAACTAGTCGAGTTCCTCGTCAAAAAATTACGTGGGTAAGCCGAAAACATATTTGGAAAAGTCAATTCAATCAAATTGGATCACGGCCTTGCTCTCTTGTTTTCTTTCAACTGTCTTCAATTATTACAGCCGTTAAGTACAATGAGGAAGCTCTCTAATTGCGTCCCTTGAATTTTAATAATTGATTAAGTATGTCTCACGAAAGTTATAATACAAGGAATTAGCTAGTGACAATACCATTGGATATCCAATATTTTGCACGTTGACTGCACGGTTGGCGCGGTGGTTGGGTAACTGGTTACCGCACAACGAATCCCGGGTTCGATTCCCACACGGAAAAAATCTTTGTGTGATCCCCAGATATTCCGGGTCTGGGTGTCATGTGTATGTGAACTGTATGTTTGTAAACGAACCCACGACACAGGAGAAAATCCTAGTGTGGGGCAACGTTTATTAAAACCATTTTTAACCGACAGCAGAAAGAAAAATGTTCTTAATTGTACCGTTTTTTGTTCTAGACGTTTTGTATTCAAGTGCGATGTACCAATTCGGTTAGACTACGTGGGCAAGCGAGTGGACCTGTCTGCCGGACCTATCGCCGGCTTGCTCATGGGCCTAGCACAACTCAACTGCTCTGAACTTCTACTCAAGAAACTTGAATTTAAGTATGTTTTAAACTGTCAAACACCAAGCGGTCACCGGTGACCGCGACTTATTGTTCTTTAATTGTGTCTATAAAACCGGTACTCGACGAGTTAAACTGTTATTTAATTTTTAAATCATTAGACACGTATTTTTTATTTTTTTTACATAAACGAATACTTTGTATATTGATTTGAAATGTCGCATGACGTCACTTCTATGTACATTTTATACGTAGAAATAACGTTTTAGCCCCCACTCCTAAACTTTGATTGGTTTTATCTAAGTATTGTTTTATTATACGACAAAATAAAAAAGTACGTGTCTAATATTTTTTGATTATCTAACTGACGGACTAATTAGATTTTTAATTTTCATACCCTGTCATCATCCCTATTATGCTACTTAAAAAATATACATTTTAAATTGTACTCAGAGGTAGTTTAAACCTAAAGGGCCCCCTAATTTATTTAGCGCTGCCGCCCTATAGGCAGTTGGACGCACGGGTCTCGCAGTGCCCCCTCTGTGGCCCGGCGGTCTAATAACTGGCTTACTGTGCCTTAGAAATAATTCGGCTCTAGTTGTATTTAAATATCGTGCTACTCTATCATGTAAATTGAGCGTATGTGAATATTAAGTTCTTTGCTGACAGACTGCCTTGTTAGCCGAGTGGTCGCAAGTACGACGCAATGGGTCTCGGGTTTGATTCCCGGGTCGGGCAAAGTTTTACTAGGTTTTTAAAAAAAACTATCAGTAGTAGCACGGAGTCTGGAATTGTGCCCGGTATATGGCAATAGGCTCACCCCCTATTACATGGGTCTCATAACATAAATAAATAGCGTAAATTGGGTGTTACATTACGCAGTAACATTAAGTGCCGTAATGTGCACCTCTGCCTACCTCTTCGGGGATAAAAGGCATGATGTTATGTTGAACATTAGTCAAGTTTTTTAATTTCCATAGATCTTGGAGTCTTTTTGTGCCGTTAAAAGTTAAAAAGTCAAAAGTCAAAAATCATTTATTTCAATTAGACTTTTGTTAAATCATTCTGTTGTTCATTGTGTTCCAGATTGGGTCTTCTGGGTATAGAAAAGTTAATACAATATGCTACTACGGAGTGGATGAATGACATCAAACGACATCAACTGCCCGGACTGATCGGTGGTATTGGACCGATGCATTCAGTCCTGCAATTTGGTAAGTAACCATACTGAATTTAGTTTGTTTTTTTTGTTTCAATTCGCTCATCGCAACGGAGCTACTAGTTTTAATTGAACTGGTTTTGAATGCGTTTTTTTAAATATGGAGTGGAGTGGATGAAGTGAGAACGTTTGTATGCATAATAGTTTTGTACCGTAAGGTGAGGTATATATAGATATTTTTTTATGGCATGAGCTGGTAAACGAGTAAACGATACCTGGAACACTAGAGGCGTGAGGATCGTTGGGGATTCAGGAAATTGGGGAGATTGGGGAAGGGAAGGGTAATTGGGCCTTCGGTAACCTCAGTCACACGACGAAACACAACGCGAGCGTTGCTTCACGTCGGTTTTCTGTGATGTATATGGTATATGGTAAAACTAATTAATAAAATTATGATTATTATTTTATAGTTAATGTGTACGTATCCAAAAGGGCCCATTCCCACGGGTGACTCTTCTCACTCACTTCATTACAGACCTTATTGCTGATATATAGAGATTACTTTTGTATGAACAAATTGTGTTGTTAAAAATGAACAAAGTGGCGGTGGAAACAGTGTAAATAATGTACAACGTGTACAGTGGCGGGCATGAAGGACCTGGTGTGGCTGCCGTACGAGCAGTGGCGGCGCGACGGGCGGCTGGTGCACGGGCTGCGGCGCGGGGCGGCCTCCTTCACCGCGCACACCGCCATCGCCGCGCTCGACATCACCACGCGACTGCTCAAACTCATACAGGTACATCACATTAACTCGTCGAGTACCGGTTTTATAGACACAATTAAAGAACAGTAGGTCGCGGTCACCGGTGACCGCTTGGTGTTTGACAGTTTAATACATAAATGAATCCCTTTTCCCTTGGTCACGACACTACGCGTGGATGCGTGGACGCGTGTGCGCGTTGGCCGAGTGGGCGCCAGTGCGACTGCTGGTCAAGAGGTCTCGGGTTCCATTCCCGGGTCGGGCAAACTATTACTGGGTTTTTAAAAATCTCAGTAGTAGCACGGAGTCTGGAAATGTGTCCGGTATATGGCAATAGGCTCACCCCCTATTACATGGGACTCATAACATAAATAGTGAAAAGTGGGTGTAACTTCTGTGTGCACCTCTGCCTACCCCTTTTGAGATAATAGGCGTGATGATGATGTTATGTTTCTTCTGTGAGTGTGTATGTCACTGAACTTCTGAAACTGAAACGATTTTGATGAAATTTTTTGTGTGTGTTCAAGGGGATCTGGGAATGGTTTAGATTCACAAATCAGCCCAGCAGATGGCGCTGCAGTCGAGTTTAGATTATTTATCCTAAACAACTGAACTAATTTGAATGAATTTTTGTTTATACATTCAAGTTGATATGCAGGACGTCTGTCGGGTCCGCTAGTCTATATATATAAATGAATCCCTTTTCCCTTTCTTACGGCATCACGCGAGAATGGCGGAACCGATTTCACTAATTCTTTTTTTTTTTTTGTTGTTATTACTCACTCACACGACGAAATACAACGCAAGTGTTGTTCCACGTCGGTTTTCTGTGAGGCCGTGGTATCACTCTGATGGATGCGTTCCGTTCGTGCCGAAACATGGCTCTCCCACGCTTAAACGTGAGCTTTACTTAGGTCGACTCGACTAGATTGTTACAACAAAACAAAACCACCTGAGACAGATTACAAGAGGCTCTTCTCCGCCCTGAAAGGTCGGCGACGAATTCATAACTCCTCCTGTGTTGGAACATCAGATAATTCGTCTACTCATTTAGCAACTGTTGATTTGCCACATTGTCCACTGAAGCATTTAACATTATTATTTTTTTAAGAAAATATAGGAATTGAATTATGAATTTTACCAACCGTAAAAATCAGCATGTACAGTACAGAGGGCCAAGCACGAAAAACTATCGCATTCGTATCGTAACAGTATCGAGCGAGTTAAGCATTCTGATTGGTTGGTTCACTTGAGCCGGCCAATCAGAGCGCCGAACGCGCTCGATCGGCCTCCGCATCCTGCTAGTTAAACTGCAAGATCAATAAGATCAATACAATCAACCCAAACCTTTATTTTACTGTACTTAACTAATACCTGTAACCATCGCCAATCACGGTTATAATGATATTTATATCTATTTTGATAACCAGGCCACGGCAGAGACAGCGTTCGACTTGCTGACGCCGGGTCCGACGCTGCAGCTGCAGGAGGCGTACGCGCGGCGCGAGCGGCGGCGCCGGCGCAGGCACGACCCCGCGCGGCACCCCGCCGACATCAGGGAGGGCGTCGCTAGTGCCTACCAGACTGTGAGGGAGGTGGGTATTATATTTACATTACAAAGTCACTTTCTGCCGTCTGTGTGTCTGTATGCTTACATCTTTAAATTTATACAACTATTTTTGATGCGGTTTTTTAAATATAGACAGTGATTCAAGAGGAATCTTTCTATGTATAATAACTCGTAATTTAACGCGTATGAAAGCAAAATCTAGTGGTAGGTAAACCATTGTTGCATTATAGTTTAATCACTTGAAAGACATCGGTGACAAAAATGGCAACTAGGTGGTGTAGTAGTTTGAAATGACTCGTAGTCGGGGCTCAAACGATTTTAAGTGAGTAATCTACTCAATCAAGCGTGGGGGACTAATTTTTGTTTAATATGTTTTTTGCACAGACTGACAAAATTTAAATCATTAAATTTGTAGTTTTTATTTTGTTATCTCCTATTTTATGTTAACATAATTGCTATGTGGCAGGGTTTCGAAGACACAGCAGCAACGATGGCAGCAGCGGCGCGCTGGTCTAATGGCGTGGGGGTGCTGCGCCACCTGCCGGGCGCGGCCGTGGCCCCGCTGGCGCTGGCGGCCGCCGGCGCCGCCGACGTGCTGGGCGGCGTGCGCGCCTCGCTCGCGCCCGACCACTCGCGCCACCACGCGGACAAGTGGCGCGCGCACCCGCCAGACAACCCGCACGGTAACTCAATCTAACTGCAGCTAGCTGTAGAAAGAAAAACATTTATTCAGCACCAGTCACTATGCAGCATAAATAAAATATTTATTTATTTATTTCAACTCTTACAGCTAACATTACAGGGAAATTATGTACATTAATGCGTTAGTGAAGCACTTTATAAGATATTTACATTTACACAACTAACTTAACCATTTTTAACATCAAATTAACAATACTCAGGCAAATAACATCAACTTAACACTAAAACTATATCTACTACTCTATCCTATAACACAATCTGTAGAAAATAATATAAAAAAGACAGATAGGGTGACAGTGAAAGTAAAATGAATATTGAGTAAAAAAATATAATAGAAGAATCAGAAAAAAAACGCTAGCATGTCATGCCTGTGCTATATAGGTTGACCACTCAGTGTAAGCTATGCACACGAGTGACCCAGCACCGTTTTCAGTGGGCACCCTTTCAGTGGCACACCAAACACGCACGGATCTGCCTGAACAGGTATCTCTGTGTGTGTGTGCGTGTGGCGTAAAAAGTCACTCAAAACGCACAGTTCGGTCACGGGGCGGTTAAACCCGAGCTTGCTTGTGTGGGTGCTTCTGACGTGCCCGCCACATTTGACAATTACAGTTTGACATCCGCTGGGCAGATCCATGCGTAGCTATTATCTTAACCTGCTTTGCTTACGATCAAATGCCCTTGATAAGTCTACATGTTTAACGAGTTTATTTTCATACAACTACCACTATTCCAGATCCTTTTTTCCACATTTCTAATATCATGTTTTTCTTGTTTCAGATTGTATAGACTAAGTAGATCCCGTAATCAACAATGATCTCTCTAACAATTTATTCTTGTGTATAATATTGTGAGGGCGGATTGCACTAAAGTTGAAATTTGACGTCTCTTCGTTAGCGTAGAACCTTTACATTCCTCGATAATAAAACAATTTAGATTTAGTATATTTTTGATACAATGTCGCTTGTTGAGTCAGCCACACTATATAATAATTATATTTGATAGTACCTATATTTTGTAGTTTCCTTTTCATGCTTTAATCGTGTGGTTGGCTGTGGAAATCAATATAAAAATACATATCCAAGTCATACGCTCAAGATCGCAGTTTCATAATACGTAACTGACCGTTAGTGCAACCCGCTCCGTCTCCTGCTCAGCTCACCACGAGGCTCGTCCGTCGACTGCCATTACGTTCACATTTAGTTCATCGAAATATTATGCTATTAGTGTAACTCTAGATGTAAGGTTCTTGGCGTTGATCAGTAGGGAAGCGGCTAGAAACAGGTACTTGCCTCTATTGGTATAGACCCATGGACACACGATATTTTTTATATTATACGCGATTTCAAAACGTGTGCTCATCGAAAAGCGATTGAAAAAAGCGCGCGTAGTGATTCTAAAATGTGATGTATTTTTATACAAAGTTATAAATTTTCTTAAGCGAGGTACAAAACTGTTCTTTCTCGTTTCTGATATTAAATTTAAATTATTTTATATATTGGACAGGATACTGTTGCAAATATATAAATAATAGCGCTGACTTTATAACTCATAATATTATGGTAGATTTAGTTTTAGTTGATATTTGTGTATTTCATTTTGTCAATGTTTACAAGTACATGCATTTTCGTCCCTCGTTGAAAATCTGTACTATGAAACGAATTTTCAAATTGTAATTCAATTAGCAGAGCATTGTCTATAGATACCCTGTATTCCTATATTTCTAACGGAAGGATGATAGTTGCGCTAGATAGGTCATTTTTTACGAAGACTATCATATTCTTGTTAAAAATGTTACCTCCACTGCAACTTTATTCGCCAGCATGATAATATAACACCTACCTACGAAGAGTTGAAGACTGTGGTGCTCGAGTCGAACAGTCTAGCATTTTAGAGCATTTAGCGGCTCCTTTAGATTTTTATAAATAATCACTGTACGGAAGTTTGGGTGCCATGACAGATAATGTGAATTTATAAACATTAGATATTATAATATTACTTACTTTCATTATACCGAGCTCCTATTCGGAATGTTTGTAAATAGATTTATTATATAATGACATTGGGATTTTCAATTTATTTTTTATTCAATAGTATTGCAAAATTGTGGAGAATTTACTTCAAACAAATCGCCTGACGCTAGACTTTACTGAGTAAATATCATCAAACCGCCGCGAGGAAAGTCAGGACATATTGTGACGGTAGAAGGTTTATGCAATTATTTACTCAAGTAGAAAGCTTATTTCATTTTTACGCGTGATTCCTTGATATCTAATAGAGTAGTAAGACTCCATATTGTTTTTATTCAAACAAAGAGATAATAAATCAATATTAAATAATTAAATGATATGATTGCAACATTTCTTTTATTTATGAACTAACAAACTATATTACATAACACTTGTGTCTAGATCTAAGCTTCTTGTTCCACTTTTTCTGGGTATTTGTCGTTGAGGAAGCTCTTTATTTCTCCATATTCTGCCTTCAAGTTAAGACGGATTTTCTCATGGTGTCTGTACTTCTCATACTTCTTAAGATATACCTTGTAATGAGGCATAGTCTCGTAGAAGCGAGGGAACTTCCTCTTCTTAAGAATGACTTTGTCGTTCATGACATACTGTATGAAGTCTAGGGTCTCATTTTTCTGGATTTGGTCCTTTGTCCTCACTTCAGTGGGACTGGCCACTACTTTAGGGAAGCTCTCATTCTCATCTCTGTATTCAACTAAATGCAATTTCTTCTCTTCAGCCAACTCTTGATGTGTTCTCTGAAAAGATGGAGATAAAGTTTATTCAAAATGGAGAGGACATATTATATGTGTATAGTCAATAATCATGATTGTCTAGGTACCTGTTGCAAAAGGCCAATGAAGAATGCTTTAACAATATGCTGCAGGTTGTTAGACCCCTCAACTTTGGCCCTCAAGTCCTTAATGCCAATAGCTTGGCAGATTTCCTTGATAGCTCTGTGGCACATTAAGCCATATCCTTCATTCTTTTTCTGGACAAATATCTTAGTTTTACCAAAAGCTGTGAAGAAGTCATGGTAAACTGAAAACAAAAAAAATAAATAAATAATAAAAATAATTTTCAATTTTCTGTATTTGTATTATGATTTTATGAAAAATCCATACTTGTGTGTCCATTGTAGATTTCAAAGTGCATCAGCTTCTGACCTGCCCTGTTCTTAGCCTTCCTGAGAGCAGCTGGAGCCTCTTTGGCTCTACCTAAACCAAACCCAGCTAAGCCTTGTCCATTTCCTGTTACAACCTAAAAGAAAAAAAAAGTATCATAGACAAAACAGTTCATAAGCAAATAGGTTTTAATGTTACTGTGCTCACCATAGCTTGAAAGTTTCTTGTACGTCCAAGACTGCCTTTCATAATGAGCAGAGACCGCAGCTGCAAGACTTTGGTATCAAATCCAGTGAACTCATCTACAAAATAAAATAAAAGGTAACAATATAGGGCCTCTAATATCAAAACTATCACACAATTATTAAAAATGGGAATGTTTCTGCGTTTGGATGTTTGTCCCTTAATTATGCTGAAACTACTGAATGGATTTTGATGAATGCTGAAACTACTGAATGGATTTTGATGAAATTTGGTACACTGGCACAAGCAGGGTATGGGCTGATGTAGTTGATAGGATACTTTTTATCTCGATTAAATGCTTCCATGGGATTAAACAGGAATATACAGGCAAATTGGTGGGGTAAAAACTAGTTTCTAAAATAAATCTAGTAATAAGTACCTTCTCCGATTGGATCAGGGGGTCCCAGACTGCGTCCAGGCAACTTAGAACCTGACCAACCTCTTTCTATGGGATTCAATCTTAGTCTTCTAAACTTTGTCATTGAATCTCTGATCTTAGTCAGCTTCTCAAGTCTGAAATAACGTAAAAAATGGCATTATTTATTACATATATTTTTGTGATAACTTTATTTATTTAGAGCCTTTTCCCTTACAAAGGTATGGTCAACCTCATCACACCCTAATCTAACTTAAAACTGCATAACTACATAACATTTGAAACTGATTGTTCATCAAATCAACAACTAAAAGGTCTTTTTTGAAAAATTTTAACATTATCCAAACAGATTGTTAGGTACTTCAGTGATATAGACATCATAGATGTATAAATCAAAATTGGAATCAAATATTCGATTTCTTAATAGTTTCCAAATTCCTAAAAATGGTGAATACTTTACCTTTCCTGGTCATCGGGTAGCCTCTGTTGCTTTAACAGTTCTCTACCCCTGATGACCGGTGCAGACAGACCAGGCCACAGCATATTGACTTTGCCAACTCCGATTACCTGACCGCGGTTCAAGTCACGGATCCGGATGCGACCTGTTCCTCTACCACGACCCTTTTTAGCACCAGCATTACTTACAGACGTCACTGACTTCCATAACTTCTCTGCTGGCACTAAAAATAAAGAAGTTGAACTATGAATCTTTAAACCAAATAGTTACTTCTTAGAAGCGTTTACAATATTTTAGTGTCTTCTTATTACTTGGGTATTAGTGAACTTACACTTATTGAAGAAGCTTATACCAGCTACAGAAGTAGTGCTGAAATTAGTTTTAAGGTTAGGTGTAACATTGTTTTGCTTCAGCAAAACGTTAACAGGTCGGCTTATAATATTACACAGAGTTAATATTTTAGTAGACATTTTGAAACAGAGCAACGTCTGTTTCTTTTATTTATTTGAAGAATTTATAATAATTTAGTCAATAATGCACTCATTTCTTTATTGACAGACTTTTGACTTTTTGACAGATAACAATTTCATTCGTTGACTTTTGAATAGTGATGTGAAGATTCTTTATTATGATTTTGTGTCTATAAAATGAATGGAATAGTAACCAATACATATACCTTTTACAGCTGCTAGTAATTTAATTTATTACAAATCTGTCTGAAATCACGACAAATGAATCGAATATAATGCGTTATTCTAATTTATTCGAATCACACAGTACAACATATTTGACTAGTTATGAACGCAACGCTAATTTTGACAGTTGTTTTACGTGGCTGACTGACCTGCCTGCATCCCCACTGCCACTTTTGTTTGTCTTCGATTGTTAATACAGAATTTCTCTGTATAAAAACTGTTTTTCATTTAGAACTTGTAATTTAAATTAAAGCTTGGTTTAATTCTATTACTAAGTAACAATGGGGCTGTGTAAATGTCCAAAAAGAAGAGTTACGAATCAGTTTTGTTTCGAGCACAGAGTTAATGTTTGTGAATATTGTATGGTGACGAGTCACCCGAAGGTAATTTTCAGTTTATCGTATGTTTCATTGAAGTGAAAGTACTTAATATGTTAATATATGGTTTATATTTCTCTCTTCTAGTGTATTATACAGTCATATTTGCAATGGTTACAAGACAGTGACTACAATCCCATATGTGAAATTTGCACAAAATCTCTTAGTGAGGGCGAGTGTATTCGACTTACTTGTTATCGTAAGTATCAAGTGGCATGGATTGTTAACTATAAACTTATTTAATAGAAAATATATGTTTTAAGATACAAGATTGGATAAGATTAAATAATCATCTATTAGGATCTATAACCTTATGTACTCTTTAGTAGCTAGTTATCAGTACTTAACTCGTCGAGTGGTGTCGCTTGGTGTTTGACAGTTTAATCTGTCAAACACCAAGCGGTCACCGGTGACCGCGACCTATTGTTCTTTAATTGTGTCTATAAAACCGGTACTCGACGAGTTAAACCGTGATTAGAAATTTTTTTAATAAATAAAAAAATTATCGTATTTATTCTCCATTTACATGAAATTAAATGGTTAAAGAGTGAAATATAAAATAAACAAACCATTACTACTTATAAATGTTTTATCAAATAACAAAACATTCAGATTAGTAAAATACTTATTCAATAAAATAAAATTAAATAGGTGATCTTGTTAATAGAACAAAATAAATAAAAAAAATTACAAACTATTTAGGTAATATGTTGAAATGATAGTATGTTTATGTGTTACATACATTGTACAATGAACTATTGTTTGAAACTAAAAGATGAATATTTATGCACAACATATAATAGTGACATTTTTCTATACAAAAGGAAGGATTTTATTATCAATCCATAAGTACAATGTAGTACACTTCATCCCATTCTATCTAACCATAGCTTAAGCATAAAAATATTTCACTTTACTATTATTAATAATATTTAAATTCCTTACTCTTCCAGATGTATTTCACTGGGCTTGCGCTGAGGCTAAATATAGGGCTTTGCCCCGCACTACTGCACCAGCAGGTTATCAGTGCCCGTCATGTGCCACACCTGTGTTCCCCCCATCCAACCTAGTCTCCCCTGTCGCTGATGAGCTCCGAGAAAAGTTGGCTGGAGTCAACTGGGCCAGAGCTGGCTTGGGTCTACCTCTGGTTAGTAGAAATACATTTTATATGGCAATACTTGAAGTTGTTGTGTGTGGTTTATGTTAGTAGGTATAATAAATGCAAGGATAAGTAGACACGAAGGCTTTATGTAAGGGGCAATATCAGGAAGCGAGGGTCATCCTAAATGGCAGTACTCAGGCTTTATTCTAAAGATATGAAAAAGAACAACATAACATAACATCACGCCTTTTATCCCCGAAGGGGTAGGCAGAGGTGCACATTACGGCACTTAATGCCACTGTACACTTTTCACTATTTATGTTACGAGTCTCATGTAATAGGGGGTGATCCTATTGCCATATAACGAGCATTATTCCAGACTCCATGCTACTACTGAGATTTTTTGATAAAACCCAGTAATACTTTGACTGACCCCGGAATCAAACCCGAGTCCTGAGTTTAATATGTGTGTATAATTATGTATGCATGTAGTCAAAATTACTATGTAAGGATTGCACAGTTGGCACTCTATAGTTCCTGACAGAGTCGGTAGCACATGATTATCATTAGTTTACGTGAAAAAAGTCTTTTTTTTCTTCTTCTTTACAGCTCTCAGAAGACCAAGACATGAAAGGCGCAGCTGGACGTCGGTCCCAATCCCCAATTGACCATCATTCACCGTTCTATACAAGCACAGTGGACAACCCTCGAGGCACGCCAGTGGGAGCCAGTGATGACGAGTCCACCGGCCGGTCTGCCAACGGCACGCCACATTCCATCGTCCAGATATCTGACGAACCAGTCAACATTTATGACAGCTCTTCACTAAAGAGAACTGACAGTTTACAAGGTGTGTAGCCAAAATGTTCACTTTTTGAATGTTTAAAAATCTAATTAGTCTGAAAGTTAGATAAAGAAACAATATTAGACACGTATTTTTTAATTTTATCATATAATAAAACAATACTTAGATAAAACGAATCAAAGTTTAGGAGTGGGGGCTAAAACGTTATGTCTACGAATAAAATGTACATAGAAGTGACGTCACGCGACATTTCAAATCAATGTATCGTCGAAAGTATTCGTTTCTGTAAGAAAATAAAAAATACATGTCTAATGATTTAAAATAATCTACAAGACAGACATTAAAATAAAAATTAGGCATCTACCCTATTATTATGTTTTCGGCTTACTCACGTAACTGTTTGACGAAGAACTCGACTAGTTTCAAGCCATGCTAGAGGCTCATATTCATATTTTAATATAAATAAAATAAATGTGAATTACAAGTACCTGTTTTGTTTGTGTGCCCTGTGTAGTCACACATGCATTCATAATTTGATATTTTAATTCTAGGTGGTCAAGCTCCAAGGAAAAGTGTCAAATCAAACGAACCATTGAAACTGACTACAAACTACGACCATGATGAAAATAAGTACAAGCAGAAATCTACATTCGCCTGGATCAGTAGATGGTGGAAGTAAGTACTATGTACATATTATATTGTATAAGTAAACTATAAGAGTAAGGTTTTCTATAGGAGGTTTTTGGTGCATTTGCAACCGATGTTCTAGCGAGGTCTTGAAAAAAGGTTTTATTTCACATCAGCGGCTTTCGGCGCCTCGTTACATCTGTCACCCGGGTGTAAAGGCGCGCCTAAAGTTGCTTGAGTTAGCTTTCTACCCTAGGTCATCTAGTTCCCAGGTTCTTTATTGTTTTTTATCAAACAATATTAAAAATGTTTCCTTCTAACAGGAACTCGCTCCCATCTTCTCGAGTGCGAAGAGCCGGAGGCATCTATAGACGTTATTGGATCATGCTGTTCGTTCTGATAGCAATAATAGTAGTCCTAGTGCTACTCAGCCGCAGAGACGTCGATGATGAGAACCCCTTCGCTTTTATCCAGGATGATAACCAGAGGGTACTACAGAAAAACTGATACCTCATATTTATTCTCTAAATCAAGCAATTTAAAAAGTGATATATAATAAACCCAATTAGATGTATTATATTAATTTTATTTCACTTAAATAATGTTATGTTAACTTAATTATTCCATAACGTAATGAATAAGATGTTAAATAAAGTTTCAAAAGTCAGGCTTCAATTGTTTTATTATGTGAGTAACAAAATGTAAATACAATAAATGGGTAAATGCATATCAAGGCTGAATGTGTAAATCATTTGTAAATATTGCTTAAAGCTTTGCTTAGTTTACATAACTTTCGTACAGGTCTCCACTTCCTTATTCAAAAACATTACAGAAAAGATATCGTTATAAAAGTCGGGATAATATTCGCATGCGCGCCGACAGTCTGGCATCCAATTCATCTCCAACAGGATGGGTTGAATGACCTTTTCATTTCCGACGTTACGCCAACTCAGCATAATATCTGCAGCATACAATGCCTTGGATTGTGGGCTCTTCCCTATTCCGCAAGGAGGCCCCTTTGATGTAGCTGCATCAAATAACTCTGATAACATCTTGAATATTGATTTTTCAACATCTGCCCAATCATAGTTGGCAAACTGCCTAGACCACTCAGCTTTGAAGTCTGCACATAACATCTTAAAAAGCTGTGCAGTACCACTGTAATTCATAACTGTAAAGTGTTTTTCATAATCTTCAAAGTTGTCCAAAGAGAATGGTTTATTAGCAAATCGAAGGAAGAAATTATTGTAAACATAAACCTCTGTTGGTCTAACAGAAGTCAAGAGTATCACATAGCGAATGTCAAACTTAACCAGGCCAACATCTGGTCTTTCAAAGAGGACAGGGTTGTCAATGTACTTCTGAGCAATTTTAGGACCAGTCAGAGGTAATCGGCATAGGAAATCTAAATTGTCACTGATATAAGTGTCCAAACCTCTTGCAAGGTTGTATGGTTTACATATCCAATGATTATCTAATCCAGCCTTCCTCCTCTGCATATAATATGCAACAAACTTGGGCAGCTCAGTTTTCATATTAAAGGTTGTAGGCAACCAAACTGGGTTTGTATCAAGAGAGTTATTTTCATCACTGTACTTTTCTGCAGACCGCCTAGCAATTACAGCTAGCAAATCTTTTATTGTCATTACATATTCAAATGGGAATTGATTAACAAATTTGTGTGGCGATTGAACACTTAAATCTTGAAATTCTTTGAAATGGTTAATGTACCACAGTACATCAGCATCATTTTCATTGTCTACTATTTCAAACTCGGGAGCTGTGAGGTGTTCATTGATATATCTGTACTCTGAGTACACTTTTAGCTTAGTAGTGTCATTAATCTCTCTTACTTTCAACAAATCTAACTCCGGAAGAGTTTCGACTATGTGACCCTCTAAAAAATATTTGGTGCTTGGCTCCACCTGAACAAAATCTTCCCCAAAATGGTCATAGTGCTTCCATGGGATAAGCATTGCTTCTCTTTGCATGGGATCATGGAACTGACCCTCTACAAAGTTTCTAGTGACCATGTCACCTTCTTCAACATCTTTTACTGGAAACAATAATGTGTAAGTTAATTGTTCAGGCACATATATGAAAGGCACTGCTCGGAAATTGGGCGTGTCTGAATGAGTAATTCCAGAACCCAATTCGTCTAAGACGTACCACACTGGAACTCGTTCTTCAATCGAAAATTCATCACCACCAATTGCATAAGTATGTGCATACTTCCACACCGCTTTTGATACTTCATCAATTTGATCCTCGGTTGTTTCTGCAGATACTTGCATCATATTACACATTCTTTCCAAAAGCCCCGGCACATTTCTTAGACTACTTTTAATACTATTTCCCTTGAAAGTCCACGCATGGTCAATCAAGTAAACATGACTAGCATCTGAGCACTCGATATCCCGGATTGCAATTACACTCCATAAAGGATCGTAGGGCATTTTTTCCGTGTCTTCATAATCTATTTGAACCAGTTGAAATGTTAAACCGGCATCAAAAATTTGGTCTGTAATTTTCTTGCATATTGATGGCCAAAAATGTTCTGGAACTCCAGATAGAACTAACTGCGGTTTATGTAATGCTAAGAAATTATTGTAAGTCGTTATCCCGTCCATTTTTCACCGTTTAGACTCGTAGTAAGCGAAAATTCAAGAGACGAGTAGGTTATATTCCCGTCCTGCCTGCCCGTTCAATACAATCAGCTGGGTAAACGTCACTTTAATGTTCAAATGTATTCTGAGCTGTCTTTAGTTAGCGCACAGATTATATAGCGACTAAAGAAATAAAAAGTTCATTGACTCGAATAGTGCTGCGGAAAGCTCACTAGAAAAACCGGTTTTCTTTTGAATCAAGTAATCAAAACTGAATGAGTTTTATCCTCAGAAAAGTGTTGAGTGTTGTGAACTAAAACTATCTAAAACCCTCTACTCCTCTCTTGGTTATGACTTGTGACCAAGCCAATCTTTTGCCACTTCGAACGTGCTTCGAAACTTCAGCCGAATTATTTAGTTTTCCTTTTCCAAAGTAAATCAAATTCGAAAAAACATCCATTGAAATAGACGCTGTAGATTAAGACATAAAAGATTAGCCAGTTACTTTTGCATACATTATTTAGTAACCAAATTAGAACTGATAACCGTTACTATAAATCTTAATAACTTCACGCTTGTAATCGAAAGATCCATGAACGGTATTCTAGCAATAGATAGTTCCTTAGTATCGTTTTATAATAATTATCGTGAGACATACTAAACTAAGTAAAATCGTGGGTTTCTCACGTGAATATACTGAGAAAAGCTCTACTAGTGCTCATGAGAAAGAACTCTGTGGTTCGAAACTAGTAGAGCTTTTCTCAGTATATTCACGTGAGTAACCCGCGATTTTACTTAGTTCCTTAGTAGTTGAATAAGGCAAAGGTAGAATAAAAAAAAACTAAATTACAATTCAAGTATTTATATTTTGCATGGATTTATGCTAACAACCTTTTTAGGGGAACATTGATGGTACTTAAATACTAGATTAAGTTATTTGATAATAATAATTAGATCACATATATCGTCATAATAATAATAATAAAACTATACAAAGCAAAACCATTTTATGCAGAACAACACTTCAGTTAATTTGTCGTCAAGATCTTGTTGGTACATTAGGAATTTGTGCTGTCTAGTCTTACTCAAATCCTTAGCGTGCTACAGCTTAGTAATTTAGCTCTACAAACATTAAAATGTGACTACTTGATTTCTTCTGTCCTCAGCTATTGTTACATCAAGATAAAAGGCTAACAACATAACACTGTTACAGTATACATTGGATGCCAACTAAGACGAATGTTCTTAGTAGTACATAAGAATAATAGTAGGTATAAGATGCAGTCATTGGATAGTTCACTTAAAGAACCACTACATTATCATAGAACACACTTTGTGTAACTATCTATTCAGTTCAGTTAGAGTCTGAGTCCATGTGTTCTCTGTAGTTGCGCCGCGCCTTTTTCACTCGTTGTCGGAATTTGAAGGCTTGATACTCTGGGTCGTCGGACACGTCGTCTGTGGGTAGCGGGTTTCTGGTACTGCTGCCGGCTACTGTTCCTACTCCACTGTCCGGGGTGCAAGCTTCAGGCGCAGCCCACATACTACAGCTCTCAGTACTACAGCTACTTTCCAACTCACTCTCATTGGTTTCATTCATGAGTCTCGCGACAGTCCTGTTGTATCCTACTTTGGGCGAATGCTGTTCTACGGCGGTCGATGTGCTAGCCCGATCTGCTGGTTCCTTGGGAGGCGGTGATTCGCTGGAATCTGACCGATGTAGGCTGAGCCGACCATTCCGTCGCACTCTTCGTAAATTCATCCGCCTGTGCTCAGGAGGTGGAGGTGATGAGTTATTGCTCTCTGACTCTGGAGGTTCGACTCGCAGTGACTCTCCTAGCGAGTCTCTCGACCCGTTGATAGGTGTAGGTATAATGCTGACGAGGTTTGGCGGAATGCTTTGGTTGCCGTTCTGGTTTCGTGGAGATATCGGCCGGCTGCTCACTGACTGGTCGTCATCTGAGTCTACCTCCACTATTCTAAATAGCCCTGATGTGCTTTGGCCCCTGTAACCTGCATAAAAAGAGGTGATCGTTTGTAAATATTTTGTGATTCATTTTCGTGGATTATTGTAAAAATAAAAAAGGTTTACCTGTGCTAGTGCTTGGTTGAGCTAAATTGTCATCAAAATTATCAAAGTTAGAAAAATTATTATCACTACTGTCTTGTGCCATGGCTGCTCCTAGAAAAGAGAAAGACCAATATTACTTTTGTTAATGTTGCACAAATTTTATTCAAAAAACGTAAGTAATAACTCTGTGCATTTACCATTACTCCTTAAATTTAGTGGTTTTCTATAACTAGTGACTTTGTTTTTTCTTTTTGCAGTTCTTGTGAGGTTTACCCGTCGTCGTAGGGGAGGTCTGATCATCTGAAAAAGCCAAATAGACATTTTTAAATAATACATTATGAGTACATTAATAAGATATTATTAGCTACATAGTGTAGTACATACCCTGCCACTATTCCGGAACATGCTGTGCGTGGGTTCGTCGGAGTCGGTCCGTTCGCTGGACGGTGCAGAGACGCGCGAGTGCGTGGCGGGGCGCAGGGCGCGCGGCGCGGGCCGGCGCGGGCCCCGCACGCGGCGACTGACGGCGCGCTTGCCCTTGCCACTGGCACCGCTCACACACTTACTGCTGGACTTGTTCAACGACACCCGCGATTGTTTACTCCTCCTGCAATCCCATACAATTCTTAGATTAGATAGACAGAAATCACTTTATCCATCAACTTAAATAAGTTTTTGTTAAATTAACCAATAACAGCTTCTACCATAGCGTGTAAATATTCATTTATACTATTATCATAGTAAATATTAATTTAAAATGTAAAAGATCCAACAGTCAAACTATTTATGTATAGTTTTGTTGGACATGGCATAAAATTGTAATACATTGTACCTTTTAATATTCAATAAATATTAACAATAGAAAGATTTTGTTTCATTCAAAACAGTTAAGACAACATTCCCCAGAATCTTAGGCCCTATAAATGTAATGTATGTTACTGTACGACTGTACCTAAGGGATCCTCTCTTCTGCGAGCGCAAGTTCTTCGGATACCGCTGTGCGACTAGCCGCGCCAGTCTGTTGGGGACACGTTGACTGCGATTTCCATTTTGATTTGCTGTCACTAATTGATACAATCATTAATTAGGCTACATGAAGTTGCCAGAGTGTTATTAATACAATTACGTTTGACATTTGTTGTATTCTTCTACTCTACAATGATAAGTCGTCGATCAGACTGAAAGTTAACTAACCTGTCTCAAGGTTCATGAAACTTAAAAACATTATATTTATTTAATTTGTGGGCGAACCACGCTCCGACCCGAATGGGCCGGCGTTGGCAGATTACTTTTGAAATAAAGACAAGCTATTCAGGTGGAGATTTATTGATGACTGTATTCTTCCCGAAAGATGTGAAACTGATGCTACTGCGCTTTGTCTTGCTTTGGTGTTGTGTGTATGGTTGGTTCATGGTTCACATGGTTGGCGTCGATTGCTTACCATCAATCCCGTAGAAAAAATATTAAAATTCATTGGCGGAGTGGTCGCTAGTGCGACTGCTGGACGGCTGGTCTCGGGTTCGATTCCCGAGTCGGGCAAAGTATTACTGGGTTTAAAAAAATCTCAGTAGCAGCAAGGAGTCTGGAATTTGCCCAGTATATGGCAAAAGGATCTCCCCCTATTACATGAGATTCAACATAAATAGTGAAAAGTACGTGTTACATTGTACAGTGGCATTAAATGCCGTAATGTGCACCTCTGCCTAACCCTCCGGAGACAAAAGGCGTGATGTTATGTTTGATGTTACTTACCTCGTTTCCGTGGTAACGGCAGGAAGTCCAAGATAATCTGGTCAGTATCAGATGAGTCTGAATCATTATTTAGTGTGGAGTGACAGGAACTGGACCCGTCGAGGGAGTCCGTCTCATCGCCCAAGCACTCCAACTCTCTTTGAACGAGGGAGTCGAAGAATGCCATCATACGCGGGTCCTCGCTCGTCGACTGGTCCGCGTAGTTGTGCGATATGTACTAAAAATAATGTATAGTTAATTTGAGTTAACTCGTCGAGTACCGTATTTATAGACACAATTAAAGAACAATAGGTTGCGGTCACCGGTGACCGCTCGGTGTTTGACAGTTTAATTGATGATAATATTGTAAAACATTATTTTATTGTTATCCATAGTAGTATCAGTGAAAGAGGAAGTCATCCAATTCGAGGGATGCAATAATTGAAGACGGGTACACCGTGCATGTCACAATACATAAACCTCTTAATCACCAACTAAATGCCCAACTAGACAGATAAAAGGGAAACAAGGAGATTATAAAAAAAATACATTTCCTTTGGGTATGGTTTTTCGTAATGAAATATAGCCTAGTATCTGATGATAGAAGGGTTTTTGAAATAATATGTTCATTATTTTTTAAGTTTATCCGATACATACAGACAAAATAAGAAATCTTTTATATCATTAGTCTACATTTCATGTAAATATAGAGGAAAGATTTGATTGTTAGCTTTGTTAATTCGAATCGAATCTAGTAGCCACCTACGAAAGACAGACATCTAAACGCAACGCAGACGATGCGGTAGGCCACCAGTGTTAGAAAACTAAAGGTAATAAACAAAAAGGGTTAGAAAGAGACAACAAACACCAACTTGGCCACTGTGATGTACCAGGGAGACATAGTCCTCGTGGCTGTATATTTCCCGCGGATTGTCTGAGCCTTGAGCCTCCTCCAGTAACGTGCCGCGCATCTTCGGGAACTCCAACGCTGACCACACCTGGGGAGATAATTATCAACTTTATTTGCTTTGCAATTATATTTGAAATATATTGAGAATGTTTAGAGTTAATTGTAGTATATGCTTGTGTGTGTAGAGAAAAATTATCAAGCTTTGGGATAGCTAGGTAATGTGCTTGTGTCTGTACAATGATCCTATACTTTATTATATAAAACTGAAGAGCTTGTTTGAACGCGTTAATCTCAGGAACTACTGATCCGATTTGAATAATTATTTTTGTGTTGGATAGTCCATTTATCGAGAAACGCTACGGGCTATAAAACATGACGGTACGATCGAAAAATGCGGAGCAGAGCGGGTGAAACCGCGCTGAAGTAGCTAGTGTAGTTATAAGAATCGTAAGTGCGACTACCGAGCAACGAGTTTTTTCATAGGAAAATTCTTCAAAAGGATACTAAGCCTTACTACCCTACTTGAATAAGGCCTATCGTATTTTGCTCATCAGATGGCGCTACTGTGTGCCTCTCGTTCTTCGTTCTCGTTCTACACTATACAGTCAAACAGAACAAGTGGTACTATAGATTACAAGAACATTGTTAAAGGATAATGCATAATATTTATAAATAGAAAATAAGTCTAATATTTGTACACCAATTACATACAATGAGACAATAATGAACATAAAACACCTATTGTGACTACATTCTAACAAATAATTTTTTCTTTCTTGGTCCAATAGTGAATTAGGTGTGCGTTACTCAGGCCAGATGTTGTTGAAAATGGTAATTTCAATCTTATGGATAATTCGTTTTGCGGCTTCTGTAATTGTTGCGCACATTTTTTAATTTGTTGCGCTTATAGTTTTTTATTTTTTCACAAAAACATTTCCTGCTGGGGTAACGTTACCCCAGCCAAACCTTTATCTTTCTAATGGGAATATTTAAATAATTACTAGCTATAAAATTAGTCGTCTAGATAAAGTAAATGTTGTGCCTTATTTTGTATTTGTTCTTTCATCGGTTGTGAAGTTATTCGAGATTTTGTTGGGGTAACGTTTTTGGTTTTGCTAAATCTATAATATAATATAAGATTCAAACGACCATTTCCGACAACATCTGGCCTAGGTAACGCACACGTGAATTAGCTAGTGTCACTCCATTAGAAATTCAATATTTGACAGCTGCTGTAATTGGACAATAGTACTCCTTGCTACATTTGCGCCATTTGGTGAACAAAAAAACGTTAGCCTCATTGTGCTTGATTTAATATAATGCACTAAGGACTTTCATAATAGACTTTATTCGCAACATACTTGAAACCTTACCTTTATAATTTTCTCTACGCCAGATGAAGCGATTAGGCAGTAGTGAGGGTTATACCTCACTTGATTTACTATAGACCTATGGCCATACAGGACTATGTGCGGGGGTGCCACCGGTACATCTGAAACATTATCAATACTCTTATAAGTACATAGTATTGTCTGGTTTATAAGCGAAGTATATTATAGAATATAGCCATTATATGCTTTTTACGTTCTACTTAGAGACTAATTTAGTATTTTTATTGTAAAACATGATTTTGTATTGCTGTAATTTTTAAAATTCATATCAAAGATTACCTTTCACTTTCTCTGTAACTCGTGGCACTTATAGATCTAATAATACAGTATAGTAAGTAGATTATTTTTGTAAAATGTATATCCATGAACTTACGGTAACCAGCACCATCTTCCGGTATCTTCCACATGTAGAGGTTGAAGTCATCAGACCCTGACATAACGAACTTGTCATCCTCTCCAGCAAACGTAGAGCTCTTCATTGTACAGGAGTTGTAATAGTCTTGGTGAAAGAACTCGGCCACAGGCTCCGGGGAATGTACAGCGTATAGGACTGGAGCTTGACGTCTCCGGAGAGCCAACATATGAGTACCAGATGAGTTAAACCGAACACTCATACAGTTCTGGCAAGTGCCATTCCCACCCGAATACCGGAGAACAGGACTGTGGACAATAAAAGGTTTTCTTATAATTTCATTTTTACAAGGAATTAAAAACACACGAACACACGAAATAAAGGTATTTCTTATTTGACTACGACTATTGTACTCTCATAATGTAACTCGGGATTCAAACCCGAGTTTATACGCACAAACCAAATGTGTCTCAAAAGAAACACCATGTTTTTGAGCCTTAAAAATAGTTATTTTCTTAGAGGACAACGACCCGAAAAACATATTGTCTTTAAACTATATTTTCTTAGCAAAATGTCCTATGAACAATAATACTAACTGTTTATGTGAGCGTAGGTCCCATAGAGCGGCTCCATCGCGTGCGTTAGCGGAGGCGAGTATGCCTGACTGCGTCGGGTGGAACATCACACCATGGAATGCTTTGCGACAACGAGTTACGACCAGTGATTCTGAAATAAATAATTATTGAATCAATTTCAATATTCTTTTTAATTCAAGCTCTTGAACAAAAATCGGAGAACTTCTATCTTGTCTATTCTTTCGTGTTTATAAAGTTTGATAATACATATATTATAGGCACTAACCAACATGGTAAGTCGAATATCTGTAAGTTTAAGACCTGCTTATACAAGGTGTCTCACAATTTTATATTTATTTAGCTTGCTGCGTGAACGCAATGCGTCTGAGGGGCTCAGGGGTTATGTAAATCGGTAGCTTAGCTTTTGAGAATTCAGTCGCTATGGAGCGTTTCTCAGAAGAAGACCGCGCGTTATGCGTGCGACAGTTTTACAAAAACGGTGATTCGGCGACTGTAGCGCATAGAAAATATTCGAGGTATTCGCCACTTAAATAATGCGCCAAGCATTCTTCTCATTCGACATAGGGTTAAAAGGTTTGAAGAAATTGGTTCAACGCTGGATAAATCCAAATCCGGGCGACCGGAATCAATTCGGAACCGCGCAAGTGCTTTAAATATGCACAACGACCTAAAGCTGTAATGGGTGCAAGAATTAAAGCCCCAAGTTGGCAATCACAGGCTTAATTCCGTAAATCAGGTGATTGAGCAATTTTCAACGTTTAACAATATTTTGATTTCGCATGAAGACTTTTTCCTGTGGGGTTATCTTCAATCTAAAGTTTACGTTAAAACCAACTTCTCTGGCGCATCTGAAAGAAAATATCCATCACGAAATCGCAGCCATCCCTGAATATACCTGCCGGTCCGTGATTAGTAATTTTACTGTTCGATTAAATGAGTGCCAAGGACGCGTCTATATTTAGACGATATTCTTTTTAAGACATAAATTCCCAAAAAGTGTATTTTAATAATTAATAAACATTTTTTTACTTCTCACTTTTTTTAAATCTATCCACTTAATATAAAATTTCTTTTGAGACACCTTAATTTATTTATTAAAACTTATTAATGTATAACACTCTTTAAGATGCTTACCATGCATAGATTGCCTTGTATCAAAGAGTAGGAGTCGTCCATCATTGCCAGCGGTGGTGACCACTCGATCATTGAATGGGTCGATGCTGAGGCTGCATACTGCTCGCTGATGCTGTATCACTTCTAGCGGACACTTACTCTCCGTGTCATGTACTATCACCTGCGTGGATAAATGTTTACGAGCTTTAGGATGGAAGTCAGCATTTATAAAGAATATTGTATTACCCTCAGTGGATTGAATAGTAGTCAGTCAGTCAGTTCAATCAAATCAACCTGATGGAGAATTTTATTTCTTCGAGAGCTTGTAGACCAGACCAAGCATTAAGCTTGAAATAATGGTCTGGATAGGTAATGGAAATCACTTTTTATTACTACTACTTTTTGTAAACCCTACTTAAAAAAATACGTGAACCCTAATTTTAATTTTTAAAATACGTTTGAATTCTTATTTGAATCTTATAGATAATTAGTTGTGCGGCTTCTGTAATTGTTCCGCACATTTTTAAACTTATTGTGCTTATATTTTTTTTTATTTCACTAAAGCATTTCCTGCTGGGGTAACGTTACCCTAGCCAGACCTTTTTCTTTCTAATGGGAATATTTAAATAGTATTTATTTATATCTGTACTAAATTTGTAACGCTATTCTACATATTTTAGAAGGTATTATAATGTTCTGCGTTTTCGCTTTTTCGTAACCACCTTAACTTTAATCGTAATATCTCATTAATTATCCAATCTACCAAGCTGAAATTTTACTGATATACAACTGAACTTAACAACTAATTATTGACATAATATTCAGTTAATATAACTAATCCAGTGGCCAAATAACACCGCGCGCATCAAGACCGTGCTCGTGAAGAACTCAATATCATCATAACTTGTTAAATACTTACAGGATACTAATGAAACTTCACATACATTTGAAGGCAGTTACAAGCTTTAAAATAACGTTTATAGTAAGTATTTAGAGCTCTTATTGAGAGTGCATTATGTATTATTTTGGTTTTTTTATTGCTGAACAAATTTAAACTAATTCCTAAGAAGCCATGTACAAAATATGATAAGGATCCGCTAAACCATTTCAAAGATCTAGCAAAACCAAAAACGTTACCCCAGCAAAATCTCGAATAACTTCGCAACCGATGAAAGAACAAATACAAAATAAGGCACAACATTTACTTCATCTAGACAACTAATTTTATAGCTAGTAATTATTCCTATTAAGAAGAAAATGGTCTGCCTGGGGTAACATTACCCCAGCAGGAAATGTTTTTGTGAAATAATTTAAAAATGTGCGCAACAATTACAGAAGCCGCACAACTAATTATCTATAAGATTTAAATGACTATTTTCGACAACATCTGGCCTGGGTAACGCACACAATATCCAGAACCATAAAAACTCATTAATGGTTGTTAATATTATAATTACACATATTAACATTGTTAAAGAATTTAATTAACGATTATACATATCTTTATATTATTTGATGACTCCATAAATAACAAAGTGATAATAAATTGTAGTCATGAGATAAATTCAACTTACAATATCATCATTACCACCGGAATATATCTTCTGGTTGTCATTGGTGATACCGAGACAGAACACATTGGACTGGTGCAAGCCTTTCATAGGCTCCGGCTTGCCTTTGTCGAGAATCGCTTGTCCAAACTGCCATAGCATTACCCTCCGGTCATCGCCACCTTATAATAACACATTTTGATAGGTAACATAAGCTAATGATCAATAAATAGCTACTCCAGACTGTTACACCCGCTCTGCTAGCCTCCTATTGATTGTATAGTGATGTTTTATAGCCTATAACCTTCCTCATTAATTCATTATCCAACACAAAAAGAATTTTACAAATTGAACCAGTAGTTTTGGAGATTAGCATGTTTAAACAAACAAACAAACGCTTCCAGCTTAATATGTATAATAGTATAAGATAATAATAATCATTTCATGCCAGATTCGGCTATGGCAACCGATTCATGACTACTGGTGTCTATCATGGGCTCTCATGTGACAAAGGGGCCTCTTTCATTAAAGGCTGAAATAATTAATTAATATTTTTGAAAACGGCAAAAGATCGAGAAAGTCGGCAGTCTCTAGAGGAGGCCTTCACCTCAGGGGTTCCCTAAAACTAAACTTCATACAAACAAAATTTTTTTTAAATATACATTTCTTTTTAAGTTGGAAAATACAAGGGTTTTTTTATTTTATTTTAGTATCTTTTAAATCTATTTTCGACATAAGGAGGTATTCCACGAAGCGCACCTAAACGAAGCGCACCCAGACGAAGCGCACCTAAAATATTCCACTTAGCGCACCTGTACCGCTTAAAATATAATATTTAAAATAAATAATTTCCTATTCATTATATGACTAAATATAAAAATATCCATATAAGAAAACATTTATTATTTAAAAGACTAACTTAAATTTCTAACATCATTCAGTTTCATTATAATAATGTGACACAATATTTGTCATTTTGATTTTGTATGTAATCTTACTATTTAAAATCACAAATTGTTTCATAATTACAATAAAAATTTGGACAAATAACAAAAACATTGTAAATATGGATATGAACTTCAACATAGATCTTCTATGTTGAAGTTTTCTTTTAGCTACAAACTACATGTTTAGTGAATAATAAAAATACTCTACTTTAACATTAAAAATCACAGATTGTTTCATAATTACAATAAAAACATGGACAAATATCAAATATTGTGTCACATTATTATAATGAACCTGAATGATGTTAGAAATCTTAGTTAGTCTTTTAAATAATTAATATTTTCTTATATCAATATTTTTATATTTAGTCTCCGCACTATGCGAGTGATATTCGTAGGTGCTCTTCGTGGAATAGGAAATTATTTATTTTAAATATTATATTTTAAGCGCACCTACAGGTGCGCTAAGTGGAATACTTTAGGTGCGCTTCGTCTGGGTGCGCTTCGTTTAGGTGCGCTCTGTGGAATACCTCGACATAAGGAGTGTTGTATGATATTAATCCAGGAATTTTTGATCAAGATTGATTGTTAAATTACAGTCATAAGACTCACTCATGAATTGTCACAAAGGTGGTAATGTACAGTTCTAAACATACAGTAGTAAAGCTATAACAAGGCTGATAGCATAGACATAGCAAAGTTAGTTTTTAAAACATAACATAACCTTTTAGAACGACATATCATAGCCTTTTTTACATACGTTTTTAAAACATAAACATTGCCTTTTAGGTAGGCAGAAGAGCATTACGGCACTTAATACTACTGTACAAAGTCACACCCACTTTTCACTATATACGTTAAGAGACCCATATAATAGGAGGTGAGCCTATTGCCATGTACCGGGCACAATTCCAGACTCCATGCTACTTCTGAAAATTTTGTAAAAGAACTTTACCTGACACGGGAATCGAACCCGAGACTCCTAGCCTGGAAGTCGCACTCACAACCACTTGGCATCGAGGCAGTCCAGTTTTATAAAAATATGTTTAACATGTTAACTGCCGCGTCGGTCACCGGTGACCTACATTAGCGGAGGATTTGCCTTCAGCAGTTTTCTGTCGGCAGTCAAAGGCTTAAGGTACATTACAGTCAGCCAAGTTACTAAATTAATCTTTATTTTCTGCATACCAAATAACTAGACTGACTGACTGTACACTTGGAAGATAATACAACCCATTAAAGGTCAAATAAAAAGTACCAATATTATTTTTTAATTTTGTTTATTTTCTTAATCAACTGAGAGTATAAGAACAGTAAATGCGAGAAAAAAATGGAAAATAGTATTTTTAATGATAATTCAGGGGTGTACTCAATTGAGTACACTGACCACCTAAGTATGAAAATTTTCAAAACACGATATTTCTACAGAAAGTGTTTTAGCACTTTTTACATTGCCAACGTAGGTACTCTTGAATGACAAAGGACACATCGTAGTTGCTTTTAAATTTTTTGTGGATAGTGTCCAACTCCGTTTTGCAGGATTGCACATTTCCACCATGTAGGGTTTGATTTTGAAGTAGATTGGCGGTCATATAATTAATCAATATAATTAGACAATTTTATAATGAATTAAGATAATAGGGTTACCCTACAAAAATATAAGAGATATTAAGTTTATGTGTAGAATTTTAGGTGTACTCAAATGAGTACAGTGACTTCTAATGGGTTAAAGTTTATTCAGTTAGATGACCAAGTCTTGGAAAATCAATAATAAACAGGTGGTTGTTATAATCTAGTGTTAGCCTGTAGCCTGGCCACCTATACGTCATGATAAGTCTCTAATCTAAGACTGCTGTACATGCAGCACAAATCTCTAGTAGCTCATACAGAAGGCACCTAGCCACCTACCCCTTCTTCGATTTTATTCATGATAACAAATGCGACGATTTTTCGTCCTCCCATGAAGTTGCACTATAATATGTTGTTTATAAATAGATAAAATTGTGATCATCAAACCGCAACCTACTTGTTTATCATTCATTAGTTACGGATATAGTTAATTAAAATAATACATACACCCTATTTATTAATACTTAACTTCGTTTCGCCTGTTTTAGAGATATTACCAGTTTTAGAGTAAATTATTGATATGAACATGCAGTCTACAGGGAAATAATTACAATAAATATGAAATGACATACCTGATACAAGAAATTCGCCATTGCTGGAAAACTCAATAGCGTTCACACATCCAAAATGGCACAAAAGATCTCGTCGGTACAAATTTTTCGCAACAGCTAAACGTTTGTTAAAGAAATTTGATTTAATATTTCTTATATCCCCATATTCCCTTTTATAAACATAGGGTAGAGGATTTGCAGAACCCGCTGCCATGTTTAGAACTAAACCACCATTTTCTCACGAATGAAACAAAACTTCTCTTGCCTTGTCGATCAGCTGTATTTTATTTTTAAAAACAATTCTACGTTTCGTTATTCCTGTTTATACGTCACAATTTATACGCTTTTTTGTTTTTAAGATTTTTAGGGACACTGGGAGGGTATGACTGAGAAACCCATTTTGTTATTTCAAGCTATGTTCCATTTTGTTTTTTGCAAAACACAAATATTTCTGTTGGGAATTTTGAAAAAATGATTGTGTGTCGCAGTTTTAAAACTTTTAGATATTTTTTGTCAGTGTCATTGTCATCTGTTATACAAACGTCAAAGTCGCATGTGGATTCGAGATTGAACACACGTGAAACTATTTGAAAATATAAATATTTCAATTATTGAGTAATATTAAGCGTAACCAAGCCACTTTAATCACTTTATTCAAAAGTATGGTTGTAGCTGAAACTATGAATAAACCCGTCCTCAAAGTATCGAGTAAGTAATTTGAATTTTGAGAATGATTTTGTGTCAAAACTTTCATGAGCGTGTTATTTTATTTGTCTATTTGTTTTGTAGTGGATTCAGAATCAGACTCATCAAGTGATGAGGAATCAGAAGCGTCGGAAAATAATGAAATAGAAGAGAATGAAGAAGCTGAAGATGGAATTGAGGCTGATGCTGAAAGCGATGATGATGAGCATGAAGGGGAGGCTTCAGATGAGGATGAGAATGAGGAAGCGTCTGATGCTGAAAGCGATGGTGCAGGCAGTTCACAAGATGCGTCAGACGAAGATGAAGATGACAATGATGGCCCTCTAGTAACTAACGAAGGCTGGGCAGATTCTGTAGCAAAGATCTTAGGATCTACAAAGCCCAAAAATAAGAAAACTTTAGTGTTATCTAGAGCTAAGAAACATTCAGAAATAGTTAAAGCTGTTAAGGAAGAGAAACCTGCATTTGAAGTTATAGGGGATGAGACTGAAGAGAAGAAGCCAGTAGTACTGAAGAAAGAAGCAGAGGTCTCGGAACCTCCTGCTAAGAAAGTGGTCAGTATCATTATATATGTTAACTAAATTTTTATTCTTAGTAAAATAACTAGCATTACATAATAATTAAAATCACTTACACACAGTGATACACCTCAGTGTTAAAGTATGTCTTGTATTACTTACTTTTTGCAAATTAAACATTTGTGAAATAATGTTGTGCCCGACTTGCTTAGTATTGTGCAACCTAAATACATATAATTTATGTATAAATACTTTCTACTAAACTATTATGTTATCTTTACAGAAACACGAAAAACCATCAATACGAGTAAAACCAAACATACTGGAAAAGGACAGAGAAAGAATATTAACAAAAATAGCCACAAAAGGTGTTGTCCAACTCTTCAATGCTGTTAGGAATCAACAAAAGACCATAGAAAAAGAAATGGACAGAAATGATTTGTCCGAAGGCAAAAAAGAAAAAATATTAAAAAAGTTTGATAAGCGGGCCTTTTTGGACACACTTATGGGACAGAGTAAATCAGTTATTGTTGATGAAGAAGCAAAAGTTGCAAAGAGTGAAGTTAAAGATGAGGATAAACCTAAATGGAGCGCTTTGAGGTAATTTTAAGAGCTTTTTAAACTGTTAAGCTAGTTTGTTTAGTCAGCCTTTAAATATGGAACTAATGCACCTAATTTAAAAGTGGGTGTTACTTCTATGTGCACCTCTGCCTACCCCTTCGGGGATAAAAGGCGTGATGTTATGTTATGTTATGCACCTAGTTTGAAGATAAATAATCTCAAATAATAGTGTACCTAAAGTCATCTCATATAATATTATTAATTTTCTATCTCCAGATGTAATAGAACAAATTGGATTTTAGCTATTTATTATTGTTATATTAAAACTTTTTGAGACATACTAAATTAAATTATGTTGTTGGCTTACTCATGTAACTCATCATCATAACATCACGCCTTTTATCCCCGAAGGGGTAGGCAGAGGTGTACATTATGCCACTGTACAATGTAACACCCACTTTTCACTATTTATGTTATGAGTCCCATGTAATAGGGGGTGAGCCTATTGCCATATACCGGGCACAATTCCAGACTCCGTGCTACTACTGAAAATTTATAAAAATCCAGTAGTACTTCGCCCGACCCGGGAATCGAACCCGTGACCGGCAGTCGCACTTGCAACCACTCGGCCAACGAGGCAGTCTCACTCATGTAACTGTAATAATAATTAAAATGTCAAACACCACAAGGACACCAGTGACCGCAACCTATTGTTCTTTAATTGTGTCTATAATGACGGTACTCAAAAAGTTAATTTATTATTTTACTACTATACAATACAAATGAGTGTGTTCATGCCTTTATTTTTTAATTACAGAGACGACTTCATGATGGGTGCCAAAATGAAAGATTGGGACAAAGAATCAGTTGATGAATGAAAAACATTTGTTTTAAGTTTAAGTACTGTTTTAATAAATAATTGTAAATATCAAAGCTATCTATTCTTTACATTATCAATATTACACGGTACATTACATTACTGAAATAATATTTACATTAAAATATTTAATATCAATACAACAGTAAATAATTATAGTTCTTTCATCTCTAAGATTCATTTTATTACATAGACTATTTTATTAATTTGAAATATACAACACAAAGATACTGGAATTAACTAAATTACACTACTTCATAATATAATTATACTTATCTAATTTCCACTAGTTCTATTTTATGAACATGGTATATGCATCATTCCCAACTGAATGCTGTGTGATCTGCTTGGGTAAGGTGGAATAGATCTTGACTGGTAGGTTCCAGACCATGGTCTCTATGGGTACATTCAGGGGAGCAGTCCAATCCTTCTCTTCTGGGTTAGGCAAGAGCTTCTCATTGGTTGTCACAAACTCGAAATGGAGTCTCCAACTTAGGGACACTGTTATAAAAGAGATTTTGTTATATTCACTTAAAAATTAATAAAATAGGTTTTACTAAAATTACACTTCTAACAAACTACTGGCTTAAATAATATTAATTTGAAAAAAAAAAACGATTAATAGAGTATCAGAGTAGTATTCTTAGAATTATCTGATAACACTCTAAAACAATCTGTTGCCTGTGACTTCGTCCGATATCCGATAGAATATGCGTTTTAGGAAATAAGTTTATTTTTATTTCAATTTTCTAAAATAGACATATCCTATGTTAGTCCTTAGTACATCAGCTACCTGCCAATAAAAGTCCCGTCAAAATCGGTCTAGCCATTTCCGAGATTAGCCAGTACAAACAAACAGACAGACAGACAAAAATGTAAAAAAGTATTTTGGTACCTATAGGAATCGTATATTCATATGCCTGTAGTAAAAAGCGGTTATTTTAATATTGCAAACAGACACTCCAATTATATTTATCTGTATAGATATAGATTACAACAACCATAATCCATTACATAGGAATGTCTTGATCTAGTTGTTTTGTTAGGACATAAATGTGCAAAAATTTTAAACAATATTTACCATCATCAACTTCGAATGCTGGAGTAATGTGCAAAGGTATCGGTAGTATCAACTGTGACTGTGTCAATCCTAGAGTTACTTCATGGTACCTTGCCACTGTCATAGATCTGCTACTGGTGTCTTTGTTCATATTTTTAGATGGAGACTTTGATTTGATCACTTCTTCAGGTTGCAAAGATACTGACACCTGGAAAGTAAAACTATTCAGTTGTATAATGTAAACATGTTTTTTTAAGAAATGTTGCCCCTCACTATGAGTTTTTCCTGTTGGTGCGTTTACAAACATTCCTATAAACATGATAACAATCTGTGGATATCACACAAAGAGTTTTTCTGTGCGGGATTCGAACCCGCGACATGTTGCGCGGTAGCCAGTTGCCCAGCCACTGCGCCAACTGAGCAGTCTGATGAATTCAAAAAAGATTTTATTTCTCACTAAAATAAACTATAGATAAAATTCTTGTTCATAGAGTCCTTGAAAGGGAATTAGCTTCTAATTTATCATTTAAAATTTAATTATGGAAAACAGCCAGTATTTTTTGTCGGTTCTTTCTTCTGCCCTAAGTATATTGTACATTGAGCTTTATCTTAATGAGAATAAGTCTGAATATCTTTACCTGCATACAAGTGACTGTGCCCACAGAGAAGTCGAATGTGCCCACAATGTCCTCACCCAGCTTGTAAGCTGACTTGAAGAGACAGAACCGGCCCACTTTACCTCTGGTGTTTGTTATCATGTAAGAGTTTGGACTCCTTCTGGCTGTGAGATTCTGGAAATGAAAATTTTTAAGGGATTTAATTATATGCACCTTTTCTACCAGTGCCGGCGTAAGGGCCACTGAGACCCCGGGCAAAAATATTGTGGCGCCCACTTGATGGAAGCAATATCAAGTGTTAGTTTTTTGCACATTTTTTTTACTTGTCATTAGATTGAACTTTTGTTAATTTTTGATCAACTTTCTTAAATAAAAAATAGAGCACAGTTCTGAGGGTTCGCACTAGGAGAGGCAAGTTGACTTTGACTTTGACTCCAACTTCAGACCTTGGCGCCCCCTAGAATTTGTCGCCCTGGCCATCGCCCTACCACGAACTAACGCCAGCACTGTTTTCTACAAAAGAAAGTTTATTATTACTGTTGACTGCCTCATTGGCCGAGTGGTCGCAAGTGCGACTGCCGGGCAAGGGGTCTCGGGTTCGATTCCCGGATAAGGCAAGGTATTACTGGGTTTTTAAAAAAATTCTCAGTAGTAGCACGAGTTTGGAATTGTGCCTGGTATAAGGCAATAGGCGCATCCTCTATTACATGGGACTCATAACATAAATAGTGAAAAGTGGGTGTTACATTGTACAGTAGTATTAAGTGGCGTAATGTGCACCTCTGCCTGCCGAAGGTGTCTTCGGGGATAAAAGGCGTGATGTTATGTTATTTTAATAGACTCTTTACCCTACCATTCATTAGAGACCAATATAGTTCTCTTATAATATGTTTTTTTTTTATTCTCTTTGGCGCAAAAAGGCTTAACAATAACTTGTGTATATGCATATATGTAATTATGTAGCTAATTTAGGTACAAACCTGTAAAACTTGCAAAGCCATAGTCAAAGGTGTTTCAACCTTCCTTTCTTCGGAGAAAGGGTTGGTTGGCTGCAGTTCCTCAGTGGTCTCATTTCCACACAGAGCTGCCAAATCCTGCATGTTCATTATAGGACTGATTGGTAACACTCGGAATGGTATCCGGACCATTTTGATGTGGGATCCAACTTTCTGTGTAGCTATTGTGATCTTGTAGGAGTATTTTACTGATGTCCCTCTGTATGAAGGCGGGGCTTCAATTGGCAGTGATTCTCTGTACCAGACTGAAGAGAAAAGATCGATTTTATTGAATATACTTACTTCGTAACTGCCTGTAAGCTTTTTTTATTAAAATTTAGCATTTCTATTGGACAAATATAAGCCTTATAATCACTCCAACCCTCTTTGTAAAATATAAAGTTACTGTTGTAGCTTAGATAATAATTTTCTTTTTATTCTCTTGTATACTTTTAGTTTAATATCAACAATGGTTTTGTAAATTAATTGTATTTTTAATCATATAGGCCATATTATGCTTTACTTTGTTTTTTTTTTTTAATTAATAAAATTGTTACTGTGCAACAATTGTAACATTATATTTTGCTGTGCCCTAGACCAACAAGGTCTATAATTGAGTCCTAGCTTTAAGCCCCACTATATAACATCTTGTGAAATATTATGGCACTTTTGCAAATAAAGATATTAATGAATATAATTAAAATATAGAGTCAAGTCAAGTTAAATCACTTTGACAAAATTTGTTGCAACAATAGGCCCCTTTTGGGCACCGCAAAAGTACTTACTCTACTTACTAGAGATTTAGAACTACCAGTGAGAGTATATTGCTTGACTATTTTTCTTCTTTATATTTATATCAAATGTTTTATATTAAATATGTACAATACTTACAAGTTTTAGTTTCACCCAAAGGAATAGTCAAATCACAGAATAGTATCTTAGGCTTTGTATGGAATATAACATCTCCAATATCACAAGAGGTAACTTCCAAAGAGGTGGTCTTCCCTATAGTTGGAGTCTTGTCTCCTGTATTCTTGGACGTGGAATAGAAGCAGTGGATCTGAGCTGAAGCCCATGCTAAGTTTTCTAAAGCATCACTGAAAAAGAATGTAAGTAATTTTCATTATTTTGGCGATTTTTTAGAGGATGTTAATAATTATTATAGTTAGGAATATTACTAGTGGCTTTGTGAATTCCTGTGCTCTGGTTGAGCGGTGTAACAAAATGATATACAGCATTCCAAGGCTTCGCCAGCCAAATAAACAGTCCCAGTTGTTAACTTTGCAGAAAGTTCGATCATTTTTGTATTTTATTTTGGAGGTATTGTTCTAAGAAATTATAGTGGCATCACAATAATTATGGTTTCGTAAACAGAAAAGGATTTGTATGCGATATTTATTTCAAATTATTTTGTGTATGTGGAAATTACAAATAAATGGTATGATGATTTGATTTGATCAACATCATCGACCTCGATCTTAAGCATTTATTTATTTGTCTCTCTTTTTGCGTACAGTAAGATGCATCTGACTGTTTCACTGTTTCAGTATTTATTATACTACCAATATCATTTTTGTTCCTGGAACGCATTTGAGATTACGAAATGTATAATTTGACAGAAACGCTGTAGTTCTGAAATGTGCACTGGAAGTTGTCGATCAAAGTTTTTGTTTTATTATACACCTTTATTAAATTTTACAAATAATAAAACAAGACCTATACAATCAAATAATTGATAACTTTGAACTGTTCAATCAATGTTTAATTGTTTGACATTTTTATACTTTTGAGTTGGTTTACCAACTCAAAAGTATAAAAGTACTCAATTATTAGCTATATTTTGATTATTGAACGAGCTTTTTACTCCTCTATACGCATTTTAAATGTTCACAAAATAAATGAAATTGTAAGTTAAATAGTGGTCGTTACAACGCGATAACTAAAAAAATACAAATATCAATAGTGCATTGTTTTTAAATATTTTATTGGTCTTTGTTGTAGTATTTATTTTCTGTGAAAGAAGACAAAAGAAACAATGACACCTTAAAAAAATTGTTGACGTCTTCTTGTAACGGAACGACAAATTTAACGAATTTACGAATGGCGGATTTGAAAACTTGCACAAGTTTTGACTTGTAATTTGTATAAATTAGAAAATAAACAAAATGTTAATATCAGACGGGATAAATCATGGGAAATTACAGTCTATAATTGTAGGAGAATTGAAGAAAGCTGGCTTAAAGCATCGGCTAAAGAAGATTATATTGAAAAGTGTCAAAGTAGGTGGTTTTGCTTTTGTGTTGGAATTTGTAGGTGGTAAATTGCAATTTTTAGTAGAAATTCAACGAGAGTATTTGTTCTAGGACCACAAGACAGTATTTGGAGCGCCTTTAGTCAAGGTACCATCGTGCAGTGTCATATGTTGTGGCAGTACATTGAGTGTTCCCATTGTTGTCACTGAGATGTCCTCGGTGCTCCGGTCCAACGCCCATGTCGAAGGACTGTTTCGGAAAGCTGGCTCTCAAAACCGCCAAAAAGATATAAAGGTATGTTTCTTAGATAATTGATTAATTCCTTTTGTAAATCAGTATTTTGTGACATTAATATCTATCTCAAAATTGCTAAAACTTGATCAAGATTTCCCTCCAAAACAGCTTTCTCATTAGTCATATAATTATTTATTATGCATAAAGTAAAATCTCATTAGTACAATTTTGGTGATACACTTTTATGTTAGATTTTTTTGTAGCCTTATCTTATCTCACTATGGAACATAATATCCTGTAAGTATTGATAGTTCCTTATCAAAAAGCAGGAAATTTTACCCTGTGAAATGATTTATATGAATGGATGTATTGTTTGATCAGTTTTGACTTTTATATTTATGTAAAAGATGTTTGTTTTTAATAATTATAATTCATGTAGATATGTTTTACCATTGTACCATTTACTAACATTCTTTATTTTTTAAAATAACTAATAGCTCTAATTGAAATCAGTAAATCACATTATAATAAGTTTCCATCTAAAATAGTGTAAGATCAGAAGACCAATCTTGATTCAAACACCTCATTTTGCCTTGAAAAAATTGAATATTCCTTAATTTATAAATCTCATATTCTATTTTTACACAGTAGTTTCATTCAAGGTGAGTGCTATCCCAACAACTTATTTTATATTATTACAGAGGTTGTTAGATGCAGGAGGATGTGTATCAGAAGGCCACCATCCAATAGATGTGGCCAGCGTACTGAAGCTCTACCTCCGATGTCTACCAGAGCCACTAATCAGTGCGGAAGTCCAGGATTTGTTGTTACGATGTAGATTGACTGCTGGAGAGGATGCTCTGAAGCCCATACTGCATACCCTATTGTTACTACCAGTATTACATGTCCATCTGTTACATTACATCATGGAGGTAAGAGTTTTTGTGTTTATTTTATTTTATAAACTTTATATTCATATATAACCTGCTGTCTCCCATTGGGGTAGGCAGAGACTATAGAATGCCATGCTATTCTTACATACGTCTTTCGCTTCATCAACGCTCAGAAACTAGTAGAGCTTTTCTCAGTATACCATGCGATTTTTTGTTAACTCATCTTTTCATGCATGCTTGTTGACATATTAAACTTTTTACTTCTTATATTGCCAAAAATTTCGCTTGATGAGATATCATGAGATTTGGTTGTGTACTTCCTTTCCTTTGTTTTATGTGAGATCAAGTTTGATAGGATATTTTCCATCTTCTTTGCACACTTTTTCATAATGCATTGCCAATCATTTGCTTCATCCTCATTTTGAGGATCATTTTTAGCCATCATCGATCACCTAACCATTTATCCAAATTGAGTTAAGTAATTCCTTCATTTTCCAGTTATTAAACTTCCTAGCATCAAAACATAAAGATAATCTGATGGACTCGTCCAACCTGGCCATAGTGATGGCACCCAGTATTATGCCACTGCCCGCTGCAGCATCTGCCCAGAGACTGGAACACCATGTTGCACTTGTTAAGGTAATAGTGCTATACTTTATTATTTTTTTATGTAAAAAACACTTTAGAACTGCACCTTGTTGTTTCCAATTGGAGCAGTCAGTAATTTTATATAGGAAGCAATGTTTGCACTGTATGGCTATAAACACAGTTGCATAGCTTTCAAAAGAATTACATAGTTTCATACATGATACGCCAACTCTTATAAGAACTCTGGTGTTGCTTGTACTTGGGTATAGTAACCATCTACTAACTAAAACATATCTCTTTATAGTATATCTGAATGGAACAGTGGCTGGGCAACTGGCTGCCGTGTAACGTGTAGCGTGTTCGATGCCCGCACGGAGCAACTCTTTGTGTGATCCACAAATTGTTGTTTCGGGTTTGGGTGTCATGTGCATGTTTGCACCCATACCCATGGCATAGGAGAAAATCGTAGAATAGGCAACTTTTTTTAAAAAAAATAGTTCTTGAGGTCAATTAAATACATGTTAACTAACAACTTGTTTTTTCCTTTACAAGATGTTCATCGAAAACTCGCAGCACATAGGGAAACTAACTGAAGAACTGATGTCACAGTTAGATGATGATTCCGATGGCTATCTTGCAAGGAGAAAGAAGAAGCGACGCAGTGGCTCTCTCAATCGTAAGTCCATATTGAATACATCTTATACACTATTACTGCTCGTTGGCCAAGTGGTCGCAAGGGCGACTGCCGGGCAAGGGGTCCGATTCCCGGGTCGGGCAAAGTATTACTAGGTTTTTTCAAAAAATCTCAGTAGTAGCACTAGAGTCTGGAATTATGCCCAGTAAATGGCAACATGCTCACCCCCTATTACATGGGACTCATAACATAAATACTGAAAAGTGGGTGTTACAATGCATAGCGATATAAAGTACCGTAATGTACACCTCTGCCTACCCCTTCGGGGATAAAAGGCGTGATGTTATGTTGTATTATACACTATTATAAAGCTGAAGAGTTTAAACGCGCTAATCTCAGGAACTACTGGTCCAATTTGAAAAATTATTTTTGTGTTGGATTGTCCAATTACCGAGGAAGACTCTAGGCTATAAAACATCATGCTACGATCAATAAGAGCCGAGTAGAGCGGGTGAAACCGCATGAAAGCAACTAGTATAAACATGATATGAAGGGCTGTAGGGAATATTGACGCTAGTAATCACCAACAGCATGTGACTCTGCACCGTTGAGCTGGTTAGACTATGTCAGTGGTCTCCTCATGTACAATTTTTTTTTTACAATTTTACATTAATGTCCATACTTGTCTGGCGGGTTGGAATTCATTGGTGTTGCTGTCCATTCTCTGTTAAATAAATAGACCCCTACAGAATTCCTATAATACCCACGGTAGAGCAAGAAGCAGGCAAGTTTGCTCTCCTGTCGTCACAGCTTCAATACTGGTACTGCTAGACCTTATGATATAGCAATATGGTGAAATTCTTTGCCAGAGTCTGCACTTCCTGAAGTCTTCAAGGCCCGAGTGAATAGGTTGCTTATGGGACGACGTGCTCCATCGTAGACCGCATCATCGCTTACCACCAGGCGAGATAGTGGTCAAACGTCGCTCCATCAAATATAAAAAAAAATCTTGTTTTCAGGAGTATTAAGCGGTCTTCGCAAAATGGTGTCAGGTAGTGTAAACACTCCGGCTACAGTCAATGAGAATGGCAAGACACCAGTCCTGAGCAAATCTGCGGCTAAGCGGAAGTTTGATTCGTATGAAGGTCTTTCTGCAAAAACTAAGTAAGTCTCCTGAAATTATGTCTAGTCCATAGAATATTGGATACTTTTGTTAAAAAATTGATTAATATTATTTATTTTGTTCACAGGAAAGATATAACGAAAAATCTTCCACAGAAAGAACTATCCTTTACGCCTATGAAAATGTAAGTCTTTGACACCTTTAGCTTATTTTAGCAAGATTTACTTAGCAAATTACTCATACTCTTAACAACTTTTTCACAGGGGCCTCGAGCGGAAACGATTACGACTAAGCCTTATGGACGCAAGAAGCACTCCTATCATCAACAGAGATTTTAGTTCTCACAAAAACTCAGAAACTAGTGTTAGTAGTGAAGATTTGTTAACCTCCTCTGAGCATTTGTTCAGTGCTCACGACACCATAGACTTGTCTCCCGATATGAAGCTGTTGGATAAAGATTACGTCAGAATCTCAAAGCAGGAGTATGAAGAGATCAAAAGCAGAGTATCAGCTATTGAGAACAGACTGTCTAGAGAATTCACTGACGTCATACCGAGAGTACAACCACTACAACAA